CGTGTTCATCTGAATCGGCGGAACTCCCCCTACCCGCGCAACAAACAAGCATGTCCGTGGCCCTCTATACGTGCCTGCTGTTTCTGGGCCTGGGCATCAGCATATTCATCAAGGTGGGTTGAAGGAGTATTCTATATGTATGTATTGCATGTACTTCTCTTGCAGCTTGTATTGATGGCCACCAGGAGGGTGCAAGGCAGAGGTAAGATTTATTTTGGCCGAGAAAAATATTTAAGTTTTATGGTTTTCCGATTGTTTGACACTAATTATAGCATGGGGTGATTAGATAGGGATATAAGTGCGATCGAGGGGGGGCCGATTGGGGGCTTAGTCAGTTGTCATGAAGCAGTTGTTGTGCGCGGACTGGGACTGCTACCTGAAGTTGGTCGGGCATAGGAATAGGAATAGGAATAGGAATAGCAATGGGTGCGGAATACAGCTCCGTCTCCGTTGTGATCTTAGTCATCATTATGATCGTAGTCGTGAGTACTCGTTTCGGAGCCACCCGTGTAGTGCCCCCTATAGGATTTCCAATTGCAGTTCCTTGTCAATGCCTACAACAAGATAAAGCGAACTGGCCGCGAGGAGAGCGCCGAGCCGAGCGAGAGTCGAGCCGGGAGGACAGCTGCTGCAAGAGCTCCAAGAGCTCCAAGAGGTCCAAGAGGTACTGGTAAGCGGCCTACATTTAGAATGGAATTTAAAATGTTATGAAAGTTGATTGTGGCTATCTGATCTGATTGCTTTATATGGCCCGCACACGAGAACTTGGCTATAATTAGAGATCTGATTTGCTTATCTGCTCACCCCGAATTACGAAAGTTTCGCGAAAGCCAGGGGACGATGATGATGCAAGTCAGAGACTTTTTATCTGGCTGTTTATCGGAGACAAGCTGGATGGGTCAGGTGTGGGATGTGGGATGTGTGGGATGTGTGGTGTGTGCCTGCCTGTTCTAGACTCATTTGCATTGCCCCATTGCTCAGGTTCAGGCTGCTTGTTCTTTGCTGAAATGTCTTTCGTGGAGTATTACTATTTCATATCCTTCCTACTCATATTCCTCATTCTGCTGCGGGTAAGTGGATCCAGCCACGGCGACATTTTTTCCCTTTTCCCTTTTAACAACTGAATTTCTCTCAAGGCGTACGTTTGTCCCACGCACAAATGGATGTGTCTGTGCTGCCTCGCCTATGGCCGGCAAACGGGTGAGTCAATCCTGCCCCCTGCCACCCCGCCCTTTCTCACACAAGCAACCCGTCGCTAGTTTGTCTAAATTTGTGTGTGAATGAAAAATTGAAGGCCTGTCTGCGAAATTCTCCAGTCTTATACCAATGTACACGGAGTTCTGGTTCTGTGGCATTTTATTTTCGATCGTCTTTTGGCTTGTCGGACGGGTAAGAGTGTCCGCTGGTTGGCTTAGCTCTCTCTCTCTCTCTCTATCCCATCCCTGCATGCCCCAAAGGAGTGCTACCTGTTCATCAAACTGAAAGTCGAGGAATGGAATATTCAGGTCTACGAGCGCATCCTGCGCGAGGAGATGATGCTGCGGCTGGCCATCGAGGGTAAGCGAGAAAGTTCATCCATCGCCAAAAGCTTGCTGGCCTAGCCGCGAAAAGCTCTCCCTCCCGATAAGATAGTGCCCAGCATTGCCCCCCCCGGGGGATAAACATCAATATCAGCTTGCTGGAGTGCTCGTATAGGCATAAAGATTTTGTCACCACTTGTTTTGGCATTCTGCGCCGTATTTAGAGTCCGTTCAGTTGCCCTCGATTCAGACTCCGTTCGGTTCAGTTCCGTTTTCTGCTCGCCAAAATGCAACTGATGGACGTGTTCTACATCTGCCTCTTGTTCCTCCTTGTGACCATTGTGAGTTCAGCACCCAATCTGCTGCTAGAGCTGCTGCTGCCCCCCATTTGTGCCTAACCAATCTGTTTGCTCCCCGACAGCTGTGCTACAAAAGCAAGGTGAACAGCCAGAACTCCATGCTGGGGGACTACGATGCTCGCAGCGGTGAAGGTGAAGGTGAAGGTGCGTACCAGTGCGAATAAGGAAATCGAAAGAAAAGGGGCACATATCAGTGATAAAGGCTGTGATGGCTGGGACTGGGGCTGGGGCTGGGGCTGGCGCTGGCATTCTTCGAGTGCGAAAATATCTATTCACATAACATTAATCACAGGCTTGTCCCTGCCGTCCGATAAGGTTAGTTTTGCTTTGGGCTTTGGCTGTTTTTTTTCGTGTGATTAGGAGGCAGTTACTGTTTACACCTGTGCCTCTACGGCAAGGCTTCTGGCGCGCGTCTCGTAGGTGCAGCTGTAGCTGTAATGGTACTTTACGTTAGCGTATTCCTGGGCTGGTTCCTCATAGTCGTCATTGTGGCCGTGCTCGTGCGCGTAAGTTTGCTCTCCCGAATGCCCCCAAACCCCCAGGTGATATTCATCGTTGCAGGTGTGTTGTCTTTGCGCCCGCCACAAGAGTCGCTTGACTCAGCAGCAGCAGCAGGGTAGAACACGTTACCGTAGTCCTGGACTTGGTACTGGTACGGGTACGGGTACGGGTCCAACACGTGTGCTGCAGAGCTATCGAATCGATCCGCCAGGAGCCAATACGGACACAGGTGAGGACTAAGCCCGGGCGTGGGTGATTCATCATTCAGCGTATCGGCAATCGTTAAGTCAGCTGAGTCCCCTTCCCTCAGATAAGGTTATCTTTCGTTGCTTATCGATTGAAACGATTCTTTGGCTCGAGGGAGTAGCCCCACCAAAGCAGAAGTTTCGTTCCACTCTGTCCAGATGGCACGCGAGGTGGTCTCAGTCTTCGCTCGTCCCTCCCTGAGCCAGAGTCTGAGCACCTGCGATCCGATATTGTAATGTAATTATTCATCCACTGCGATTTTTCTGTAACATGTCCGACCAACTCCATTTGTTCGACCTCGGAGTTTTGCTGGTCATCTTCCTTCTGATTGTCTACATGCCGTTGCGAGTAAGTTTGAGCGCCTCTGCCGCCAGAAGTGAGTGATGGAGTATCCCGAATTTGTTCTAGCAATATGTGGCCCGGAAATGCCGCAAGCCGAGCCCCACCCCAGTCAGTACTCCCATGAGCAGGTTCAGTGCATCATACCCATCGTCGTCGCTCAGCTGGACAGGTGAGCATTGAGCATAGAGCATAGAGAGGTGCATATTCTGTTGTGGCATTGAATTAAATTTCCCATATCCCAAATGGGAAGTGAAGTCCGATCCACTGTTCCTTTGTCTGGCTTGATATTCGTTTTACTACGCTGGCTCTGAATTAATTAGCGATTGTGTTGAGAGCTTCCGCACTCCCCACCACCACCCACAACCCCCCATCAGCAGGCGTTATCCGGCGGGGCATAGTTACATATCTGCCAGATATACACTCGTGTCCATGTCTGTGGCTGTGTACTCGTATAAATTACGCATTTCGTCACATGAAATGGCAATAGAATGGCAGAACACAAACACAAAGCAGACAGTGGGACTATCTTATCAGACACATGGCGATACGCGGCGCGGGCTGCTTATCACACGGCCCTTGACGCACCTGCAATCCCTGCTGGCAGCGCTCCCCGCCAGTCGCTGATAAGTCTTGGCCAGAGGCGGCTCGAGTGCCGCCACAATGGAGGATGAACAGTTGCCCGAAGGCCTCTCTAATCGAATATCACTCACAGAGGCGGAGCCCACCCGATCCCAATCCATCCGCGCGCGAATATCGTTGCCACAATGCCGGCCATTGCGCCCTACCTAGTTTTCTTCTTCCTCGCCTTCATCTCCTGTGCCGTGACCTTCTGTTGCCTACGCTTCTGCATGTGGGCCTGCTACGAGGCTTGGAGGACCGGACCGGAGCCGGGCCGACGTAGAGCCCGTGCTCGGGCTGAAAGGCAACGACTCGGTAGGTTGACTTGACTTAGTCCCTCGACCTGCTAGACCTCCCCATTGAAAAGAGTTGCACGGGGGAAGGAAAGGTGATTGTGTTGTGTTGTGTTGTGTTGTGATAGCCCCACCGGTTGGGGCAATTGACTTGGCCAATCAACCGACACTTGATTCAGTACCCGCTTCCTTGGCCCCGATAAGATTAGTTCAACGCTCGCTCAGAAGAGTGCTCAGTGTTGGCTGGTTACTCAAGTGCTTCGATTGTGTGAAATGGATCTGATCATCGTCTATGTGGGAGCCTTCTTCGTGCTGTTCCTTGTGATGCCCATAGTCTACTTCTTGCTGCAGGTATTACCCGCTTCCGGTTCAGCTGGATCTTCCGCCTCTGATCGTCTCGTCTGATACACACATATATTCCCTCAAAGTTTCTGCTCTGGTTCATTCTAAACAAATGCTGTGGCCCCAATCCTCCCCAGCGATCTCAGGAGCAGCATCGCCGCCGCCGTCGTCCTCGGCGTCGCGTTGTCAACATTGGTATGTATTTGTGGACTGGACTCGATTGCTGTCCATAAACCAATAAAACCCTCAAGTGTTAATTGATAAGCCGCCCCAGTCCAATCCCCGAATACTTGAGTTCTCTTGCTGCTGAATCTGCTGCCTTGCAGACATTGCGAATCGGGATGTGGGTTAGTCTCTCGGTGAGTTTGTTTCAAAATGGAAGCGTTTTTCGGTCTCCTGGCCATCGGTTTTGTGGCCTATGCCGTGCTGCAGGTGACAGACACTCCTCCTACTCCCTTGATTCCCTTGATTCCCTCGATAACTGATCCATTGTTCTGACTTCAAGTGCGCAGTCATATATATCGCCAAGAGGTGTTGTCCCGCACCGAGCAGCAGCTCCGACCAAATCGATGGACTGGCCATGTCCTCTGCGCCATGTAAGTTGCTTTCGTGCAGACATTTATATGTTTATGGCCATCGCGGGGTTATATATGATGGGAGTTTTATCATATCCGACGTGCGGGCTGTACGCAACACAACTCAACATGGCGTACTATCTAATCGGGCGATTATCAATGGCCGTGCCAAACTGTAAACTAGAAAACCCTACGGGCCGTTCAAGTAGAAGCCATTGCTTGTTGGGGATGTAGTCCGGCTTTGGTCAGTAGGCAACAACTGCGCAGCGGCATCGAACTGCACTGCAATCCCAATCCCAGTCCCAGTCCCAGTCCCATCACGAGCATGTACGCGCCCATCATGGATTGGGGCTCATCTGACTTTGGCATCCATGTGGCCATCTACCTAGCTCTCATTGTATTCTTCTTCTGCCTGCTACCGATCGCCTGCTACTATGTGCGCATCGAGAATCGAACGCTGGCCAAGATCTGCTCACCGCGACGACGACGAAGGCAACAGCAGCAGCAGCAACAGCAGCGACTGAGGAATCAGCGATATGACATTGGAAATGGTAACGTGTGCCAAATGTGGGGCTGTGTGGGGGTTTATCTAATCGCTGTTTTGGTGGTTTGGGTAGTTGGCGCTGGAGCGGTGGTGTGGGGCGATTATTTTGGCAATAGAACTTCAGCCGCAGCCGCAAAATGACTTTGACGTCTAATTTGATTGTGGCGTTCGGTTTTGTGTTCGCCATATTCGTAATAAGCCAGCTGATATACGTAATTATCCAGTGGAGGGAGAGCCAAGTGACAATGGGCCCAGCACATAATTGATTTATTTTGTTTTGATAGTTGGCAAAGCGCATGCACGACTCCGTGGCACAGAACCAACGACTGCGCCAGCCTGGTACACTCTCGCTCTCGATCGTGTGAACAGATTAATAATGTGTTTCTAATTGGTATTGCCTCATCTCTTTCAGACCGCCAGGGCAATGCGTTGAACGGTTCGGAGGAGCGGCCGCACAACCGGTTTGGCGATATATTCTTCATCGAGCCAAGCAGCGAGGAGTCTGCGCGCATTCGCAGCCAGCTGGAGAAGGACGACAAGGAGCTGCCCAGCTATGACGAGGTGATGCGCATGTGCAATCTGACAACGCCAACGGCAGCCGCCGCGGCGCCACACTCGCCCTCGGCTGACCCCAGCCCCATTGGTATCGCGGCTTTGCCAGCTCCGCCATATTCGGAGTCAGATCCGCATGCCGATGCTGCGGCGGCACCCACAGTCATTACGATGGAGCCGGGACCGTCGACATCGCGTGCCGCACAGAGCCCAACAACAATAACCACCACCCTCGGCCGCAGTGCCCCTCTGACCCTGCCGAACACGGCATCCAATACGGAAGTTTGATTGGCGACACTTCCTGAGCCACTCTGGGCCACACAGATATTGCAATTTGTGTGTGCTTTTCATTTCAGAAATGAACATGTGTGATTTTATTAGGTACATTCTAAGTACATATTTAGGCGCTAGAGTTTAAGTTTGGCTTATTGTAAATATGTATTTAAACAATCTAGGCTGAAATAAATTTTTTAAGAGAAAAATAGATTAAACACTTGAAGTCACATTGAATTTGCGCCCAAAGCATCTATCGATAGCATCTATCGACCTATCGCTCCAGCAGTGTAATTTCGTATGACACTACAATTTAGACTAGCTAAATTGGAGCTGAAAATAGTTACAAAATGTGTAGTGTCATACGACCTTAACCATATCAACACATGTCATATCAGCAATGTGACCGTGCCAAAAAGCTTAACGTGTGACCATATTTTACATCAGAAAAATACACAAAAATTCGGCTTAAATTGAACTTTGTTTATCATTATTAGTTGGCACTTTGTGCATTGCATCGAAATGGGTTCTGTTAAGGTAACTATTGGCAGAGAAGACATGCGCTCATTTAAAGTGTAGATTGAATTTGCAGTTCAGATGAAAAAGCAGGGGGACGAAGCCTACGCATGCACACTGCGAAAGGCTCTGGACGGTTTGGGTGAAGTGGATGTCGACATTCAAGAGGGACGCGTGATCATTCAGACTGAGAGTCCATGGTCAGAGGTGCACGATAAGATCGAGGCCACTGGACGCAAGGCTGTGCTATCGGGCTTTGGCGGCGGCCAGTCGGCAGTTGCCCTGATCAACACAACCGGCAGTGTTGTGGACCGAACGCCTGTCCAAGGCGTTGTGCGGTTCACGGCCATCAGTCCAAAGGAGCCCGGTGTTCTGGTGGATGTCGTGGTGGACGGCTTGGAGCCGGGATTGCACGGCTTTCACATCCACGAAAGTGGCGATGTTTCCTCTGGGTGCGCCTCCGTTGGCGACCACTACAATCCGCGTCAGTCGCGTCACGGCAGCCCAGAGGCGTCGGCCAAAGAACGTCACGCTGGCGACTTGGGCAATCTACGCGCTGATGAGAGTGGCCGGGCCAAAATCCGGTTCGTTGATGCTGTGCTGGAGGTGGCGGAGATAATCGGAAGGGCCGTTGTTATAACAGCTGGTGCCGATGATCTGGGACTTGGTGAAAACGACCAAAGTCTGATTGATGGCAACTCGGGCGAAAGGTGTGCATGCATATGATTGAATTGTATATTTTGTATATTTTATGTGCTGCTTATTTCACTTCAGAATCGCCTGCGGGATAATTGCTCGTTCGGCGGGAATAATGGAGAACTTTAAAAGGATCTGTGCCTGTGATGGCGTTACGCTGTGGGACGAACGCAACAAGCCGCTGGCTGGAAAGGAGCGCTCGCAGAAGCTCTAAATGTTTCACTGTCACATCTGACCCTGTAAATAAATTATAATTATATATGTTTAAATATTCAAATAGTGTAAACAAGTAACTTTTCATGTCGAAACTATTGCTGATCTTTGATTTTGAATGCTTTTAAAGTTTTATTTAAAATATTTCTTGCCGGTTTTGCTTGATCTCTTGTGATTTTATTGTTAAAATTATTCATATTATCTTCAATTTTTATTATCTGTTTTGCTCTGCCAATAACTACAGGGGGGTTGTGTCTGTGTGTGTGTGTGTGTGTGTGTATTTTCTGCTCTGTTCTGTTGGCAGGTGTACAACCGAAGAACATACAAAGACATTATTACAGATAATAATTATAATGATAATAATGATAATAACCGTTATGCCTAATGCATTTGACATTAATAATAGATATATGTATAATTAATTTGATTCCTCCGTTCAAACTACAGCGCATGCCCCAGTCCCTGCACCTTGCCTTATCCTGAGCAAGCAGAGAGCGGGGCATGCAGAAGATTCGTTTTGTTTTGTTTTTTTTTTTATGTAAATTATCCGTACAAAATATGTAAAGTGTATATATGTATGTTTGCTGCTTATTTACTGCGCTTGCCAGCCGTATTTACACATCTGTTGGCCTTTTGTACTCTACGTGCTTTCTTCGACTCCTCCGGCTCCTCGAGAGCCTCAACAGCAGGAGCCATGGTCATCAGCGGCGGCGATGAGCATTGTTTCATGGACACTGGACTGACAATAACGCCGCTTCGCTGATGAGTTCCATAAAAGAGTTTCGGCGAATATCCCCCTGCCCTTACAGTTCCGCCACTGTCGGCGCCGCCACCACTCGGAGACGCCAGCTCTAGGGTTGAGGCTGCGTCGGGTGCCTTAGAAGTGGACGCAATTATGTTGGACTGTGCCTCTGAAGGATGCTTGCGCTTCAAGTTCTTCGAGCTGACGGCCGAGTTGACAGCCAATAGCTTTGCTGTGGTGGACTCGTCCGGAGAGGCAAATTCCTTAAGTTCGCCAACGCTGACATCGCTCTCAGTGTCTGCATCATCGTTGATGATGATTATGTGCTCCGGATCGACGCCCTGATTGACGAGTGCCTGGAAATCTTCTGGCGGCACCACAGGTGCCACCTTCTGATTGCACGAGCTGCACACAGCAGGAATGGCAGGACTCTTGGAGCGCCAGAACTGCAGCTCCGTCTTGCACTTGTTGAGCTCCTTCAAAGACCAAAAGCGGTTAAAATGGCTTAACACATGCCTGCCATGTGACAGGCCAGGCCCCACTCACCTGCAGCAAAGTGGACAACTTGCGTGCCATTTCCTCGTTCTTTTTGTCGTTCTCGTCCAACCGACTAGTGTACTCCAGCGTTTGTTTCTGGTGCTCGGACAACAGGTTCTGTTGCTCAGCAAACAGTTTGCTCTGCTCGGCGGCCTTGCGCTTGCAGGTGCGTAGGTCGGTGCGCAGCACCGACAGCTGATTGTTGTACATTTTCATGCCCTGTTTGATTTTGCGTATGCCCTTGCGGAGCACCATGTGGTTCTGTGGGGGGGAATTGCTGTCGCTGTCCGCGAGATCCGAAGCTATGGCGAGAGTGGCTGCAGAAGAGAAAGCAGGGGAGGGTGGGTATTAGCTTTAGCACTACACTGCCGGGGCGGTTCACCTACGTCGCTTTGTTGTGGTGGGCAAGGTGTAGAAATTCTTATTGAAATACGCCAGCCCAGGCAGCGTGGGCTCAATGCGATCCTTGAAGTACTCCATGGCCATGGTCGAGAGATCAAAGAGTTCGTCGGTCACCCGATAAGGTCGCTGCAACTTGGGCGTAATACTGATATATTTCAGAATCGCATTCACCTCGTCCAGTATCTAAAAATGAGTAAATTGAATATGAATGCTGATCATCGCGTACATCGCGGGCATTGCACTTACGGCGCCTGGAAAGAAACAGCAATGGCCTCGCTCGATATGCTTGCCCATGGACATGTGCAGCAGCGACAGCCGCATGTAGCATGTCTCGATGATGTCGCACTCGCAGGCCAGTGGGTGACTGCGACGGGCCGACTCCCGACGCGGCATGTTCGCCTTGATCGAGTGGAAACGGTTGTATGTGGTCTTGATCTGCCTGGCGAAGGCTCCGTTCAGGATGGCCATGCTAATGTCATTGAAGCGATGCGATACCTTGAAATATGCAAATTCGCATCAGATTTCAAACCAAAGAACTTACAAATTGTTTATTGATTCGCGTTTTGGTTGCATATTTGGGCTGCTGCTGGCTGCTGGCCCGCATCCACAAATGCAGTGGAGCTGGTGCTGCTGCCTCCTGCTATTAAATTATATCAGGTTACATTTTCCTTCGCTACCTAAAAACCCAAAACACACACACACATACACCCACACCCACACAGTCGTACATATGCTGCAAGATAGTCGAGGGTAAGGCATAAAACAGCAGAACAAAAGGTTCTCTTTCAGACACCGAACTGAGATCACCCTTAAATCCTTGGACTAAATATTCGATACACCCGACAGCACATCACAGTTGGCCGATTCCAAAAATGTGCATTGTAAATGTCGTGACAAAGTTATAATTGCCTCCTGCAATGGGAACAGGACGCCAGCCAGGCCAACAGAAGGAGGAACGCATCGGCAACTGATGACGACTCGTGTCAGCGACTTTGAGTGGCAAAAATAATAGCAGCAGCAGCAACAGCAGCAACAGCAGCAGCACATACTCGTACTCGTACAAGTGCATGCCAGGTAGTTGGATAACTCTCTGCGCCCGTCCCACGCTTGCACTTGGAAATTGCTTTTTATTGATTTAATAGCGAAAAGGGCCAACGCGAGAGAGCTAGAGGCAATGGGAAACGAGTGACAGCGTAAAGACTTACCATTCTCAGATTTGAAACGTTTTTGTAATCCAGAAAGCCGACTATCTTCTCCACCAGCTCCGTGGGCAAATCGAGAATGTTGAGAATGGGAGCTGGCAGGCCACTGGACAAGGAGCTTGTGGCGGCACCATTTGATCCGACCCGGTCGGAGCGTTGCATCTGCATGGTGTAGTTATGGCGAGTTACCACACTGGCCGAGTAGGCCTGTAGGGTGGCTGGCGAGGACTGCGGCTGGCTGTTGTAGGTCGCAGTGCGCCTCAAGACGGAGGTACGTGTAGCCGCCTCCCTCTGGGCAGGGAGAGAGGCGTTGCTGCTGGACGCTTGTTCAGATACCGATCCGTTTCCAGTCGCGGGTCCGGCACTGCCACACATTTGGCGGGTGGAAACCATGTTCTAAAAGTCGATATTAAATGGATCAAAGGGGTGGACAGAATTATCTTTCAGCTCCTCCTGCGTACGGCTGAAACATTACAACACAACACAAGAATTAGAGGTCGAGCGTTACATGTGCGTCATTTGTTAATATTGTAGGAGATAGTTTGATATTTTTAAGTTGCCGTAGCGTATATCTACGTACGTTTTCAAGACATTTTCTACGCACTTGAGAGTTTGGTTTTCGTACCCGTTTTATTAACTGGAATTATTGTATGTGCATCGTTTTTCCTACGTCTGACGGTGGACCACACTGTCTAGTTCACATTCAAATAATTTTAATTATTATCTCTGAACGGTGACATCCAGTTTTCCTTAGATTTTTCCAGCACAATTAAATAAACTACATACACAATCCGTGGCAAAAAATGGTCGAATCTCGAGGAAACATCGATCGTAACATCGGTGTCATCGATGTTTTTGGCGCCGATGAAAAGACCACACTAAAAGAAGTGGTCCACTAGTCTTGACTAGACTGGATGGTTGGTGAGAATATATATAAAACCTTATGGAAACAGCAGGCAGTGCGAGCGAGAGAAATATTATTTTTATTGTAACTGTTAGCAGTGCAGTAAATTCATTGCTCGTTGCTAGCCAATACAATTTGAATAGACTAGACTGAACTTGCTGACCTTTCAAGAGTTACCAGACCGGGCAGAAATTGTTGTTGCAGCCCTGATCTGAATTTTACCATCACTAAATGTAACAATCGAATCGTACAATCTGAACATGCAGCCAAAGTAGTGAAAAAAACTGTTTAACAAACACTTAAATGGTGTATTTTTAAAGAGTTCAAGCCTCAAAATTAAATGGTAAATCCACTCAAATCATTGTTTGACCCAGTACACAGAGATGTAGCCAGACTGAAACTCGGGAGTGAAAGCCAAAGAACAAAACTTTCTGGTTGGCATCGACAGTGTGTTGTGTGCTTGTGTGCGTGTCTGTGTTGACAAAAATACAACAAAATCAAATGGCAGCGAAAACAGGAAGTGTGTACGAGAGAAGAGATAAAACATAAAGAGCAGAGCACTCACTTGCAATGAATTGATAACTATATTTGGCCTAATAAGCATCATCTATCGGTGATGTCACGGTCAGAAGTTATCCACTCTCTCTTTCAATGCTGTTTTGGCTCTCCATCTCGGGGGTCAGTGGGGGCGTTTTTAATTCGCAGTTTTGTTTTTGTTGGAATGCTGCGTGTTTGGATGCTGCGGATGCCTTAAACATTTTGAATATCACGTCATTTTTGGCCACGCTCTGTGGCAAGCAGCGTGAACACAAATCGTTCAGTGAAATCGATTCCACTGCATTTATGTGTATGTCTGTACTCATATGTATAGATTGTACATTAACTTCGCCGCGAGAGTTTGCTTGTGTGCGAGGGTATGACTGTTTGCATACATCATGTATTATATATCCGCGAGTATATGTATACGAAAGTTTTTACTTTCATATGTTAATGCTTTTGTCTTTTATCAAAGTTTCGCGCTATCGCTAAGCCAGCGAAGAAGCAGCAGCCACTCCCCATACTCGCCCAAGTCAACTGAGAGTACTAATTCTATAATTGTGGCCTCCTCCTGCGCCACCGCCACCGCCTCGTCCACCTTCTCCTCTCAGCCTGTCCACGATGACGGATGGTGAACAGCGGGAGGCCTTGGTTAGGCGTGCCGAGGACGAGCGCGAGGAGATTGTCAAGCGCTACGAGCTGGGCCTCGATCCCACCAACATTGTGGATCCGTGGGAGAATCCCACATTCGAAATCTATCACATAACTGACAAGTGAGTTCTTGAGTCTGTAATCTCTATCCCTTAATCTAATGTCCGCTGATATCTGATGTCTTATCGCCTTCATTGCAGATATGGCTTTATGCACGACTCCCGCCTGCCCACCACGCGCAACTCTCAGGAAATGCAGCTAACCAAGATTGAGCTCGAGCGTGATAAAAAGTGGATGAAGATGCTCGCCAAGTGGCCGCCACCTCAGGACAAGCTGCACACACGTGTGTACAAGGGAATCCCCAAGGCCGTTCGCTGGCCAGCCTGGAAGAAGCTGCTCAATGTCGACCAGTCGATGGCCAACAATGTCGGCGTTTATCCCCGTATGCTCCAGCTGGCCAAGAAATACTCCACGGAGACGCGCCAGATCGACGCCGATGTGAATCGCCAGTTCAGAGACAATCTTGCCTATCGGGAGCGCTACAGCATCAAGCAGTGCTCGCTGTTCAATGTGCTCAATGCTTATAGTATCTACAACTCGGAGCTGGGCTACTGCCAGGGGATGGCTTGCGTGGCTGGGGTGCTGCTGCTATTTATGCAGGAGGAGGAGGCCTTCTGGGCCCTAAATACACTGATGACCGACCAAAAATATGGCATGCACGGACTGTTCATTGAGGGATTCCCCAAGCTGACGCGCTTCATCGACCACCACGATCGCATTTTGTCCAAGATCATGCGCAAGCTACACAAGCATTTCACCAAACACAATGTAGACGCCCTGCTCTATGCCATCAAGTGGTTCTTCGTGGTCTTCGTAGAGCGGGTAAGGGCATGGGCATTGGCTCGTTGGCTCAGTTGAAAATATGAATATCTCATTGATTCTGTTGCAGGTCCCATTCAGTCTGAGTCTACGCGTGTGGGACATATTTCTGTTGGATGGTGATCGAGTTATTCTGGCCATGGCCATCACCATTCTATATCTGCACAAGGATGAGCTGCTCCGCATGAAGGATATGGACGCCATCATTGAGTATCTGCAAGTGAAGCTCCACAAGAACTTTGGCTACTCTGACGACGACGCCATACATGCCCTCGAACGTGTGATGAAGAAGCTGAAGGACTTGAAGCTTGATGCGCCGCCACCAGCCAAATCGAACGAGTTTCCCTCGCGCACCTTGGGCGATTTCGTCGAGGCGGATTTGGAAAAGAAAATCGGACGTAGACGCAACGATTACTCAGACACGGAGAAGCAAGTCATAACAGATGTGATATCAAGGTTGTAAATGCATATTTAACAAACAATCAACAATGTTTCAGGTCTCAGTATTTGTATTATCCTTGCAGACAAGAACAGAATGCAATTGATGTGCAATCGACGGTGTCCTATGAGACTTCGGAGTGCGCTACGGGTGAGTGTCGCGTGGTCTGACAATATCCCCCACACTTTTGTACATACTCTAACTAATACTAACGCTTGCTTCCCCACAATCCACTAACAAACCCAAGTAACTCGGCAATAAGCATTCAGTTACTCTTGGTTTTTTTTATTATTAATATTGTGTGGTGCAAGACTTGTACATTATTTACCGAACAGAAAGAAATATAAGCAGTTCCCCCAAAACGAATTTGAGTTGGTGTCGCACTATTGTATGTAATTGTATATACACAAATCTGTATCCGTATGTCCCCCCCCCCCCCAGCCCCTTCCAAAAGAAAAGAAAGTTATTTTCAGTTGAATTACGTTATGGTATATTGTATTTCCTTTATTTGTTCGTAGCGATGTCTAGATTTTCATTTGATTATACATATATTTAGAACGATAATCTAAACAGTAGTCCTCTTTCAGGGTGAACTCGAGCTCCGTTTAAGTTTACTTTTTAATTCAACATTTGCACGCTGGGTGGGCGGGGAACGTGGCGTTGTGTGTGTGTGTGTGTGTGTGGATGGTCAATGGGATTATCGTCGGAATTAAATTAAATGGAAGTTAGCTAATCTTAGTGGTTTTGTATGGAATACCAAGGACGGGCAGGACGGAACCCCCTAGCAGTAATGGATCTAATTCAAACGGGCACTAATTATAACTGTATATGTATATATATATATATAGATCAATGCTGTATAAAAATTACCATTTAAGGGCTGCCCTCTGGCCAGCCATAACCAAACAATCAAACAATCCAACACAATCCAGTTCACGCTTATTATGTACGCCCCCTAAAGTTCATGTCACATAATCGGATGATCCATCTTGTAACCATTGTCTAACATTGTCCGCTACGTGTACATATGTATGTCTGCATCGATCACATGCCACCGCTTCGCTTCTGCGTGTGCGTTTGGGTTTGCGTTTGCGTTTTGTGTCCGCCCCCCGCCTGGTGTGATGGAGCCGCCCCCAATCTGAAAACAAATCCAGAAATGAACTTAACCCGCAATCGCTTCTGTAATTTTGTTCCTAGGTGATGCATACTCAATGAAAACCTATCAGAGTATCACTAGCTTAGCCACCTCGCCGGCAAATAGCAGCTACTCGCTGTACAGCAGCGGATACGTGGTGACCACTATTGAGAATGCCCACGACCACAAGCACGACCCCAGTCGCAGCCAGAGTATCCACAATCTCACCTATCTCAACTCTCAGCCGCCGCAGCATGCCCTTCCCAATGGGTTGCAGCACATGCGGCACAGCTTCAGCAGCGATAGCGACAGTCGCAATCGCCTCGATCTGGATCAGGCACTGGAGGCGCTCCAGAGACAACAGTTGTACATGCACGTGAAGCCACAACCAGCACTAGCAGCTGGCCCCCGGGAGCTGGAGCGGGGTCTTTATATCGTGCAGAATGGAGACAGGCATATGGATCAACAGCAGCCAAATGGTGTCCATGTTAATGTCAATGCCAATGCCAATGCCACTGATGCTGATGATAATGATGATGCGTTGAGCGTGGAGAACACGCGCCTTTAGTTTTTAGTTGATTTCTAATATTTAATCTTTCTTTTTTTAGTTAATGTCTTCCTTTATGGTTTGTAAAACGCATTTGCCAACTGCAATTCCAATCCCCCATTGCCCACAATGAAAATTTTCACATACTTAGCTTTAATTTTTGTATTTTCACCGCGTTGCAACGGGAAAACTGAATTGTTAATCATTTTCTAGCGTTAATCAATGTTTGTATTTAGTTTTTTTCTACTTTTATGTGTTGCCTCCTCCTCCACACTCTTTGATATTAAATACCTACTTACATATGTATTCCAAACTGATAACTCCTAAGATTCCAACGATTCCAACGTGTGAAACTACGTACAACGATTAATATTTATTGATATCTATCCGCCTAACGACCTTTCCAAACTACTTTGCACCTACTTTCCCATGCATTTACTCATACATTTATTGCATACATATATTATTATCGCTTTACGAAAGAAACTCAAATTTAGTTTACCTTAAAGCCAAATTGAAATGGTAGTTGTAATTTGATTAGCCAATAATTATACCAATATGATTATATATACAACATACGAGTACGAGTATACCGAATCCCTTTACGTACCGTACCGTACCACACAAATAAATATAATTTTATACTGAAAATGAACTCACCTGCCAGCATGATTAATGAATATTGATTATACCTACCCGAATATACATAAATAGGGCTACCTACACATTTATTTCCGATTCGATATTTGTAATGCAAGAACGTGTTTCAGATTCAGAGATCTACTGTATGAATCCGATTTTTGCACCACCTCACAAACACCACCACCACTTCGTACAACCACAACAACACTAACACCGCTAACAACAAAAACTTCACATTTACACCTCAATCACATCCTCAACTCAACTCAACGAAAACTAAATGAAATTTTCAAAAACCAAACTTCTTTCCAACGCATTGGCCACACAACGAACTGGGATTGGGTTCTGTTCGATAATTGACAAAACAAACAAAAACTAAATGCCATTTTATTAGTTACGCTTACCGTTCCCGAGGACTCGCACTCAATACGAAGTTCGCTTGCAGGTACTTCAGTTGCCTCGCACGGCTCGTCGGAGACCATGTCACTGGAGGACAACAAGTGAGTAACGAGTAACGCAACCAGTAGCCCCAACTAACCTGGCTCTCTTGCAGTATTCACCTGAAAACCGCCAATATGCTTCAGAGCACGCCACAGCGAGAGATTCTCTTGGGCACCTGACGTCAACTGCCGCCGGCATCTTGCTCGACGCTGGCAGCTGCAGAAAATCATACCACAACAGCATTAGGGAGCACTGCCACCGCCACATCCTCTCCACGAGCAACCCCAACACCACCGCCTGTACCGCCCCGATCGCCGCTGGCTCTTGGATGATTGTTAAGGCAGCAGACGACAACGAACCCAACTGGAATAACCTAGGGCTGCCTGTTCGTTGCCGTCTGCTGCCTATGTCTTGCCTTGAGTCTTCTATTCTTACCACAGCCACAACAACGCAGAGCAACAGCAGTAGCGGTGGCAGGCAGGACTATCAACTATATCCAAGAGTAGCGAACCTAATTTATGATAATCATCAACCATACCATCTGTATATAAGACAAGTCGTTTAAGTTGGAGAACAAAGAGCCGAGCGCTTGTAAAGAAGCTTTGGGCAGACTCAGTTGAACGAGTTTCTGGCACAGCGGAGCCAAATGAACATTGCAGAAGTTACCATGTTTGAAATTTGATTAAGCAATTGAGAATTAAATGCAAAATGCAACATGCTAAAGGAACAATATTTAAGCAAGAGCAAATCGTATCTAATACACACATACAAAGCGGTTAGAAATCCATTAGATTGCATATTGAACTACGAATAAACAAATATTATAAATTGTTGTAAATTGTACTTGTATATACGTACCGAAGAGAATACAAAGCAACGTTAAAAAGTTACGTCCAAGAAATGTAAGCTGGAGTGGGAGGGAGCCAGAGCCAGAGCCGAACACAACCAAATATTAATCGAATGAAATCGAATCATTATGATAGATATAATATTATATGTATGTAGTTATACGACGCAGCAACAAATTGACGAATGAAATGCAAGTGCAAGTTCATTCTTTATAATCATTTTCGGGATGAGCATTTACACGAATCATAGACTATGAATCATTAAATTAAGTTGCCCAACAAGGGAATCATTTATTTATTTAAGTAATGGATTATGTTCAAGAGCGTTTTATAAATAAAACTAAACTGAATTTGCAACGTTCCCACCCTTATCTCACGACTGCGAGTCCACCTTGCCGCCCTTCTCGATAACCTTTCCCAGATCCTTCAGCGATACCTCGCCTGTGCCGCGTGCCAATGGCTGCGGCTGGTTGGGTCCTGGCTTCCAGCCGACAAAGTAAATGATTTGGAAGGTGGCCGGAACACCGCTTTCATTGGGCTTGGCATAGAGCTCCTGGTAGATGGCACTGGCCGCCAGCATTGTCTCACGACTAAGGTGTGCGGGCCTGTTGAAGGCCGCGTTATTCTCTGCCATTCCCTTGAGATCCCACATCAGCTCAAACATGCTGGGATAGCCAATAACTAGTTCGTCGGTGTCTATGGTCAGCATGGTGAAGCCGGCGCGGTTTAGCAGAGATCCGATGTCTCGAATTTGGGTAAACGGCGAAATGTGCGGCGAGATTCCACCCTTGCGCTCCAGCTCGGCCAACTGCAGCGAGGAGCGCAGTTCGTACAACGTATCCCCGCCAAACATGGAGGCTATGAAGACGCCGTCTGGCTTTAAGCTGCGCTTAATCTTGGCAAAACAGCCCGGCAGGTCATTTACCCAATGCAGACTCAGGCTGGAGATGACCAGATCCAGGGAATTCTCCTCAAACTGTGAATACAAATCGTTGCACGTGACCGTTGGAAAGAAATTCAGATTCTTTTTTACCCACATCCAAGTTCTCCTCATCACTGACTATTTTCTTCATTTTGAGACCTGGCGTGCCCTGCGCCTGCTCAAGCATGGTGGCACTAGTGTCTGTGAGCGTCAGATGCTCCACACTCTCTGCCAGAATGTGCTTGGAGAGGTAACCTCGACTGCACCCGATGTCAGCTGCCGTCTTGAACTCGCGCTTGATGTCAAACACGCGATCCGCCAGTCGGAAGCCCACCTCCTCCTTCAGATAGTCATATACTCCCACATTCTCACTGTGGGTCCAAAAATTGATTAGAAATCCACTTTAGAACCCAAGACAGGAACGGAACGGAACACTTACCTCAGGGCGGCTCGTTCCTTTTGCAGCCGCTTGGCGTTGCGGTCAAAGATACTTTGATGCGTGGGCTGTGTGAGTGAGGAGAGGGCCCGCAGATCACAGGTGACCTTTAAGGTTGATAGCTTTGTTATGTTCCTTAGCATATTCCGTTAAACGCGAATGCGGTAACCACCAACAATTCAATCTGCCGCACCGGCAGGGCAGAGAGAAAGAGAAAAAAACAAAAATACAGCTCAGCTGTTTCATTGATGAAGTTACTACCCAACACTGTCCGCCTGTGATAGATTTTGGCGCCAAAAGCCGTAGTTCAGCGCGAGTCTGTGTTTATTTTATTTTTATTGAACATTGAACAAAATGAGCTTCTCTCGGAGTGCCCTGCGCTATGCGCACACCAATGGATACACTGGACTCCTGTACACGCCGAAGGGCGAGTTCATCATTACCTGCGGCACCGATGGCGACATTCGCCACTGGACGTGCATCAGCGACGATGACCCACGCTCCACCTGCCTGGGTGAGTTTGTCATGTGCATCGCCCACTCGGGCAGCCGTCTCCTGGCCTCCACGGATCGCAACACCATACATGCCTACACCTTTCCCGACATGGACAGCGATGGCATCCTGATGCGTTTCACCGCCCCAGCAACGTGTCTTAAGGTGTATGGCGAGTACACGGCTGCAGGCAGCGAGGATGCAACAATTAAGGTGTTACGGGGCGACAAAGCCGGAAATGAAACCGTCCTGGAGGGTCATTCGGGACCCATACTCGCCCTGGACATGTTTATTGAGAGGAAATTACTGGCCTCAATCAGCGGCGACGGCCAGCTCAAGGTGTGGAACTTTGAGACGGCAACAGAGCTGAAGAGCATTACTGGATTGCCACGGGTGAACAGTTTCGAGAGTGCTACCCAATACGGCACGCCCAGCTTCGAGCCCCAGAGCGGGGAACTGCTGGCCTATGCAGCGGACAACGAAATTGTGGTGCTCAACACGGCCAACTGGGAGGTCGCCTACAAGCTGCGCGACGACAAAGTCTCCAGCAACTACAGCTGCTGCCAGTTCTCTCCAAACGGGGAGCGTCTGGCCGCTGGAAGCACCAAGGGCGAAGTGAGCGTCTTTGACATAAAGAAGCGCAAGGCCATCTCTGTGGAGTCGCCCCCAAATGATTGCAATTCCATCACTTGCTTGGCCTGGAGCCAAGCGGACGAGGAGGAAGTGGCCTTTTGTGATGCCACTGGCCAGCTGGGAACCGTATTCATGAGCGACGATACAGAAGCCGATTTGCAGGAGGAACTGGAATCAGAGGACGTCCGAGCGGATCTGCTCAGCAAATTTAAGTTCGTGCGAGCAGGAAATCCAGAAGCGACTGAAGATGATGGTGACGGTGTTAGTCTGGAGCAGTTGAAGCGCGACGTCATGAACTACGCGGATCCCATTGATGATGAGCTCTCCAACCAGTCCCTGGCCAGCGGCAGCAGAGTGGCCCCTGCTCCAGCTGCTCCCCAAATGAAACTTTTCAAACAGCAGTCTGCCTTCCAGCCCAGCGCCACGCCCAGCGATCTCGAGCACCGCTACTTGGCCTGGAACGATGTCGGCATAGTCACAGGCCATGTGGAGCCGTCTGGCGAGAGCTCCATAGATGTGGAGTTCCATGATGCGAGCATTCACCATTCCCTGCACATAAGCAACTACAACCAGCACAATCTGGCCAGCGTGAGTAGTGGAGCGCTTGCCCTGGCCTCCAACGAGTCCAGCAAGCTGGTGGTGATTGCCCTGGCCGCCGCGGGAAACAAAGAGTGGTCGCTCAGCTTGCCGGACTGCGAGTCCGTGGATGCGTTGGTGGCCACCAGCCACCTGGTCGCAGTGGCCACCAGTGCCAGTTTCCTTCGCATCTTCAGCGTTATGGGTACCCAGCGCGAGGTGCTGAGCATACCAGGCCCCGTGGTGGCCATTGCCGGACACGAGCACAGCCTGATGTTGGTCTACCACAGCTCTGCTCCAAGCCAGACCCAGCAGCATCTCTCGGCCATGCTGGTGAATATCAATGGACTGAGTCTTCGTCTGGAACATCTGCCCGTGCCCCTCACTCCTGGCAGGCAGATAGCCTGGCTCGGCTACACTGACACCGGGTCGCCTAGCATGGCAGACAACATGGGTCTGCTGCAGCTGTACAGGAAGAGCAGCAATGCCTGGTTCCCCATTTGCGACACCATGAAGCAGAGCTCCAGCGTGTCCAACAACTACTTTGTAGTTGCCGTCTCCGAGCGGCGGCAAATTGTGCAGGCAGTCCTCTGTCGCGGCACATCCTATCCGATGACCAATCCCCGCCCCATGCTGCAGGAACTGCGCATGCAGATCCCACTGTGCGATATCGAGGTGGAGAAGTCGGAGCTGGAGGATGCCCTGCTCCGGTCCAGTCTGATGCAGGTGGAGGGTGCCGAGAAGATGCAGAAGGAGACCGCCATCAAGCTGTTTGCTCTGGCGTGCAGCAGCGAATGCGAGACACGAGCCCGCGAGCTTATCGTGTCGATTGCCTCCACTGAGCTCCTGCAGCTGGCTGTCAAATATGCCACCAAACGAGGACGCATTCATCTCTCTGATCGACTGTGTGAACTGCTGCCCCAGCTGGAGGCTATCCAGGAGGCGCGCAAGCAGCAAACGCTTCTGGGCGCCAGTGGGATAGCAGCCACCATTGTCCTGCCCATGACTCCTACGGCGGGATCCCAGGGTCAGGGACCCAAGCCCAAGGCCATCGAGTTGAGCTCCTCGAAGCGCGGGGCCCTGAAGCGTTTCACCAATTCGCCAAATATGTTCAAGGCAGCTGCTCGACCCTCTACACCCGAGACAACCACCCCACTGGATACGCAGGAGAACATATTCGGAGACGCCGACGCCGAGTCCGAGGTAGCGACCGGTAAATCATCGGAGCAGCGTACCCCTCTCAACTCTGTTAATCCCTTTGCCATGAAACGCAAACTGGTCGACACAGGCGTTATATTTGGTTCCGAGAAGTTGAAGCTCGCCAAAAAATAAACTTCTAAATTATAAGCCTATTAAATTTAAATAACTATAATAAATAAATCGTTTAAATATGTGTGACCATATTGGTGATCCACAATACCAAATGATACCAATAGATGGTTTCAGCGGCTGGTCACACTCGCGAATTAGTAAATCGGTACTTTCAGCGAATTTCATGTCAGTGAAGTTTTTGTACCTTGGTTTGAATTTCTATAAAATAAAGTATCATATGTCACAATTTCTAACAAACCAACATTTACGCACATACGCAAGATCACACTCGTAAAAGGTCCGGGGCTCAGTTCGACGGTTCAGCAGCAAATGCAGTTAGAAACTTTAAAATTTGCAGTGATTTGTAAGTGCATATTCCGCTTTGGTCTTGGTTACGTTACGTTACCAACACTGGAAGCTGTCTGTTCTGTGTTGATGATTTTTCTAGCATTCGCCGTTACTCGAATTCACGCATATAGATGTGTTTATGAGTATGTGTATATGACGCCGCTTATTTATTAGTCAACAGAACATTGTTCGTACCGGTTGTCGTTTTGTGTTGCATTTGTACCGATAAACGGTTGTGTATTCCGTGTGTGTGTGTGCTGTGTGCGAAAATTACTAACTAAATATTGATACCCATAATACAAACAAATAAAAATATCTGCCCGGTTAGTTTAGGAACATGACGAAGAGCAAGAAAAAGAAGGCCGCTGCTGCAAAGAACAACAGTAATAATGCAATCGGTGCAGAAAGTGTTCCCCCCAGCATACTGACGCCACCGGGTACGCCGCCAAAAAACGGATTAAAGATCACCAACAACTACGGCAATGGCACATATCGAAGTTCGTCTGTCTCCTGGGGTAAGCAACAGGTCCTTGACTACGGGCGCTTGGCTTCCCTTGCTGATCTGATGATTATCTCGTTGCTCCTCCTTGCCTAGAACGAGAATTCATTGGACTCTTTCTGCTGGAGATGGGCAACAGTCAGAAGATCAGTGGCCGCAATGATTGGTACGTGGATAAGACGCAAATGCGGAAGCTCTTCGAGGCCCATCTGGGAAAGTGTCCCAACTACGTGGAGCTTCGCATCAAGCTGTCTGCCAATGGAGCCTATAACGTGAGTATCGGATAAGATTCTAGTCACTAGACCGAACGCACACAAAGAGACACTCACACGCATACTAGGACAGGCCTTCCCGATAAGAATATGAAAACACGTACATACATACAGATTTTGCATTCATTTTCTTTGTTTGCAAACCTTTGTCGGCTCGACTCGACGAACGTCTTATCCCATACAGCAATTCATATACTTGTAGATTCCCTCTATCAGGCAATGAGTCATGAGTCATGGAGTCAATGAATTATTCTAATGTTCGTGGGTTTACCCCGGCCGAATTAACTCTCGCTCGTTTCGCTTTCTCAACTTTAGACCGGATCATTGGTTTAAGTAACAACTACATTATTTAGAATAGAATCTCCCGTCGAACCATCAAAGAGTTATGTTTTGTCATTGCTTCTGAAAGGGGGAGAAAAATGCTAACTAGCTTTTGGGCTTTCCAATGCAGCATTCCATATGTTTCCATTATATATACATATAAGAACCAACTTCTTTGCATTTATCTGAGGGAATTTCCAGTAATTTCCAGGCAAAACTGGAATCTTGTGATTCCCCGTTGTAACCGGGTCTTGGGCGAAATAAAAGTCTCGAATTTCACGGATGTCGGCACTTGACAGCAGAGAGATAAGAAATACAAATTTGAAAGATAGAAATAATGGCAACGTTTTCGTTTCGAACTCAATAAACAGATTGGGTCGCTGATGCAGCGAACCAACTTCCTGATGAACACGCCGCGGGGAAGCTCCAACTATCGCATTAGGAGCTTCTCATTGATGGAGTTTCGGAGGGAGAAGTTTAATGCGATTGATGAGAGGCAACGTCTGCGGGATGGAGTCACCATAACTGATCCAGTTTCTGCTATGGAGGGCAGTCTTGCGGGGAAAATTATCGAACAGTACGTCCTCGATACGGCAGCCACGGCGATGCCTCTTAAGTATCAGAAAACTCAGGTAATGCAGTCATCAACGAGCTTTGAACTCAACTCTATGGGGTGCTACATCTGCGAGGACCACTTTGAGTCGATTGAAAAGTATGAGGAGCATGTGGAGCATCATGGCGATGAGTCCGACTTTAAGTCACTTGAGAAAATGACCAAATTGTAAGGCCAAAGTAGATATCCTGCCCGTCCTGTCCATTTTTTAACGTGACTCCTACTCCTACTTCGACAGCTCCAGCCCCATGGTGACGCTTTCGTACCAGACCTGCGTCGACAGTCACTACTTTGGCTTCACCCTGAAGACCGACCTCAAGGATGTGGTAGTGCAGAAGTTCATTATTGTGCAGTCGCGGCAGTTCTACTACGTGTACAATGGACGGATGCCGTTGACGATGCCCGAGAATGGGGAGAAGGTTTTCTTTGTGGACTCGCACGTGTTCACGATCCTGCGTGAGATGCCCATTGTCATCGGGTTCACGAGCAAAGGCCAGCGCTACGTGGAACAGCACCACTTCATGCGAACCGAAGCCCTTCCTAAGGCCATGTTCAACATAAATCCGTACAGGTTGTCGACCAAGGAGATCTTTCGCGGCAAGGGCCTGCCCCGTGCCAATCCGCCCACGGAGGTAGTGCTCGCACTGAAGCACGACAATGCCCAGAAGCGTCTGGTGGAGTACGACAGAGACTACCGCAACTACTGTGCGCAGGGCAGGGAGCTCACACAGGTGAATATCGGCGGCGCTCTGCGAACCCTCCTGCAGGTGGAGGACATAGAGCGGCTGCAGCACTATCTGGGGCTGAAACAGTCGCAGGTGGAACTACATCAGTTCGGCAGGGAGCTGTCGGTGAAGATAAAGCTGCCTTCCGTCAATAATGGAAGTGTCGAGGATATCCTGTCCCCGGGGGACGACGTGCTAATCATCAACGAGCGTGTCAATCAAGGGAGTCCTGACAGTGTTCGGAAGCTGCTGGAAAACAGCAATCTTGTTCTGGAACTGGCCCTCAAGGAATTTGATGGGATCATCAAATGGGCCAAGGGTGTGGACGAGAAGTTCGGATCGCTGCCGAAGCAGCCGCGGGTCTACTTTGCCCGCATCCTGGGCGTGTCCACCCAGCGAGTGCACATCACCTGCGAGCGACAGCTGCCGGACAACACCACGTATTCGCTGATCTTCCGCCCAGTGCGGGCTGTGATGCGCTACCAGTACCGGGCTCTCGAGCAGTTGACTCTAACCAACAGCCAGAATGTGCAGCGGATTCTCTTTCCCGGAGAGATAACACGAATGCCGGTGACCAGGGGAGCTCTGAAGCTTCACGATCAGCGCATATCCGGCAATCCGGAGCAAATGCAGGCAGTGCAGCAGATTGCTATGTGCCCCAAGCTGCCCGCTCCCTATATTGTCTTTGGCCCGCCCGGAACCGGCAAAACGGCGACCATATGTGAGGCCATCTATCAGCTATTTGTGTGCAGGCCGGAAACACACATCCTCGTGCTGGCCGGATCGAACACCGCCTGCGATGAGATTGCGCTGAGGCTGCTCCGCTCCATAGCCAAGGCGCCGGAGACCCAACCGCGACCTCTAACTCGCATCTTCGCCGCCTGCTGCGATCGACGCATCGACAATATTGATGACCTGCTGCTGGAGTACTCCAACTTGTATGCCGTGCACTTTTACCCGGCCGTGCAGGCAGTGCACCAGTACCGCATCGTCGTCTGTACCCTTAGCTTGGCCGGGAAGCTCTCGACGGGTGGCTTCGCCATCGATGACAACAAGCAGCCCGTGTTCTCGCATGTGTTTGTAGATGAGGCGGCCGCCTCCACCGAAGCGGAGTGCCTCATGGGCATCACCTGCACGATCTCGCCCACCACGAATCTAATTCTATCCGGGGATCACAAGCAGCTCGGACCGGTGCTTCAGTCGCACCGTGCCAACGAGTGGGGGCTGTCCGTGTCTCTGTTCGAGCGCCTTCTCGAGCGAAAGTGCTACCAGGTGGATGCGGAGGGTGGCTACAATGCGGCTGTTCAAACGCGTCTCATTCGGAACTTCCGCTCCCACCCGGAGATCGTGTCTCTCTACAGCGATCTCTACTACAATAGCGAGCTCAAGGCGGAGGCTTCCATGGGTGAGCAACGCTCTTCGTACTTCGCCATGCACCATATTCTAATGTCTAGAATATGCCTTTTTGATTGCAGAGAATGTCTCTCGAGTGAAGAGCTGGTTCCACACGACCAATGAGGATTTTCCGATTATGTTCCATTCGGTCTTTGGCACAGTAATGAATACCAAACGGTCGGTTAGGTGAGTTGTCGGTCGGTTGTGCTTTAGGAGCTGCCATGGCACTCCGTTGGGTTACCTTTTCGTACCTTTGCTCTTTGCCGCAGCCTGTGCAACAACAAGGAGATCGACACTGTTATGGATTATGTAAAGGATCTCATGTACTTTGGCATCAACGGAAAGCAGGTGGCGCAGACGGACATCGGGATCATCTCGCCGTACAAGAATCAGTACCAACGGATCCAAGAGCAGCTCAACATGCGCAACTGGTCGCAGATCGATTGCGGTTCCGTTGAGTTGTTCCAGGGCAAGGAGAAGCAGATCATCATTGTGTCGTTTGTGCGCTCGTTCACCCCCAAGCTGGGCTTCCTCGACAACCAGCGGGTGAGTGCCTTCCCTTTGGAAGAGTCTTCATCTCTGTATCATCTAACCTTTGTACCCCACGTAGCGTTTGAATGTCCTGCTCTCGCGGCCGATGTCTTTGCTGATTATGATCGGCAACCCACGTACGCTGAGCCAGAATCACGACTTTCGGAGCATCATCGAGCTGTGCCGTGCTCGCAGGACTCTTGTGGGTGTCCCCTATTTTTCGGATGAAAATGGCAGTAAGGGCGTCAATGGAACGCCAAGAGAAAGCTTGGAGAACACACAAATAAGAAGTAAAAATTTCTACAATCGCCAGAGAAACAGATATCGTGAGCAAATAAATGTGATTCGAGCACAATCCAATGTCAAAGACGCCACTCTACTAGCAAAATAAATTGGCCCCAGTTCTCTTCTGCTGTCACCTCCTCCTACTCACTCCCAGCACTCCTTCTTGTTTCTCTGGCCCCGCCCCCACATCCAATGATCCACCACAAGCTAACGTTTCCCTCTTTAATTCAGCTGCAACAAAGAACGACACCCCAACGCAGGCGTCCAGGCTATTCTACAACAAGGAGGAGCTTCTCAAGCTGGGCATCGAGTCAAAGGCGAAGGTCCCACCCAAGTCGGAGCTGGACAAGCTATTCGATGAGTTGCCCAAGGTTCCGCGTTACGTGGATCACAGCTCGGACGCTGTTCGCTCGGTCACTACTCAAATAAGGAAACTGCAGGTGGAGAATGGAACGAATGTGAAGGCCAAACTACCGTCAGCATGTCCAGCCAATTCGAAGCCAATTCCAGTCAAGGCTACACCACAAGCAGCTGCTCCAGCAAAGATAACGACAACTCCAGTTAGAGCTGCAACCGCAAACCCATCGACTCCGCTTTCCATTCCGGCATCATCCCGCGCTTCTTATGCCATCGACTTCAACTACTATCCCACTGCTCCGGCATTGAGTCCCCCAAGGACTTCCACGAATCTGCATAGAGCCACGGTCTATAGCCATATTCCCACCGGCTCCACACGATTCGAGAATGTTCGTGCGCCGCCTGAGCACAACTCGTATAGAAATGAATCGCCAGGACCGACTATCTATAGCCATATTCCCACCGGCTCCACACGATTCGAGAACGTGCGTGCGTCGTCTGAGCATAACTCGTATAGAAGTCAGTCGCATTTCAACGCAAGCCACGGGCCCAGCTACAGAGGTCCACGGGCAGAGGATCCAAAGCCCGAAAAGAAGAAGTCGACGTGCACCATTTCATAGCTACGGCACACATTTCGACTAACAAAACATATGAGGACCCGCGCAGGCGCCTAACCTAACAGTCGTCTGCGGGGTCCTCTTTTTGACTTTGCTATCTTGGCATTTGAGCGGTCTTCTCTCGTCGATCGTCCACGTGCCAAGTAGCAAAACCACAAACAAAATGCCTACGCATTTGGCGTGCACTTATTCGCGGGGGGAGAAGCAACGGAAGTCATTTGATTTCTGCTCTGGTGCTCCCCCTTGGAATAGCTCCAAATGCGAGTGTATATTTTATTTTATAATTTTTATGATTTAATAATGTCAGACAAGAGATTTCCTTGAAGTTGCATTGTTAAAAGTTGTATGCAATTTTATGCATTGTTTGCCAAAGTGGAGAGAGAAAGTATATTTTTAAAGTGACTCCCAGGCAAACACAGAATACAATTTGATCATTTATATTGTCATGTTGGATTCCGTTTACAAAATGTCACGACTTCAAACAGAGACATACTGCGTGGGATGCCCCTTCGATTTACATGAATCCGAGTTAAATATTTAGTGTGCAAAGGACTGCGAAGTAAGTCCTCTTTAATTTTGTTACTTTTTTCAATCTTTGCACTGTTCATTCGAATTGTATTAAGAATAATAATTGAAAGGCATTGTGTATGATTTATATGTTATTTAAATGGCAGATCGGCCGTATGGACTATGTATTCCAGCATTTATGCTTTCACTTACTCTAAGATAAACAAACCCCACACAGATTTCAATAAAGACAAGCACGAAAGCTACAAGTTTTATAACAAACATAGTTGGCCTTTAAAAATTGAAAATTTCGTGTTTGAAGGGGTGGGGAGTCAACCACTCAACACACATTTTTCGTTATCGTTTCCAACAACATCAACTGTAAAAAGAAACAACTTTCAGAATTTATTGAAAATTATTGTGCGAGCAAACTCAAAAGATTCGTCAGCATTACGGTTCGTCTCAATATAAACGTACAGATTCTCAATCGCGGGATGAATGCCTCTGGGAAGACCAATGGGCGTGGTGCCGGTGCCGGTGCCGGCGCTAGTGCTAGTACCGGTGCCCCTCCAGCCCCAAACTACAATCGACGCAGCACGGACGCGACGCGCGTCACTGGGAACAGCAGCTCGGCCAGGGCCATGTTGACGGCGCCGCTATCGGGTCACTCGGCGGGAGCTCGCAAGGCGGCTCACTGCGGAGCGGGCGATGGAGACTCCGTTGACGGGGGTTCCTGGAAGATGCAAGGACATCGCCTAGGCGGCTGTTCCCCAGCAGCCACAGCACCCATATCGCGCCTGGCACGGCCCACCATTGCCTCGGCCCTGAGGGCATCCAGCAATCAACAGTCGGTCAAGCACCAGCGCGAGCAAGCCGCTGCTGCACTGACGGCCACTCTGCACAGGTCGGAAAAGGTGGCCGCAAAGAGCAAGAGAGCTGCAACTGGAGGTTGGGCCAGGAAGGAAGCTGGGATGACAGAGTCGGCGAAGCTGGCGGCTCGATCTCGTTTGTGGCCATCAAAGAAGGCGGGTGGAGGTGAGGCTCTCCGGCGTAAGAAGGTAGCTGATGCCATGAACCTGGAGGAGACTTTGGAGGCGGACGATGCTGGCCTGGAGGCGGATCTTCCGGAGGAGGATCCATCCGATTGCCTGCTGGAGGCGGGCGTTCAGACCAACGAGGAGGAGATACTCAGCCAAGGCCCGCATCCTGGCTTGAGGGTAGTGACCCCCTCCCAGCCACTGATGGAGAAAATTGTAAGAGAGCGTCGCGAAGCTAAGGCCCGGCTGGACCGCCAAGCGACACGCAGATTCGCCTCCTACGAGCTGGAGGAAGAACAGCATCTGGACGAGCTGAAGGAGTTCTCGGAGCGCAATGCCATCACCAAGCGCAGTCCCAAGAAGCCGCCACCCGTCATGTACGCCAGCTACGACAATCAGTACCAAAACGTTTTCAAGTCCATGGACGACTTCTTCACCCGTGAGATCCCAAAGTCTGAGTCCATCACCGACATCAAGGAACGCATCAAGCGCAAGGAGCTGGAGCTCCTCAGCCTCTTCGATGGGGTCGACAGCACAAAGGAGTAGCCAGATTTCGAGCCGCCACCCCAAACCAGTTTAAATTCCAAATTCTTTGTATACAAATTGACCAAAGTAGTTCCCGACTAAAGGGAGCAAAGGGTCCCAAGTTCGTTTCAATAAAGTTGAAATCTTCATCCGAAGATCGAGCTGGGCAACATACATACGTATATTTTCCAAGAGCAGCAGGTCAACACATTCGCCGCGTTAACATAACTTGTCCAGCAAGTAATTAAAAAAAAAAAGAAGTAAAACAAAAGGAGAACCCGCAGGGCTCTAAACTTGAAATACCCTTCCCTGCCACTCGGATATGTGCGAGTTGTGTGGCCACCAATTGTTACACCTCCCACTTTATGGCATGCACAATACCCTTTGGGAGGGCATGATGGCAAGTACAGTCGCATTTAAATTACGCTTAGCCAAGCAGTACTACATACCAACCAGTTGTCACTTTCTCTGCGGGCCGAAAGAAGACGATTTCCCAGTCAACAACAGTCAGCGCTCGCTCAGTCAACGCTGGCAACTGGTCGCGCGAGCAATGGAAAAGTCGCATCATCAGTTTCCCCATGAAATTCGCGATGTGGAGGAGTCGACGAATGCCGAACTGCTGGAGTACTTTAAAGGTGTGTAGTGTACTTGACTAATGCTAGTGTAACTCCTGGCTCCTGGTTTTCAGGCGAGCGAACTGGTTTTGTTCAGGTTGGAAGCGAGGGCTACTTCTTTCCCATCAAGTTCAAAGACGAGGCGCAAAAGTATTACAACTTTGAGGCTCGACCGGATGACGTCTGGATAGTGACTGTGCCCAGATCGGGCACCACTTGGACACAGGAGCTCATCTGGCTGCTGGCCAATGGCCTGGACTTTGAGCAGGCCCAGCGGCGACCACTCACCGAGCGTTTCCCCTTCTTCGAGTTTCCACTCTTCATGCACAGCCAGGTCAAGGCAGAACTTCTGGAGGAGAACCATGAATCAGCTGGCGCCTTGGAATTCATTGAGAAGATTTCACGGCCGGGATACGAGGTCCTCAGTGAAGTGCCTTCATCCGAGCGACGCTTCATCAAGACGCACTTTCCATTCTCCTTGCTGCCGCCGAGTGTCCTGCAGAACAAGTGCAAGGTGAAAACAGACTCTTCGTCAAGCGCAATTACTTTTATGCAAAAATCGAATGCAACCTCGTGTGTATTTCAGATCGTTTACGTTGCCCGCAATCCCAAGGACGTCGCAGTCTCCTATTACCACTTGAACAGGCTCTTCCGCACCCAGGGATACGTCGGGGACTTTGAGCGTTTCTGGCGCTACTTCCAACGAGGATTAAGTCGGTGATCCATAGCAGCATTTGTCATAATACATTTTGACTATCGAATGTTCCATGCAGATCCCTGGCTGCCGTACTACAGCCATGTGAATGAGGCCCAGAACCATAGCCACTTGTCCAACGTTCTCTTTCTGCGATACGAGGACATGCTGCAGGATCTGCCGGGAACTGTGCAAAGCATTGGTTCGTTTCTGGATTGTAGACCGAGTGCCGAGGACCTGGACAAATTGCTCGACCATCTGAGCATTCGAAACTTTCGGGAGAACAAGTCGGTGAACATGCACGAAATGGCCTCCGTAGGAATCCTCAACAAAAACGAGGCGGGCTTCGTCCGCAGCGGCGGTGGAGAGGGTGCCAAAAATGGTACCCACGCCCAAAAGGAGTTTGTCGACAATCCCAAGCTGCTTAAAAGCGCCAACGAATGGATCGAACAGAATGTTCAATGCTTGAGGACCCTATGAAAGGCTGCACAAATATTTTTTTGTTTGGTAATTTTACTCTTTTCTTTGTTTGGTTTAAATTGAAGCTGTATTGAACTAGAACTAACGTATTTGCACATTGAAACTATCCACACTGGCATTGGCTATCTGCTTGTGTATATCGTTGACCTCCGCCTGAGTCAGGGTGCGCTCCATATGGCGGTAAACAATGCGGAAGCAGACGCTCGACTTGCCCGTCTTCGGATGCTTGAATTTGTCCACTAGACTGATCTAAAAAGGAGGTAGAGCTACAGTTCCGTAGGTACTCTGTAGGGTATAGAGGCACTCACCTGTTCAACAATGTCGCCAGCCACCGTCCGAACCAGATCGTAGAAATCGTTGGGCGAGAAGCCAGCATCGACCTCCACATCGGAGGGCAGCCAGAAGGAGAGGTCGTTTGTGCATTGCGGAAAGTGGGAGATGGGTTTGTACTTTGGCAGATTGAGCAGATCCTTTTCGCTGAACTGCGAGAGGAAGCCGCTGTCGGCGGACCAGAACAGGCGAATGTCCGGTATATCGAAGAGCACCATAGCCAGCCGCTCGAGGCCGAGACCAAAGGCGTAGCCAATTGACTGATGGACGCCGGACTGTTGGAGAATCTCGTGGCGCATGATGCCACAGCCAAGAACCTCCAGCCAGTTGTTCTTGAAGAAGATCTCCAGCTCCCAGGAGGGTTGCGTGAAAGGGAAATAGGTTTCCACCCAGCGGTACTTGATGCGGGGGCCAAACAATTCCTTCGTCAGACCCACAAGGATGTGCTTCATCTCGTGCTCCATCAGTTTGACGGCTTCCAGAGTGTGACAGGGCTGCTTCGTCTGGTCCATGCATTTGGATGAGGGAAGAATCAGCTTCGGATCGGCCACCGAGCCCGTCCAAGTCTCCTCGAACAGCTCCAGGCCGGGATTGCGCTCAAACAGCTTGTCCTTTGTGACTAGACGCACTGCATCTGCCTGATGGAACACCGGGTAGTGGGTGCTGTCGATCTCATCGCGCCGATACACCTCCCCCACCACAAGGAAATTGTCCAGGCCACCTGAAATCAATTCGACCTGGTGGGCGGTGGTGTGGGCGCGCAGCAGCTGGTGCTGGTTAATGTAGTAGCAGTCAGATTTCTGGCGACTCACATGGTCGCTGGGTATCAGCAGGTTGTCAAAGTTCTGCTGCACTGTCACCACAGGATTCAGTTTGTCGTAGACGGAAAACAGTGGATTTCCGCGCTGATTCCGGTAGGCTCCATAGAAGTAATTAACGATGCGCTGGCGAATGATCGACAGGGGATGATCCCTCTGCAGATGCTTATTGGCTCCCAGGTACGACAGAATTTTGGGCGTCACATTCGTCCAGCTGTCGCTGGCGTACGTGCTCCCATTCACCTCGAGTTGTGACTGCGCAGGGGGCGGGGACTTTTCCACAACAGCGTTACTGGCCAGGCAGCGGCTCCGGCTGCAGCTACCCGTCCGCAGAGATAGCCTGGAGCCCTGCACACGTAGTGTCAGCAGCATATTCGGGTGTTATATTAAATTAATATGAACAATTGCATATTATAACACACAACACAGCTGTTTGGTAGCTGCAAAATTATCGATAGTATCGATAATGACAGTAGGGGTACTTTTTAAATTAATATGGATGCTCAATATATTATTTCCAAAAAAAATTTATGAGAATACTGTATCCATGAGTGAATCTAGTTGATATTATTGTGAAATCAAGAAAAACTAATAAACTTGATGAGACGAGAGCTAACAGAGGTGCTGGATAAATATTTTCCAATTAATGTATGGTCGTGTTGTACAACACTAAAATTGAAGACTGTGATAGAAAATATACATCTAATGGGGTATGCAGTGAGAGCGAGAGAAATATATGTACATATGTATGCTCTAGTTTGGTTATGTAGGTTCTGGTGGCAAAGAAACGGTAAAATCATACTTGGAACTTCAAAGTTTGAAGGTACATTACATATGTAGATATGTATTCGTGTTCATTCATGTTCGTTTATATATTTTGGCCTGCCTTGGCCCTATGTACATACATACATATGTAGTGTGCAAGGGTTTCATCAAAGACAATATAAGAATATATATACTTATATTGTCTTTGGTTTCATTTTCACCTCATTCAGAATGCGTACTACGTATGTATGTATGTACAAAATTTACATACATACAAACATAAGTACATACATAGATGGATGATTGGTTGTAATGGATCATATGAAAGTCAAATTCTTGCATCCTTGGATATTTATTAAATCGTTATTATGGTATTTACATTTATAATATGTAGATACATACATACATATGTATGTGTGTATTTATGTATATTTACTGGTATGCCTATAAACAATGGTTATGTTTTCTTAATTGCAAAATTCTAAAATCGCAGCTGACATTAAGGATCCGACATATCAGGATTATCATGTAAATAATAATAGCAATGATAAATGTACGTATTGCAAAGTAATATCTAATCTACATACATACATACATATTATATGTATGATCCTTCAGCTCTACCGATCCAAAACTAGCTTCAGTTAATTCGAATATCATACTCGTACGCTGCTCCCTGCTAATCCCTTACAGTTGATGACATGCTAGAGTTCAAAGTTGATGTTTCTTTTTGTTTTAACATGCAGAAAGAACTAAAAATAAATATACACTAGTCACTTTTTGAAGATCGATATATAGTTACTCTTTCCTAATGTGCTTCGGGAGCAGAACGAATACTCCAAAAGTTCCCTTTGAATGGGAGACTTGCGTATATTCGGGTCACGGCTCCCGCAACTTGGATCTGTGCTCTTTCTTTTTACAGTTTTTTTTTTAGTCTATGGTTATGGTTACATACATATATGAGTAGTCATAATTTGATTATTCTATTTTTCCGCTTAGAGTTGAATTTTTGTTTTCCTTCCAGTCTATAGAGAGCCTTCCTACTTGAGCGCCTCCTTGGCCCGCTGCTCCCACTCGGCACGGCGCTGATGGATGCCCTTGAACTCGCCCACTGTCGCCGATCGCTCGATTGGCTTGCCGGACATGGTCATGGCACCTGTGGCTGGACTCACTGACCCCGCAACGGAGGCAGCAATTGTGTGTGTGGCCTGTGCCTGTGCCGCCGGAGGTGGTGCTGCTGATGGGGTGGCTGCCTGTTTCATTTGCAGCGACATTCGTTCGTTCGCGGGCTTGGCGCCTCCATTGTTGTTGCTGTTGTTGTTGTTGGTCAGGCTATTCCGGACACCATTGCTGACCTTGATGGGGGGCAGGTAGGTAACCACCTTCTGCTGTCCATTGGCCGCCTTCTGCAGGTTGCTGCTGATGTGGCTGTTGTTGTTGTTGTTGCTGTTGTTGCTGTTGTTGCTGCTGTTGAGATTCCGGAAGTCGGCCACCGAGTTCCGGTTGCTGCTGGCATGCTGGGAGGCTGTCTTGGTAAACTCCCCGCTGACCTGCGCCTCGTACTTGGGCGACAGCTTGTCCAGCTTCTCCTCGCTGTTGGACTGGTTCTCCTTATCACTGTCCACACTCTGGCTGCCACTGGGCGCTGATATCTTCTTGGACACTGGCTGGGCAGGGGCTACCACCTCGTCGTCCTTCACCTTCAGCGAGCGGCGGGCGAAAACTTTCATCAGCTCCGGCGTGGGGTCGTCCTTGTTCGGCGACGGGCTGCCATTGCAGCTGGCAAAGGATTTCTTGCGCAGCACCACGGGATTGGCATTGCCATTGACCTCGGCCAGCTCCGGTGTCCTTGGCGGAGTGGCAGGAGCTGCAGCTGGAGCTGGCGCACTCACTGCTGGCGGCAACTCCGCCTTGCCGATTGATTGCTTTCGCTGCTCAACCGCATGGCGTTCCGTTCGCTCCTCGTTGAGGAACAGCCGCTTGCGCTCCTCCAGCGAGAGGCGGTTCAGCTTGTTCTCCTTCTGCTCCCTCGGTGGTGCTGTCTCCAACCTGGCTATGGGAATGGGGATGCCGTTGCTCTTTGGTGTACTGGGTGTCGTGGCAGGCGTGTTCGCTGATGAGAGTCCCTCGGTGCTGCCGCTGCTGCTGCCGAAGCTGGTCCGCACGCTGTTCGCGCTCACAGAACGCAGCTGCCTGCCCAGATTCGGCTCCAGGGCTTGCCTACGGTTGGGTGGGACCGCGCTGGGACTCCTGTCTGTCTGCATTCCTGTCTGCTGAACGACCTCCACGCTGGCCCCACTGCTCCGCCTCGAGCTGAGGTCATCGCTGCTCTGGCTTCGCTCGGTGGGGGACTTCAGGTTCTTGGCCAGCACTAGGTGGTTGGTCTTCTTGTGCAGGCTCGCCTGATCCACGCGGTTCAGCTGGATCTTCATGAACTCCGGCTCCACGGCTGTCTCCACGTTGCTGGAGTTGCGGCGGCTGCTTTCACAGCTGTTGTTGTTGTTGTTGTTGTTGTTGTTACTGCTCTTGGCCGGAGTTGCGGGCGGACTATGCGAGAGCTTGGCACTCTTGCTGAGGGGACTGGCCGGGCTGGGACTGCAGATGGCCATGGCCGTGCTGGTTATGGGCTTCTTTCCGAGGTCCAGCAGCTTGGGACGCTCCGGCTGCAGTTTGGCTGCTGGCGTGGCCTGCTCCACGGTCAGCTGCTCGCTGACCGTCGCCGATTTGCGCAGGACACTCACCAGCGGCGACTTGACGATCATGTCGATGTTCTGCTCTATCTGCGAGATGTTGGCCGGACCGGGGCTGGACTGAACGAGGAGCTTGTTGCTCCGTTGCGGCGAGCTCTTGGTCAGCGCCGGAAACTGGCCCGTGCATTCAGTGCGCCCCTGCAGCAGCTTGTTGTCGTTGATCTCAAAGCCCAGGGACACGCACTTGGTGTTCGGCGAGAGCGGCGAGCGTGGCGACTGCGGCGGGGAGCGGGGTGAGTGCTGCTTGTAGTAGGAGGGCAGGCGGAAGCTGATCGAGAGATCGGGCAGACTGGGCATGTGGTTGTGCACGACGGTGGATTCGACCACGGACTCGCGCTCCTCCTGGTAGTTGCGGAAACTGCGCGACTTCTCCACCGTCTTGCGCTGCTTCTCCTCGTAGTACAGCGGCGAGGGCTCGTCCGTGCTGGTCTCCAGCGAGTTCGACGAGCTGGAGTTGTGCCCCATCGAGTCGCTGGAGCGGGACAGCTTCTGCTGGAAGGCGCTGAGGCCCACGATCCGTGGCTTCCGCTCGAAGTGCGCTCGATCCGTCGTCTCGGCCCTGACCTGTTGCTCGCGGACCAGGGTTGTGGACTGGAAGGTGTCGTTGCCCCGCGTGCTCTTTGACAGCAGGTTGGTGACGTCGTTTGAGGGGCTGCTGTTGAGGGTGACGGCGGGCGAGCTGGAGCCAAGCTCCTGGGGGATGTAGCGTTGGCGGGCCGCGGGTCCCGACTTGGGTTTGGATGCCATCTGCGGCTGGGCAGTGACTCCTACCCCTAAGTGACTGACTATGGCGGTGCGGCCGTGGCCGTGGCTGTGGCTGTGGCTGTGGCTGGCCTCGTTGTGGATCTCTCGCTTGATCATCTGGCGCGTCTCCTGCTGCACGTGCTGCTGGTGCGAGGTGGCGATGCGCGACTTGTCCAGTATCTGCAGTGGCTCTCGGAAGGCCGCATCCAGGGAGGAGTTCGATATTTGCAGCTTCTTGGCCACGCTCTGGCTGGAGTCGGTGTCCTCGAGTCCATCGTTGGCCCGGGCAATGCTGCGCTTCGAGTTCCTGTGGATGAGCCGCCGCAGCAGTCCGCTCTCAGAGCTCTCGCTGGCAGCCAGGGCATCATCACCGTCCGTGGAGGACTCGCCACGGCTCTCGAGCACGGTCTTCGCCTTGGTCGCCTTGGCTGTGGTGCTGCTGGTGGTGGGTGCTCGGGGTCCGAAGATCTGCGACGTGGTGGCAGACGTGGTCGTCACCTGACTGGTCGTTCTGGTCGCCTGTTCGATGGTTTTGGTTCGCTTCGTCGTGATGGAACTAGCGGCGGAGCTAGCGTTGGCATTGGAAGCCACTGGGGTTGTGCTGCTGGGACTGGTGGCAATGGCAGGCACCGTCTTGGCTGGCAGCGAGCGTGTCCTGCTCTTGAGGTCAGCATCTGCGGGCACGGGAGGAGGACACAGATTAGCTGGGAACCGTGAGAAACTCTGGGATGACTTACCGCGGACTGCTCTCAGTCCCGGACATGTCTTCTGCAAATCCTCGTTGGCCTCGGGTATGGAGGACTGAAGATACGGAAGGGAATCAGTTGTCAAGATCTTGTAGGGCTTTGGCGCCTCTTCACTTACCTCCAGGGTCCTGCGGTGCTGTCGGCTGGGTCCCTTCTTCTTGGCGGGCCTGATGGCCATCTTGTGCTTGGCCGCCGCATGGGACAGCCGGTGGCGCTCCGTGCCGACTGCATCCACCTCGTCCTCGTGGTGCGGGCGCAGTATGTCCGAGCCCATCGAGACGGAGGAGCTGGTCGACACCCGCGAGTGGTACCTGTGGCTCTGGCTCTGGCTGTGGCTGTGGCTCTGACTGTGGCTCTGACTGTTCTCCGTTTCCTCGGCACTGTTCACGCTGTGAATACTCAACGAGGACACCTCGCTCTGGCTGTGTCCACGGGCCTGACTGTGACCTGCCGCGCCACTGCGGCTCTGTCCACCCGCCACTCGTCTCTGCGGCGATGCCGGACTGCGGGGCAGGCCCAGATCCTCGTCGGAGGCATCGGGCCGATTGCGTCGCTTGCGCAGAACATCTGTGAGCTCCGCCTGAAATGGAAAGCAAAGCAAAGCGAGATGTGGGTTTAGCTCTATTGGTTCATAGATGCAAGCTTATGGGGTGGGGGGGCCAGCTGTTACCCAGCTCTTCCAGCGGAACACGAAACGGGCGCGCAGACAGCTGCGGCCGAGCCGACTCTCGCCCATGCTAGAGCCGCTCAGCCTCATCTTGAAGGGGTTCTGTTTGAAGTCGATCATTCCGGGAGCCTCAATGCGGGACCGAGGCAACGAATGACTGCGGGGCACACTCGATTTGATTAGCAACTGTGGGAACTGTGGCGCTGCATGTCCCTGCGATTCCTGACTATTCCCAGAGCCCAATTCTTACCGTAAACGAGAGCTTGAAGGGATTGGCCTGCACTGTGAGGGCGCCCGTGTTTCCGGCTACCATCTCGCAGCTCAACTCTAACTAATAAGGGCTATTGTTGTCTGTCTCGTCTGCGATGGAGCAGGCACGCGATCTCAATGATTTCACTTTCCACTGGGACACAGAGACAAAGTCAGATGTGCGCGCATCCAACAGCGATGTGCAACTGAAAATGCTCTCGAGGCAGGGCCGAAACGAGAGTGAAATTGAAATGGAAATGGAAATGGAAATGGCGGCGCCATGGTGGAGTTTTTACCTAGACGAACATAATTGAGTGCGAGGCAGGCACTGGAGGGAAAATCTTTGTGCCGTCGCGTCGTCTCGAATGCATTTCAAGGGTACCCAGAGGCGGCACAAAAAGAAACAGAAACAGAAACTCGTGCAGACACAGATGCCGATGCAGAGGCTAAAGTAAACATTTCCCCGATTTCCTATACAGTGCACACACGATAGAGCGGACTGTTTGGGCTGTCTTTCAGAACGACCCATTAAGAGCGGTGCCCTGCAGTTTGGCTCCTTCCTTCCTTCCCTTTCCTATGTCATTTATCAGCTGCACGGGCGCAGAGCGTGAGGTGACGTGACGCCGCCATCTGCTTGCTCTAGTCAAAGTTCTATTTTCGGGTTGCTCGTTGTACGCGGATTAAGTGCCGGGCTGGCTCGGGTTAAAGACCTCGTCCATCAATTGCTCTGCAAGAAATGCAGTACAAGCTGCAGCTCTGTTGGATATGCAGCGGGTGGATGGGAGGATGGGAGGATGGGAGGATGGGAGGCTGTCTCATGGAGTTCAATGTTCTGTAAGAGATCTTTCTATTCCTGTCCTCTACCTGGTATTTATTCCAGGCTCAATCTCCTGCACATCTGCTCAGTCCGATAACATTCGGGGAATTATCCGCGATGCGATGCGATGCGACGCGAGTCTCTTCCAGGTAGCTAGATGCACGGATTCTGCCTCAACTCCTTATCGTTGCACTTGCTACCTGCTGACATGGTGACTAAACCGACTACGAGTCCGCTGCAAATCACTGACCAGGCCAGACCAGACCAGGCCAGACCAGACCCAGCCCCGTCACCGTCACGTTCGCTGATTTATTGGCACACTGGCTGAGTGGGCCACTGGACGGGGGAGTGGCCAGTGGCTCCAAACATGGCCACACACAAGCCAGCAAGCCAGCAGGCCAACATTGATTACCACAGCACCTCGCCGCAATCTGTGCACCGATGGCTGTGGCAGGGGCAGACAGCGAGAGAGAGAGAGAGAGAGAGAGATGGGAATGGGAACAGCAGTTGGCCAAGTGGGAGTAGAGAGGCAGGCAATCACTTTGAATTAATGCAATTGCATCATTTGGCTGTCCGAGCTGCATTTCAAGTATTCAGCAAATGGCAACGAAACGAATGGCCGCGGGCAGTAAGTGCAATAAACGGTCTATTCCCGGCCAGATGGGGCAGCGGCTGGCATATGGGCATCCGCTTGGAGAATGGCTTGACCTTGACACCAACTGCTCCAACAATGCATACCCAATGTGGTACGTTCGAGTGTGTAACCTCAGGATCTTCTTTTCAGCTTTATTCAGACTCTGACTTACACCCTTTCGGTACGGGCAATCGCTTGGCCTGCGAGTGATTGCCTCTCCCAACGAATTTCTCCTCATTTCTCCTAGGAGGGGAGCGCAGCAGAGAGTGAGGTTGGTGCAGCTCGTGAAGTGGGCCGACAGCAGTGGCCGGCAGATGCATTTGGACATGGGACGCATTTCTAATGGAACTTAAAATCTTAATGCGGATGCTGCAGACTCCGCAGATTGGCCCATCCAGTGACTGCCTAATGGACACGGAAATCCATGAGTTATGGCATAGGCAAATTCACTGAGTACCTTATGCAATGAGCATGCGAAGTGGAGCTGTAGAGTGGAGTGCATACCAGACGGGAAGTGTCACAGATCTCATTTGAATGTAGGCCGAAATTGAAAACTCGATAATTCGGGTGCAGGCCAGGAAGTCAATTGGAGCAGGCCTCCCCCAGCTCACCCATCACCTTGTTTTCCCACTGAGCTGGTCAATTAAAGAGAAGCGTGTGAAATGTCTGCCGTCCCCATCCCCGTGTCCCCTTACCCACACTCATGCGACGGACTGATGACGGCTCTGATTGCTCCTGAGCGACCGGCCCCAGTCACTGTCGATGCGTGTTACCGTGTTACCATATCGCTGTCATTCCATGTCGTCCAAGCTAATGGCCACTCTCCTACACCCGCTCCCTGAATGCTGCCTGCACTGTCATTTATCGCTCCCATTATGGCCATCGACTAGATGTTTTTCTCTTTCTGTTTTCCGCAATTAATTCATCAAACTGGTTGCATGCTATGTGTGCGCGATCCTCGAGCTGCTTTTAGCAGGGAAACCTGACCAGTGGGCGATTAGGACAGTACAGCAGAGACCCACAACAGCAGATACATATATATAAAAATAATTACGGACCAAAGAAGCGGATCAAAGTGTCTTGGAAGCTCTGTAAATATATTTTCTTGGGTGAGGATTCACTTGAGTAAGTTTTTCACAGACTGCACTGCCATCACACTTATTTAATTTCTTTAAATTTCAATTTAATCTTCACTAGGAATCTTCACTTTCAGGAATCGCAGACAAATACTCGTATGCGCAGCCACAGCTACCCCCCACGGTACCGATAGAAGCCAACCAAGCCAACACTTTTCTATATATATATTTTTGGAGTATTGGCAACTCTTCACTGGTCCTGACGGGACATAAACCGCAGATAGGACTGGAGGAACTGCGCGCTGCAGTCTTCGTCTTGGTGTTCGCCTTCACTGGCAAGTGGCTCGATGCAAACTGATTTAGCGGAAAGCTTTGCAGGAGTTCAATAGCATAGAAACAGAAAGAAATGCGATTTATTTGCTAACCAGGTTGGCAAATAAGCTGCCACGGGGGGTGGGGTATGGGGCTGGGGCTGGGGCTGGGGTATGGGACTGGCGAGGAGCAGCACTAGAGAGCGAGTGGAGCCAAGTGGAAAAAAGTGGAATAACAAGAAGCGGCGAGGCGGCCAAGCGGCCAAGCGGCCAAGCGACCATCGGACTGGCAACTCGTTTCTCGTTTGTCCAGAAACCGGAGAAGCAATAGAAGCAGCATAAGAGGAAGAAGCCGCAAATTGCCACGCGCTGACGGGTGGTGTGTGGGGGGGCGGAGGGGTGGTGGAGTGATGGTACGATGGGATGCATGGGATGGTTTACTGCAATTGCAATTGCAGTTGCAGTACGCGTACAAGCTGCAGTCAGTGTTCGTGGCTTCGGTTTCCCAGTTGCGCCGCGACGCGTGCCTTTTCTTCTCGCCCCCTTTCCCTCTCCCTCACCTCTTTTACGCTGCCCCAGCAGACTGGTCTACCAAAAACTCGGCAAGCGTATGGATAATGTGGCTGCTAATGACGCTGACGGTTCAGTTTACTTATTAGGCAACACTTGCGTTTCGGACATTCCTCCCACACCGAAAATCAAACGCAAAATCCGCATTAAATACTCGCAGAGTAATGAATCAGGGGAATGAACTACCAAATTGGAGGAGCTAACAACTAAAAGAAGGATTCGAACAGGAATCTTCTACGCTTTCCCACAGCTACTCTTCCACTTGGCTTGCCCCATCGAACTCCAGTTCACTGAACCTCCCCCCAAATGAACGAGAGTTTTTTTTTTGTTTAAGCTGCCAGATAATGCAGCGTTGTAAACTCTTTTACAGCGTCTCTGCTTTCGGAACAAAAGAATGAATCGATCAAATGGCAGCCAAAGTCAATGGCCACTGCGGCAGATTTGGTCATCACAAAGGCTGATAGGCACAACAAGAGCACGAATTGAATTTGATTAAAGTCAATTTAGACTGATTGCAACACAATAACAACAGCAACAGCAACAACAATGCCAACAAAAGCAGAACAAGCAACAGAAACACAAAATCCATGCGGATTACCCCAAGAGGAATGGATTTGGAGATGCTACCTTTTAGTACTAGTACTAGTACTAGTACTAGTACCAGTGAAAAGTATCTTTCAAATGAAAGGCAAATGAATTCCGACTTACCTTCAGGACAATCGATAGGCTGCTGGCCGTCGCCGATTCGGAGAAGACGCTGTCGTGTGACTGCGACAGAGTCTCGCGAGAGTAGTCCCTGCACAAAGACAGTGAGAGAGAGAGAGAGAGAGAAAAATCTTAGCTAAATTCGAATCTGATCGATTGGCGGCTGGACACAACTCACCCGTCCACATCCAGAAGACGTGCCGCGCTGAGGCTGCGTTGGCTATCGGAGATGTCGGCGGTGCCACCGGCACTGCCAGTGCTGGTGTTGCTGTTGCTGTTGCCCTCCCGCTCCATGCCCAATTCCTGCGAGGAGTCGCCGACGCTGCGCAGGTGCCGCTGCTCCGAGAAGTAGCTGCTGCGGCTCAGGCTGCGGGTCTCCGGAAAGACGGCCACGCCCAGCTGCTGGCGCTGTGTCTGGTACATGGCGTCCGTGGGGAACTGCTGCTGCTGTTGCTGCTGCTGTTGCTGCTGCTGTTGCTGGAGATCGGAGCTGTGCTGCGCCTGTTTGCTGGCCCTCTTCTTGCCCAGGAGCACGCTCAGCAGTTCATCGCGATGCGAGCCGTAGGACTTGGACTTGGGCAGCGACTGCGTCTGGTAGCTCTCGCCCAGCGACTGGTGGTTCAGCGGTGAGCCCGGCGAAGAGCCAATGACCGAAGCCGCTGCTGCTGTCACACTGCGCAGATTCTTCTCGCTGGAGCTGCTGGCCGGCGGCGGCAAGGTGTTGCAGGAGCCAGGACCAGGACCGGGTCCGGGTGCTGCTGTTGGCGATTGACAGGCTATCGGGCTGTCCGCCGAGCTGTTGATGGTGCGACGCCGGAAGATGCGGCGCAGGTTACGAAGCGGATGGAAACGGCGTCGCTTCTGCTGCTGCTGCTGCTGCTGCTGGTGTTGCTCTGGAAGGATAAAGGTCCAGGATCAGACATGAATTTTGATACGAACACATTTTTGTACGGATATTTGAATTTTGTAAACTACTCGTATGGGGGAGGGAAGGAGACACATAGGGGAGGGCTTGCTGGGACCCCTGCTCATAGTTACCCATCCTGGACCGACTTTGCTCCCAATCGGAGCTGCTGGGCCCACATTTAGCGGGCACAGTCTGCAGCAGAATTAACATTTTCCAAATCAACTGAAACTGCAAAACAAAACAAGTAAACTAATGCCTATTATTCATACATAATCATGGTCCGATTCCCAGTAGGCTCCCTCCCCCCTGCACTTGAGAACTTCCGATGATGATTCGCAGTTCCGATTTCCATTCCACTTCCTCAGTTACTCACAGCCCAGCAGAGACCCAGCAGAGACCCAGCAGAGACCCAGCAGAGACCCAGCAGAGACCCAGCAGAGACCATGACCATCCATCGCTTGTTAATAGAATCTTTCGTCACTTCCCCTTGCCCGTGGCAGCAACAAAAGAAAGCAGAAGCGGAGCAGCGATAAGAAATAAACAATAAATGGGCGAAAAGCGAAGCGGATCGAAAAACATGCCCATAAATAGGCAAAAAGTGGAGGGGCCCCCCATTTGGGAACTCCCAAAGCAACGAAGGGGGCAGAAAGGGTGACAGGAAAAAACGTGACAGATATAGATAGTGCACGCACACTGAGAGAAATATTACACGCTTGTTAATCGGTCTAAGGCAACCTCTTAACTTAAAATAATTCGTTTTTTTCAGTGCATCAGGCATCAGTGTACTGGCAAGAGTTCAACCAAGAGTTCGGTATTATTTGTCAAGGTCAGGCGGCAGAGATATGGCCAGATATCCACATAGATTTATATATAGGTCTGGTGGAACCCTTTGAGGCCATTCCCTAGACGTAATTGGCCGCAATTGCAAAGTATAATCGATCGAAGTGAAACTGTGGCTGTGCACCAGCCTCAATAATTTTTTCTTTTTATTTCATTTCGATGGTGCGATAAGAGCGTAAGAAAAGGAGAGGCAGCGACAGTGACAGGTAGATTCCTTCCTTATCGATCGATCGATACGGAATGTTGAATGTGGAATACACGATGCCACACCAGTGCAAAAAATCACTTGATTAGATCCAAACAATGGAACTGGAGCTCCACTCGAGGTGATTATATGTATGTACACCCCTGATCACCCCTCGAGTGGCTCTCACTCTCTGTAGAGCTCAATCTCATCTGGAGGAGTTCCTGGAACTTTACCAGTGATTCACACATTACATATTCATGTGTTATGTGTTATGTTATGTGTCATGCCCCCGAAGAAAGTTCAGTCCACACAGACAGGCCGGCGGCCAGTGATTCGCCATGGAAGATCTGCACTGCACAGCCTTTAGCGGCTAATAAAAATGTACGGGCTGTGCTGTATTAATTAGGGAAAAGAGCCCAACAGAACGGAAGCCACTCTACACGAGTGCGAGTCTAAAACAGAAAGCATAGAAAACTGCAGACCGGGCAACCCTCGGATTGGATTGGACCTTCCCCCCATGGGCCACTAATCAAAGTCTCTGCCTCATGCCCGCCATTCGAATGCCAGTCACGTTTTGGGGCACGCGAACACTGTCAGATAGTACAGATACACACAGATACATATAGCATACATATGTATATATACTCGTACGAATATAGCTGTAGATATGCGGATTATTTGCCCGATGCCGATGATTAGTTTCAGTTGCGTTGGGGCTGGTCATCGGCCATCGCTTGGCTTACTCATAAAAGGTCGCTGACGGACAAGAAATAATATTTATATTCCCCCCAGGTGGAGGCAGGCGGAGGGCACTTTGGCGTTATTCTATTTATTACCTTTTGGGGGTGTCTGCTGCCAAATTGCTTGGGGACCCTGCTAATGGAATTTTAACCGCCCAACGAGGGGCAGGAGCAGGACAGGACACGGCACGAGTACCGCCCCACCGACAAGTGACAATGGCTTATTTATAGAATGCTAATTGGGTCAGTTGTCTGGCTGACAGGCTGTAAGAACACCTTTCGCTGCCAGAGCCCTGGACTGGCCTTCATTTTTGTCCATTGGAAATTTGAAAAATGAAAATGAATCTCTACTGAGTTGTTGATTCCCATCGAAGATCTTCAGGAGACCCCTGCCCCTGTTCATATTATTTTTTACTCGTATTTCTAATCCATTGAGCAAGATCTGCTTTTGTTTTCTTGGGTTCCCGTTTCGATATTTTCGCTTTCGCGTGCTGTCATCGTCGCTTGAATTTCCGCGAATGTGGGCGCCTGTGTTTTGGGCCTTTGTCTCTTTGTCATTGTCAGATTTTGTAATACATCAAAATAGACTTAAAGTCTGTTCAATTTGGCAGCATGATGCACTGCGATAAATGAATTGTTTTGTCTTTTGCCGCTGCGAGTGCTCACTGTAGTCGGGGGATGCGTGGGCCGCTGACAGTTTTAACTGACACCAATTCCAATTCCAATTCTCGTTTTTTTGTATTTGCAATTCCAAAAAGGTTCGGTTCGGTTCGGTTCGCTTGGGCGAGTGGGTTCGTTCGTTCATTTATTAATTAATCATTAAGCAAACTGTTGCCACACACCACACACCACAGCAACATCATGCAAATTTCAGCCCCGCGCTGCTGCAGTAATTGGCGACTTTTGTGAGGCACTGTGAGCGGATGTGGGCTTTGCCACTCTTCGGCTTGGGGAAGGTCAAGTGACCTGCGACGCCACGCCACGCCACGCCCCCCCCTCGATTTCCAGAGTGGGCAGCCAGTGCCACTCGTGTGGAATAAGAATAGAGAGAGAGCCCACAGCCCAGAGGCCCCGACAGTTGCACAGCGGTTCTTGAACAGCGAACAGGTCTGGCGGCCTTCAAATGCGGCATAGGCGAGTGCGAGTACGAGCACGAGTACGAGTATTCTGTATAGACTCGTTACGAGACAAGCTACTAGAATCGGATACTCGTATTCCTTCGATGGATTAGGCAAAGCCGAGCCAAAGCCTTGAGTTCGTTTGCTCAACCCAGGGGGCGGTCAACGCTGCGTATGATTAATGGACAGTGAAAAGGGCTGCAGCACTGCAACGCTTTTCCAAATAGAAAATGATGTCAGTACCTGTGGCAGATAGCGCTAAGCCCTTGTATTGTGTGGCATTGGTGGGAGTTGATATACGACTACGAGTGCCAGTGCCAGTGCGAGTAATACAAGCAATCAAAGTACAAATCTGCCAACAGGCAGCCACGAGTGCCGCACAAATCGGAACGGAGCAGAGAGAACAGAATATCAAGTATACGGGTTTATTTTTTAGACATTTTTGAATTAAATAAATTCGTAACTATGCCCGTATAAACAAAAATCGTATCCCAGAAGGAGGGCGACTGGTATACGTGTACTCTCTCTATGCCGATCTATCGATTGATTGGTCTTATCCCCCCAGACTTTATTTATATAACCTCGCATCTGATAAGCAGCCAGTCGGCTCTTTCGCATGCCAATCTGCTGTTTGGTCTAATCGCCCAAAGACGTTGACTGCCATCGGTTGGGAGCGTGCTGTTGGCCACGGGCTTATCAGACCAGGCCAGACCCCATCCCAATACCCCTTCCGCTTGCAAACAAATCACACCAACAATCGACACTCTGTGAGACGCACAAAATTGATTACACAACTCTCGGCAGTCGGTTGGCACTCGGCACTTGGCACTTGGCACTTCAATTAGAGGCGTTTGGCCGCTGCCATTGCCACTGCCACAATTGGGGTCTCCAGCCACGCTTTTCTTTGGGGCCTAAACTGGGACTGAGCCAGACAAATCATCGTCGCTTAATAAGCCGCTCTCTGGCATGGCTCAAAATTTGTCTGTGCACTTATATAATAACTATTAATTTCTGTCTTTAATTGTGCACCAATAAAATGTTTAAAAAGCTGTCCCTGTGTGTAGGGGCAAAGTCTGCCACGAGGGCATAGAATTCAGTCGAGTTTAGCCCTGTGGTTGCATGGCATATTCCCATCCTTGTTGCCCCCCACCCACACACGATAAACAAAACATTTTATTACCTGTTCAAATAATTGGGTAGCAGCCGAAAATAGCCGCAGATGTTTCAATTCAATTGAGAAATTCCACGCGTTGTTTGCTCTACTGATTGTTGTTTACTGCTCGTTGTAAACAAGTATGTTTCAGGTTTTATTTTTTTTTTAATATTTTCAACTTCAAAGAAACACACACACACACACACGCACAAAAATGCACTCTGCCTAATGACTTCTCTCTCGCGATGTTCTGCGATGTATTTCTTGGTGCTTTTCCGTTAATATTTGATTAACAAGATTTGCGATTTACGATTGAGTTGAGTGTTGCGTACTGGCAATCAGTAACAGTCACAGCGACAGCGACAGCGACGACAATTCAATTAGTGGTGCAATAACCGGCGTACGAAATTGTTTCACCTGTACAGGTGGAGCGGCGCGCACAGAATGAATTGAATCAAGTGGGACAGCAAATGGAAAATACGTACAGACCCGACACACACACACAAAGAAATCGAAATCGAAATCCACGAAAACGAAAACGAAACGAAGCGAACGAAACCCCCCAGCCGAGTGTTAACACAACACAACGAACTCAAATCGAATCACACAAAATACTGAACTGAACTGAACTCAACTCAACTGAACCGAGCACCAAAGCACCAGGCGCACAACACTCAGCGACAGGGGGCCTATTGGCCTATGGTTTGCGTCGCGTCGCACTCTTAGCCAGGTTGCCAAATCGCTGCGGTCGGATTTGGCTGCAGGTGTCTGCACGGGGCAGCTAACAGAGCTCGCTGTCTGTCTGTCAGGGGTTAAGCTAACCCAAACCCAAGCCCAATGGAACTGGCCTGGCTAACGTGGAAGGGACACCAGTCCTAAGACGGTTTGTTGCTTAGATTTGTACAGGTTTCAGTACAGCAAAGTACCTTAATACAGAAGCACAGTGGAACGATACTCATTACGAATCCTACCTACAAAAAGTGTAGTTCGAAAGCTTTCAATCGTGCATCTCAGCCACTGTGCAGCGACCCGTGGTCTAGCATTTATTTATGCACAGAAAAATTTATGCTGAAATGCGCAGATATATGAACATAGTACATAGTACATGTGTACATACATACATATGTATGTAAGTTCTGTTATTGTTGCTGGTAGTTTGTTGTTGTGGGAGTTGTCATAACAACAATATGAATAAAAAGCTATCCCATACCCATTCCCATTCCCATTCCCATTCCTGTGCTGTTCTTATTTTTATTCCCATTTTGCCACAGAAAACGCGTAGAACATTTGTGGTCGATTTTCGCTTTGCATGGAGCCGCATGAGTTGCCGTAGAAAGTCGTCGGCGTTAATTAGCACTTGGTGCGGCTTGTGTTAGTATTACCCACAATTATATAAACATTATCCAGTTATTCAGTTGGGCGGGATGGCAAGCCCAGCGAACAAACAAACAAACAAAGCCCGTTTCACAAGCAACAAAATCTGAATATTCGTATGTGCTCGTATTGGGCCTATGTGTGGCTTTATCTCGCGCTCATTGTATCTGCATCTGCAGCTGTGTTCGTAGCTGTAGCTCTGGTGGTGGTGGTGGTGGCTTCAACAAACCGAAAAGCCAAAAGCCCCATCTAATTATGCACATACGAAACGAGCCAGCTAACGAGCCAACTTTGCCTAACGGTCTGCCTAACATTCCCACCACAACTGCAGGGTACTTGCTGGGTCTTTTCCTTTTTTCGTAACTCGCTCCTAACAATTCCCAATTACACATCCAAGGAATGCGAATGCTATTCTATTGATGTTTCGTACCTTCAGTCCAGATTTAAGTCTACCCCAACCAGTATTTGATTGCCATGGACCCTCAGAGGACCCTCAGAGGACCCTCAGAGTTCCGGCAGCCAACCTTTGGGGAGGGCAATCAAACCCCATCCCGCTCCCAGCTGGGAATTCATCAGAAGATGAACCAGATGACGAAGAAAGCTGCAATGTGGCAGGCAATTGCCAGAGTTCGGGCCAAGGGCAATTTCATAATCCCACATTCCGCGCCTGAATGATTTAATGTATCCCCACGCTGCGGCACATAAAACAAACAATAAAGCAACCATCGAGCTCTGTGCAAGGATGTGTGCGAGTATGCAGAGCATGGTATGGAAGCAATTAGGCAACATAACTCACCGGCAACATTTGCGGGCTCGTGGCCATCGTTTCCGGGGCTCGAAATGGGCGTGGAGGTGGCGGGACAGGGCCCGTGCCTCCCATGTGATCTGCCGATGTTGCCCTCCGGCAGTGACAATGGACCATCGCCACTCGCATCCAACTCCAGCTCCAGCGGCGGCGAGTTTTCCCGCACACACGACATCAGGCCGGAAGACATGCTGGAACGAAACAACGAAAACCAAAAAAAAGGTTTGTTAATAATTTTGCCATCAGCTAAAATGTAACAAATGTATTTGGATGGTATATTTCGGATGGATGTCTTCCGCGATAGTTCAGCTACAGTTTCGAGGGGCTGGAGAACTTTCACGTCACTCACTTGCCCTGACACCCCGCTAATGGACCCCGCCCTGACAGGAAAATGTCATATTGCATTTGCGATAAAAGCCACACAAAACTGACAGCAGCTGAACGTTCGAAAGAGGTGCCATTGCTGTCTTTAGCTTAAATTTGAAGTAAATTAAATTATTGTCGCCATTCTTTGAGTCCACACTAAGTTGTGGCCCTGGGAATGCCTCGGCTAACATCAGTCCTTGCTTGAACTATAAATTAATCCTCACAGACTCCATTTGGACGCCACATGATGAATACTAGTGTGTGTGTGTGTGTGTGTGTGTGTTAATCGGCTGTGGGACCCACAACCCACTCGATCAATGAATCAACCCATAAATAAATGTCATCAGGCCCAGACCAAGGCCCTGGCCAAACAAGAGCCAAATGCATTTACCATTTGTGCAGTAAATTCGCATTAAATTGAATGAAAGGAGCTGTGGCTGCAGCGGGGCGGGGCGGGGCGGCGGGGCGGCCAAAGGCAAAAGGCATTTCAAGGAAAACTATTTTCAAATAGGAATTTGTCTTCTCTGCTGAACTCTGTGGCCTGTTGCCTGTTGCCGATGTGAATGCTGCTGCCTTTGCCTTTGGCTCGTATTGTTTCTGGCTTCTATCGGCGCCAGACGAACGGGACGTGAGTAATGGGTCTGAACGGAGATGATTCATGCCAAGTTCGGGGATGCCGAATTGCCACAGACGCTGCAATATGTACTCGTATTTATATTCATTTAATGTGCACTTTCATCCAATCAACAAGACTTTAGGCAAGGCATTCTGTGGCCAACCAGAAGTCTTTAATTGTTAAATTTATGTTTTATTTCAGCTTAAATGTATTTTCTCTTTTTTCTTGGCACTGAGACTGCCAATTCGCACCACCTTTACCCTGCCAGCAGCACTAGCAGCAAAATAAACAGGCATTATCCATCATTAACAGCAGCCACATCGGCCTGGTCCTGTCTGTCCAGCTGCAGAGCAATTGCCACAGATTTTGGTAGACATAATTCCGTTTTGTTACCATATAGCAACAGCAAATAAAAAATATTGCTGGAATTTAAGTAAGTGTCATGCCCGTACTCCCATCTAAAAAAAAATCCAACACACTTTTCGTTGCATACTTTTGGGCACTACACTCGTGTAAAGTGCATGTAGTAGTCGTGTAAAAAGTACACTTGAAGGCGTGCCTGTAATTAATTGCTATTATGATTAATTCACACTTATTTCCGTGAAATATTAGTGGGAAAGCAGGAAAGCCGAATGCAAATTTAAAGCTGATCCTGTTTGATAAACTGGCTTGGCAAGGGCGGGCGATTAACGCTTCAGAAAGCCTCTGCACTTAACCCAATTAACGCAGTTAACCCACTCCGTTAGGGGAGTAGTCCAAATACTGCGTCAGGCTGGCAGCTGACCCTCTTTTGAGGTAGCTGGGTAGCTGCATGTGTGCCCAAAGTATTTATGGACTAATTAGTGCAGCCAACCCAACCCCAACCTCTTCACACATGCCCCCTTGAGCGCCACACCACCCCCCTGCCAACCCGCATGCGAATGGCAGTTTACGAATTTTTTGCGCATCGAAATGGAAACTGCAGCCTGATTCTGAGCTGATTCGTGCCGTGTCGACACTTGTGGGTGCAGCCACCCATGGGAGGAGGGAGAATGACGATGGGGATGTGAATGTGAATGTGGATGATGCTGATTGGCACGACAAATGAGCAACACAATCCACACACAAGTGGAACATTTTCATTTCGTTTTAGCGTTGATTAATTAATTAAATGGAATGACTGCCTGCCGGGGGGGTCTGGCTCTAGCTCTGGCTCTGGATGGGAAGAGAAATAAATACTGTTTGGCATTGAACTTGGGGGAATGCCAAGGCTGAGTTCATTACGGTCTGCAGTTAATTGAGCTGGAAGTGTGTGTGTGGGAAATTAGTAGGCTAGCTGTACTTGATGATTCAGCGATCTGTAGAATAAACTCCACACGAAAGCCCAAAGAAAATCTCACGCCCAGCAAAAGGCGCCCCCGAAATGGAGATGTAGTCTAACATTTTGGCCACAATGCAGCATACGAGGGTGTCTGTATCGGTATTGGCTTCGGCATCTGCGGACGAGTGCGGATATCTCAATGGGAAAATCTAACAAATTAACTTTGACTTTCATTTGCATTTTGACGATGAGCACACACACTCTCCTCTCACCGCGCGATTGGCAGAGTGGGCAAACATTGAGAGGGGGAAAATAGAAAAGCCAGTCGAATCTTTGCACACCCTTTCAATGCGTTTCAGTCGCGAGACTACAACTCCAGGAGAGGATCCTTCACCTATTCACATGGATCATTTCAACAGAACGTTGCCGCAATTGGAATACCCTCTGAAAGAGTATCCATAGCCAAAACCCAAACGAAAACCAACTAACAATGAGCAGAGGCAGAGGCAGAGGCAGCCACAGCCACAGCAAACATTATAATTACGAGCCCAAACCTGGGCTCCATTGCGGTGTATAATTGCAGTTGGCCATTACGCGAATTTGCCAACTTAATTGCGAGTATGCTGGCTGGGGGCCAGGCGTGAGGCCAGACAATGGGCCGGGAAAGCCTCTCCTCCGGGGAGCTTCATCTGCATCGCCAGCGCAGCGCGAACTTGAAGCGAGCAGCGGAATTCTCGATGCCGATTATGGCCTCAGAGAGCAAACACTTGTTAGCGACAGCTCAGCACAATATGGCTCTAAAGAGCTGGACAAATTGAAAAGGAAAGTGCCCCTGACCGGAAAGCGAAGACGGACAGACGGACAGACGGAAAACGAAAACGAAAGCCAAATAAACTCGGAGAAGAAACTGCATGCTCATCGCACATAACACCGCAATTCCGACTCCGACTACAACTACAACTACGACTACGACACTGCGACTTTTGGCTTACGCGTATTACCGCACTGAATGGAGCTGTCTGCCATTAATTTTTATGACCAACACTTCGCAGGCTTTGACTTTGAACAATACACGGATTGGGGGCGTTGATTTAGTGAAGGTCGCTGCGAAATTCGAATTGTGAAAATGCCAAACTCAAACTGAAGTTAGACACTTGAAAGTGCAGCGCAAATGGTACTCAAAAGTGCATGTGGAAAATCTTATTGCATGCAAATTTGCAAATTGATTCAAACAAAATTTGCCACACTTTCCTTGTCGATTTTAATGGCTTTTTTCCTTTGTGCGATTTCCGTCAGTTTTAGTGCGGATTTTAATTGAAATATTTGGCAGGGGGTAGGGTACTGAATTTGCTTTCCTATTACTCATTTGCTTGCTTGGGGATGGGGATGGGCATGTGTCATTCCATATGCACTTCAATTCAATCTACATGGATGTACAATGATTTGTTTCAGTTTCAGCGGACTGAACTGCGAAAAGGTCACACAATATTTACCAAATGGGCGTGTACCACTGATAGTAGCATAATATTTACCTCTGTTTGCATTTACACACAAGTGTGGGAACTATTTGTTAGTTTATTGGTTAATTTTGCAGATAAAAATGACACTTAACATTGAAATACAAAATTAACTCCAATATCCAATAAGTATTTGTGCGAATACCTAAGTCTAGGCTATACAGCCCCATAATAATGGGGTTTTTCTATAGGTATTGTAGACAGTTACAGAAACGTAGAAACCGATTGGCAAACGAGCGGATAAATCGAGCGACTGACTGCTAATCGGAAATACATTTACTTAGTGGAGTCTGGTGGGTGGGGGGGGTGCACAATTAAAGCAGACCCAAGACTGCTCTCATTTACGATTCCCCCTCCTTGGCTCCCTTGCTCGGCCCTTGTTGATTCAATTCCAGTTTTCACTCCATTTGACACAAATGTTTTCGTTTCGCTCGGAACGAGGAACTTTGCACCCGAAGCCCCCCTCTCCGCCACACTCCCCACCTCGACCACTCTTATCAATCAATCTTTATGTGATGGATGATAGATGGGAGAGCGAAGAAAATCAATAGGAAAGGGCAGCGAATTGTGATAAGAGGGGCGCCGCATGATGACGATGATGATGATGGGGATGGGGATGGGGATGGGAATGACGCAGCGGTTGCTGCTGATTCAGATATTTCACCGCAAATTGGCTGAGGCTCCGGAGGCTCCCCTCCGATGTTGTTGATTTCACGGCGTCATTTTAATTGACAGACTGCCAGATGGGTCTGGTCTGGTCTGGTCTGGCCTGGCTTTGGGTCTGATGCTCCCGTTTAGGGGGTACCTACCGCGTATCATCGATGCTGGCATCCAAGTCCGAACACGATGCCATTGCGGGGGATCTTTTGGACAGATGTCTCTCTGCCTCACTGAACAGTATTTCTTCCTACATAAGTAGATTTACTAAAACAACACACACTCGCTCCCAATGCTTCGAGAATTATCCGCGATGCCCGCAACTTGTGGCTGCTGGCGAAAACAGGAAACAACGGGGCTTTTGGGGGTTCCTTATCTGGCAGGCATCGCAGCAGCGGCAGCGGCAGCGGCAGTGCAACATTTGATGCGAGTCTGTGCGTCTGTCTTCCCCTTCGTGCGTGTCCAAGGTCAAGGAGCGCAACTGCGAGGGAGCTCTCGCTCGCTCTCTCTCTCTCTCCTCCTTCCTTTCTCTCGGAGATGAGCAACAAAGCTGCGGCAACAGAACACTCCGCACCACACGAATAGCAACGAAATTGGGCAAGTTATCAAATCGGAAAAATGCAAAGCTGATTTGACTGTTTTCTCTGCCTCTTTCGTAGAATTAAATCCGTTGTGCTTGTATATATTTGCATAATGTTAATCAACATGTTTTATCAGCTTCGTGGACTTGATGTCCCAGACTAGATTCAAATGAAAATGAAAACACCAGCGAAGAAAATAAAACAATTTAATGTTGCCATCCAAATGTTGCCCAGGATACGATGCGGCTGTCCTGTCCTCTCTTTTCCCTCTGCGCAGGCTCCATTTGCACTCACAGAAACCAAAAGTGAAGCATACACAGCCTGACCTAGTCAACGAAATCGTCCGAGGGGAGGTCGCACTGTCAGCGAATAACCAAATAAGGCAAAAGGAACCGGCATGACTGACTTCCTTCCCCCCACCAGCGCAGCACAGAGGCACGGGCAGGGGCACGGGCATGGGCAGATCTGGAAAGCTGCCAATTGAAGTAAATTTCCCAGCTACCGACTACTCGACTCTCACCGTTTCCGGACTTCCTAACTCAATTCCCTTTCAAGGCAGCCGTTAAAGCGAGCCAGGCTATGAGGGAGGCAGCCACTGAGGACACAACAAGGTTGTTCGACATCTGGAAATCAGTCTGTGCTATGCATAGCCAAATGCTTAGCACTATTGAGAGCATCCGAAATGGATTAATCGCGCTGGAGCATACGGTTCATACAGCTGGGCCTTCAAGGTCGCTCCCCGCAGAAGGTCTGCAGCTGAAAGCATACATTCTATGTACATATTTATGTACATTGTATGCATGTTTATTGTAATCAGAATAAAAGCCCAAGACGGAGCTCACATTACCATAACAACAGAGTCGTCGCCCGGAGTATCTCGCTAGCTACAGATGGTGTTACATTCATATTTGTACATACATATGTATGTATATATACTCAGCAATAATATATACATACATACACACATAATATTCATTAATATACTTAATTGAAAATTAATTATGAATCATAGCATGAAAATACACACAGAAATTCACAGAATAATATTCAAATAAAATATGGGCGAGTTCTTAAACATTTTCTTTAAGTGTTTTAAAGGTCGTACATTTTACGAGTCGAGTAATGGAGCACGTGTGGTCTGGCACTGCGAATTTTGAGGGCTTCCTTGGGCGCACATAAACATAAATTTACTCAACGCCCGAAACAAACAGACGGGGAAAAGCCTGAAATGGTTCCCTCTGGATAAACAAAGAAATAAAGAAGTTCCTCAGGGTGAGTCCATTAGGTTACAACAAACAGCGTACAGCAAAGCACTGCCAACAATAATTACAAAAGAATTATCAAAAATAAAAGCCAAAGGGCCTGCCCTGCCTCTGCCTGCTTTCAGTCGATTTCCTGCAGATCAAAGCGAATTATGATTATTGTTCGCTGCTGAGCTCCGACTCCCCGAGTGTTTTTCCATCTCAATTTTGTGGCTGAACTTACCTGAGGAGATTTCTTCAAGTTAAAATATTAAATTACTTAAGCGAGATCTCTCGTCTGCTGGTCTGTTGTCTTCTGATGTTAATCGAATCGTTCGATTCGTCGTTCCATGGTTCGAAGTTCCTTGAGTTGCTGATCTGAAAACAAGCACAACAAAAAACACACATATTTAGTTATATTTATTTCAGTTTGGGTAGGAGGAGAGGAGTGATGTAATCCCAAGTGTATGGACCACAAGGTTGAATCAGCTGTTCTCGAAGGGGAACAAACATGTGCGGCGCATGTGGCCCACACAGTGGAGCAATGCCAGGCACAAGTTTTGTCAGCCAAGCCAAGTGAATGCAGTAAATACTGCTGCTAGGGGAAATCAATCAATACATTAGCCAGGAGGTCATTGGCCCAAAAAGCGAATGTGAACCCCGTGAACTCCTCAGACATAATCAGCTATCTCCTGGCTCAGTTTCAGCTTCAATTTCCCGATTTACAGGCCCATTGGCAAGTGATAAAGACGAAAAGTCGACCGTAAATCTTGATTATCCCCAGGCACTACAATGAAATGGCATAAAGACCCAGCAAGCCCCAGCGCATTACGTAAGTTTGAATACCAAAACCAAAAACAAAACAAAAAAAACAGACTTCATTTTGTCACGTTTCAGCCGAGCCAAGCCCGTGGCCCAAAGAATTTTAGCATTGGGCTAGGCTGCTTTCCCTCCCCCTGGATATCCTCCTTAACCCCTTAAATTTGCATATCCATATCGCATATCATGCGGTGTATTGAAAGCTTCTGCCCCATTATAAGTATATGAGGCCATCCAAGGACTGGCTCCTGATGTGATGTGGTGGGATGTGTGCGTGTTCCCAGCTGATTTGCATAGAAATGGGCCGGCAAAAATGTCGATGGCCCTCCGACAGGGGGACAGGGCGCAGAGGGGCTTTAACTTACGAAAGTAAAACTCGCCTGCAACAGAAAGGCTCGCAAAGGGGTAGAAAAATAAATGCAATTAAATGGGGCTCACTGCAGGTGAGATGTAAGTGAAAGAAAGTATTGGGGTATAGAAGTAGAACCTACCCACCCTCAGTTAGATTTATTTATAGTCGATTCAAATCTGAGTCAACGTTAAAAACATAAAATCTGGCAAGATACAAATTTGGTTGAGGTTACGCAGCTATTTCCAAGAATGCAGTACGAACTATTGAATTTATGCTGTTTGTTCTCTTTTGTTTTTAATTTTGTATTTTATCGCGAACGCGAATATGGTGGCCGCAATGACCGGATACGTTCAGTTAAGTTAAGATTTTCTTTTTGTTTTTATGATTTTACATCGACAGACGGACACGAAGTGACGCATGTCCTTTATGGTTTTCCTTAGTGCCGCGAAATACTTTTGATTCCTCTCCCAGCTAAAGACACGTGTCGATGCACGATGCCCGGAAAAAATCAATTTACGAGAGTACGTCCTGCACTTACGACTTAACCACCAGTATCTGATCAATGCGGCAATATAGCCTGCGATCAAACCCCAGTCATCCATGCGATGATTTAACCAAAAAAAAAAGATACAAATTTTGTATTACAAAAACACAGATTAAAACAGAGAACATAAAAGATTTATTTTACATCAAATGAAATATTTAAAACCGTGGCAGCCGGGCAAACCGAGAGAGTCAGTCGTCTTATCGTCATCATCAATCGCTGAACACGTAAATAAAAGCTGAGCTGGAAAAACGAAATGTTGATCTGATTTCTACGCACTTTCAGGCAGCATCAAGTGTGCAACAGCAACAGCTGGCCACAACAACAGCAGCAGCAGCAGCCGCACTGCAGCCGCACTGCACTTTACCACTGGTGGAGAGATGGTGAGATTTTTATGCAAATAGCGAACAGATCGTCTTGGTGCTGGCCCAGGCACAGGCAGAGGCCCAGTGGCTTAGAACGGCTGGAAAACTTTCACTGCCCACACACGGCCGCAGTCGCGTAGGGCCGCAGGCCTTTCTGGTTATCTAATTGGTTTGTCCGCGTAAGCGCATCCGAAGATTAATTGCAGTGGGGGGGGAGAAAGATCTCTTCGTGCAGCACTCACAATGGGTCCAAAACAAAACAATGATGAAAAGTAAAAGTTTGTTTTCGGAAATCGAACAAAGCAGCGAATGGATGATGAATCCATGAATAAATTAACAGAGAGCTCTGCGTAGCTCGATCCGAACTTGGTTGGGATTCTGAACGGGTTTTGGGCGGCTCGTGTTATTCATTTTATGCACTCGGAAATTCGTTTTTTAACTGCCCCCTTCTGTAGCCATAAGTCTTAATTGAATTTCGTATTTCAATTCAGTTCGTTTTCTCCCCAATTTGTTGTGATGCCAGCCAGCCAGCCAAGAACATTCCAAAAACCTAGGCCCCAAAAATAAACAAAAAGAAAAACTAGAAACGAAAACGCAAGTGAGTCGCGAATTCCAGACTGGCGACGATTCCAAGGAATGCAGAACACAGCGCCACAGAAATGGGAATATTCCCGACCATTATAAAATAAAATAATTATAATGCCAACGATTTTACACGTTCGCAGCCAACGAAAGGAAAACTCGAATGCAAAAAGAAGAAAAAACTATGCACGTATGCGGGGCTTTAATACACTTATAAAGGTGGACATCACAGTCACAATTAAATGAAAGCAGAATGCAATTGATTTTGTTGAATTTATTTGATGTACCTTGGAGGCTCTCTTGGGCGGACAGCCAGCGCTGAAGCATCGGTCTGTATACCACAATAAATGTATGTATCTAATTTAGATACTTTCAGCATCCGCTAATGTGCTCAGCCGCTGCTAGTGTGCAGGATGCCACGACTGAGAACTAGCAGCCAGGAAAAGGAAAAGTGCGAGTTTTCCTTTTGCTGGCTGCTGCTCAGTTTTTGCCGCAGATTTGTATGCTGTACGAGTATGTAGGTCAGTTCAGACGATGGGTTACTGAACTCCCCGTCCGGCGGCCAAATGTATTTATGGAGAATTTGTCACATACCAACAAACTTGTACTCGCACTCGCACTCACACTCGCCCTCGTAATATTGCGGGGCCACAAATGAGAGAACTGTGAGACAGTCAGCGAACAAAATTCACTTCAGTGTGTGTGTGTGGGGGAGGGCGAAACTTCAATGCCAAAGCTGTCCGACTCGTCCGTCCCCAGGTGGAATACGCAATCAGAAGTAATGTTTTATGCGCATGAAAAAGTAAAACTTAACAAGAAACTAAAAACTGAAAAACTGTGGAAAACTGTGGAAAACCACACGACCACAACGTGAGAGGAGAGCCACAAAATCCACCTTAATTTTAATAATACGAGTATCTGATCTGTGTGGGGTGAGGAAACACCACTGGGCTTTTGTTATCCACAGCATCCATGGGGTACGGGTACGGGTACGGGTACGGGTTTGGGTACTGAAAGACATCTTCAAATGGGGCCGTTTATTTGTATCGAACTTCAAAACTGTCTGGATTCGTTTAATATGCAGTTCTTGGGATGGTCTGCCCTGCCTCAAGTGTGCTCCCAGAAGACTTTCAAGTTTCGTTCCAAATATCGACAAAGTCATCATCATCATCATCGATGGGGAGGGGGGGTGAACACGACGAGACGAGGCACAAAATTAACATTTTCTACTTCTCCTCTACTTATTCCACTCATTCCGCCTCCCTTGCTCAGTCTACGCCGCCGTCTGCCTCTCTCTTTCCATCGTGCTTGGCTGAGTTTGGTTTTGGGTTTGGGTCCCCATCCCCCGTCCCCGTGCATCTTAAAAAAACCGAACAGAACTTGCCACTTCAGCGGGGGTCGGTCTGGCACGGCACAACAAATGGTTGGAAGAGAGCTGTTCAATAAAACAGAGCCAGAGAGAGAGAGAGAGAGAGGCCAGGCAGATTCTTCATCTCATTTCACTTACTTTACGGGCTGCCAGCAACTCCCAGCACGAGAACTCGTTTCTGTTAATTGTTGCGTTAATTTATATTCTCTGCAGCCCCAAAAACAAAATATAAAAAAATAGTAAGAATTACATGGCCTGGGCCCCTCACTTACTGTTGCCACACTTAATATGCTCTGATTGTGTTGAAAATATGATTCTTGGGCTGATTCAAAAGTAGCTCGCAAGAGCGTTAGGGGAACGATCCTCCCATTCAGTCTTTAGTCGGGAAAACAACTCAAGAGAAAACTGTCCCCCAGAATTGAATCATCGAGCAATACAGAACCGATTAAATCGAATACTTTAAAAGGCTGAAGAACTCTTCGAGCAACCCACTCGCCAAGACCAGTTAGTCATAGTTTTGCTGGCCGTTAGTCATTCACCTGGACCGGACCGGACCGCACATGCTCGTAAAGATGGCAGCGAGCGAGCATGGGGAACAAAGGAACATCGTTGGAGCGATGCCGGTGCTCGTCTTGGGGCCATGATCCATAGCCGCGATCTCTGCATCGAATAACATAACCGATGAGCCATCAAATAGAATATCGTAAGGCCTGGCCTGCCCAATCGACAATGAAACGAGTCTGAACAAGCTGTGGAAAGACTCACGGGGGCCTGTGGGGCTCACGGTCGATCAGGCCAGAGCAAGTCCCAAAGTCAATGGGGCATGAACAAGAGCGAACAAGCGGAAGCAGCCCGAACCGAACCGAACCGCACCAAATCAACAACAAAATCGATCGCTGCGGCAGGGGAGCGGAGCGGAGCGGAGCCGCCGAAGGGTTCCTGCCGCAGGAACCTGTTTACAAAATCAATGGCAAGGGGGCACTGACCTCAGCGGAGGCTCGAAATATTGTTGTTAATTCATTTGCCATTGCGGTGGGTCAGTGGAGAGTCATGGCGAGAGTGAGGCGTAATATCCTTTTGACTCACCAATTAAGATAAACTAAATTTTAATTTTAATTCAAATATTAATACAAGATAAGATTGATTTGCCTACCTGCGCTTGTTTTGGATTGGATTTCGATATGCATAAGCATGGGATGCAGGGGATTCAATAGCACAGAAACAAGGAAAAGCCAATCAATGTAAAGCTAATGAAAATCAGCAAACAATAGCTGAGGGGGTAGTGGGAACCAGAGAAGGGGAAAAGCGAATTCCTAAGCCCGAACGAACGCTTGAGCAATTTGCAAGCATGCTGAAAATGAAATTCAATTGCGAAATTAAATTTCATTGGATTTAATTGTTGCAATAATCGGATCGAGCAACGAAACAAACAAGCCTGGCCTGGCCTGGCCTGGCCAAATCAAACCCGACCCGTCTAATCGGAGCCGTCGAAGCGTTAAATCCGATGAAATGACTTCTGAGCATTCTCGTCCAATGTCGATGGGATCTCATTTCACTTTTGTATTATTCTATCAAAGGGTGTGGTCCGGTCCAGTCCAGCCCGGATGCTGTCCGTCCGCGATAAAAATCCATTTCATGAATGAGGCACATACACACATACATAAGTAATTATATGTACATATGTGTAGATATGCAGGTCTTATCAGCTGTGGGTCAATGAATTCAATTCATCCCACACCACACATTCAAAGGCCGCCTCTTGACCGTTTCCTTTAAGTTTCGAAGCTGATAAGCTCCAAAAAAAAAAAAAAAAAAAAAAGGAAAGTGAATTCCCAATGAATCTCTAATGAATCTTTTGTGAAGAAAGCAACAAAACACTTTGGCTTTGGTTTTTGGGGGAATCTTGGTAACTAATTAGTCTTTTATGTATTATAATTTATTAAAGAGCTAAGAGGAGGCCCATTAACTGTGATCCCAAACAAAGAATTTGAAAGTGATATTGTTAGCTGGAATCTTTTGACTTGTGATTCAATATATTAAACGAATATCATATCCATTTCATCTAAAAAGGTTTTCAATTTCCATTCCCTGAATTTCCATTCTTTGACAGCTTGAAATAATTGGGATAATCTTCTAGAATTTCTTCGGCATGTACCTTAGCTTACTGAGATTTAATGTTAACATGGTGCTAGATTTATGTACCTTGAATGCACACCCTAACACCCAGCTAATAACTCTAGGAGTGAACATAATAATGACTTTGTCCCAAATGGAAACAGAAGGTGCTCGGTACATATCCGCTAATAGCGCACAAATTATAAAAGAAAAGCATCAAAAAGATTGGCCAACATTAATGGCTAATCGTTTTAACCTTCTGAAAAAGTGTCTCTCCTCCCGGACACAGAGCCGGACATGATCTTGGCAAAGTTGGAAGTGCAAAAGATTAGAGCGGCCGGCAGAAGGTTTTTTTTCTGTCGCTTTTCTTCTTTGCCCTAATGAAAGTTGTCCGGAGGGGGGCTCCGTCTCTGCTAGCGGGACAAGAAGACGACAATTTTTCAACATTAACCCAAATAGAAGTAAAGCAGCCGATTAAAAATAAAAACCGAACCGAACGAAAAACCCACAACAAAGCAAAGCAAGGCAAAGCAAAAATAGAGGTCGAATGTGTGCCATTGTGTCGATTGAATATTTGATTTTATTCGTCCGAATCTCTGAGACCGAAACGAAACCTTGTAATTATGCAGAAGAAAGAACGGTTAAAAGAGAAACACTCTCCCACTCCCACTCCCCTCTCCCACTCTACCACTCTCACGTGCTGCTACCTGCAATCGCCGCTTGACGAAACCTGTTGATTCCAATGGATATATTGTAAGTTACATACATACATATGTACATACATATGTGCATACATATGTGCGCAGAGGTTCTTCTGCTATTGGACTGTAATTGGACATGCAAAGCACGTGCAAACTGTACAGTGTACACATCGCTCCCTACCCCTCTAGACAAAACCCTTCACTACTTCACTGAATGACGTAGTGAATGTACATTGTGTATTATTGCTGTTGCTATACCCTTGCAGTGGGTAGTAAGAATGCTCCCAGCTGATTCCCAGATTCCAACCTGCAGACATGTCCGATTAGATCGACTAGACTTAAAGACTCTTGCAAAATGCTGTTTAATATGTTTTTTACATGTTTACATATTTATTTCCAACCTGTCATCAGAGGGTGGTACTCCAAGCTGCTAGAGTATGCACAGCTTCGGTGCCATGAGCTAGCATTTATTTGTTGTGGCTATTGCACAGTCAGTCGTCTCGTCATTTGTTCTCTTGGCTGGGTTTATGTTTGCCACCGTGAAGGTCTTCTTTACTGGCTCGTCATCGTCATCGTTCTGGTTTAAGCATTAGACGATTGTCAGATACATACATACTAATGCATATATGTACATACTCGTAAGTGTAGGTATATTTGTGGGCTTGCAAGTAGCATAACAATTTGTATGTGTGTCATTGTGGCAATTGATTTGAATCGCGTGCATGCAACCAGATAAGCCATCGTGACTGGTGTGAATATGGAATACTTGATATGTATTTATGTATATCGCCTTTTATGCCTTGTTACTGTTACGTGGCATGCGCCCAGAATGGCTAATGAGCTGGCCAAAACGGGCAGAAGTATAATACAATAAATACAATCCATAAATGGCGAACATATATGGGATTAGGTTTATCTTTAGAGCCCATCGAGCAGCAATATATTCTGGATATTCTAAAGTCTTTTAGACTACGCTTCTTACAGTCAGGAATACTCTACAAACTCACAGTTTAATTCTGCAGGATCTGGCAGTATCGCGTATCGAGTGAATTGTGTTCTGTGGCTGTGGCCTATAAAAACCCTACACAAATAAATTTGTACTACTCCCAAGAAGTTAGTCAGCAGATTTCATTATACTCGTGTGTGAATCGTATCCAAATCGTTATATCAAAGCGATGTCTGTCTTAAAAATGTTTCAGGTAAAATGTTTTCTTTTGGAAAATGGTTTTGAATGCGAAATGCCTGCGCGTCAGCTGCATAGTACTGGCTGTCGGCTGGATCATTGGGAGCATAATTACAGCCACGTACTTGGTTCAGGCAGGTTAGTTCTGGCGCTGCCCCAAACATTGCGATTTGCTGGCTGATCGGTTCCCTCGAATGTCCACAGACACAAAGAAGCCCATAATTACTCTGATAATGGCCATCGCTGATTTTGTGACGACGGCCAGCTCGATTGTGGGTTTAATTGGAGCCATCAAGAGTATTCCATTGGCCCTGCTGCTTTGGCTGCTGGTGATACTGGTTACGCGGAGCCTGGAACTTATTTTCTACGTGCTCTTCCCTTGGGAAAAGAAATGGGTGTCCGGAACGTGCTACGCGCTGGGCTCTCCCAAAATTCCATCCATACTATTTATGATGGCCCTGATGAGTAAGAGCTGACTCGACTTATGATCTCCCAGGACTTGACATTAGCAATATTTGTTACAGGTGTGACGGCCATATCGATATTTGTCATCTATAAGTACTACGACTACCTGCGACACCACGATCGGCCTATTGAGGAATGATATGTACTGTATTACGTACTCTGTGACGTTCCTCTAATTCTCTGCCCACCCCACCATTGAAACTAATTGTTTTCTACAACGCAAAATCGCATTAATTAGGTTTAATGGGGAGGGAGGGCCGCGCCAGCCAAGGGACTGCGCACACCCCAAAATGTCAGGCACAATGCAAATTTCAGACTACAGTGATGATCCCCCCATATATATGTACATACATATAGGATTTGTGAGTCATACATTCGCCATTTGGATCGTCAGACCCTATCGCCAGAATCAATTCATCAGTATCCAAAAGATATGCACTTTTTGCATTGGGTAAAAGACTCATTTCTGGCCGGAACTTTTCCAGCCAATTGTTTTGTATGGGGGATTTTCTGCGCCGTTTACCACTTTTCCTCTATTAACTCGACTCAAAATTAGCGAAATAAGCTGCCCCTGTCCCCCGTCCCTGGTGTTGTGATTAATGGTTGCGTTACCATTGGGATTTAGTGCGCGACTGACTTCGACTTCGACTTTGGCTAAGGTGGTGGTCGGTACCCGTACCCAGAGCCAGAGCCAGCCCAGCCTCCCCTCTAACCAAGCAACCAACTACCTCCTGCGGCATCTCTCATGCCTTTTCAATTACGTTTTAGTGTTTGAATTTTGCGCCACAATTTTTAATGCCGAAACCATAAAAGTGAGCAGAGAGTGTGCAGTGCAGTGTGCAGAAATAAAACTACAACAAAAAGTGATCCAAAATAAAAGTCTGCTTGGTTTGTGCGGCTCGTTAGCAGCAACAACTCGGCCACCTTATTGTGAGGCCCATGAAGAAGAGAGGCCACAAAAACACACACAAAAAAAACTCGACTGAAATGTGTTTCAAATTTTTGAAAACTCACTTTGCCATGGCGGAATGTCTTAGTCACGGCACCTGCTGCAATCCACCCTGCCCACAGCTAGGTATTGTTGGTACATCGGGTACTACATAGTGCTAGTAGCCGAAATAAATGTATTTGCTAAGCCAAAGCCATAGACAATAATTGTGCCAAGAGCTCGAAGGGAAATTCAAGGTCGATTGCCGATGTTCTGCTTAATTATGCAAATAATAACAGCAATGGAAATGATTGTGAATTTAAATTTATAGAAAATATAGGGAAAATATCCCTAGAAAGAGATTGAGAGCAAAGAATTTGTAGGGTTAAAACAGTGCCATGGTAAGGAATATTCCTAATTATATTTTATAATTGATTTAAATTTAACCATCTATTAATTTGTAACGGATGTACAATTGGGTTTCCCTGGACATATTGTGGCTTACCCTATCGGAAATCGCCCATTGAACACACATTTTAAGCGAGACCAGACCCCATATGAAGCTGGCAAATACGAGTACAGGAAAGGAACAAACAAAAAGGAAAGAAAAAGAAGGAAGGCCAGCAAACACAGGGATACAGCGGGAGGAAAATGGAGAGACTACTCCATTCTTTGGGTAATTTGAGACATTGCTAAGGGCACAAAAACAATCAAAGCCGTCGATGGATAAACGGAGGGCAGGTCAAAAGGGAAGACAGACTACCCCTCAGGCAGGCACATGGGTGTCTCCTCAGCAAACACTTGAGTTTAGTCTTGCATGCGGCATAGGCATATCGTTCATCGGCCATCGGGTGTATCTCAACTAAAGTGTATCTCATGCATGCCAGTCCCCATCCCTCAGCCCCCAGCTGACTCATTCCCTTGGCCGCGAACAGGTTGGTTTGTCACATACTGGCTCACACACACACTCGTATTTATGCACATATGTAGATACATACAACTGCACAAACATTGGGCCTACCTACGCCCAAGTGGAATGAAATGGTCTGGAAATGCTTGCAAATTAACAAAAAAAAAAAACAAAAACAAAAAATGTTTTGTCGAGGGTTCGGTTAATTGATACCCATTATGGGAAATATGCTATAGTTTTTAGCTCGAAAGTCTGGACTATTTATCTAAGAGTAAGACCGAAAAAATATGCGGAAAGAATATCAAATATCCCCCCCGTTCAGGTTGCGAGTGCATGCCGCACTGGAGGAACCCTACACGCCACAGGGTATAGTTAAAAACAAACCAAGAGAAACACAAGACGACAAAATATACTTGAGCCCAAGACCAAGCTCAGGCCTGGCCTGTCTCCAGCTCCAGCTCCAGCTACAACTACAACTACAACTCCAGCCCATACCCGATGCAATCGGCCAGCGAATTCGAACGAAAGGTACTTAAAAAAGTGCATGCGGGTTCATTTCCTGTTTGCTCTTGCCATTTCAGCTAGCTCAAGGCAGAGCGACAGAGAGAGGGCGAGTGAGAGTGGACGGTAGAGAGGCTTCTTGCCATTTTGCGACGTCAGCTGAGCTGAGCACCAGCCAGAAGGGAAGAAGGAGGGAACCAGCAAGCTTCTGTGGCCGAAGCTTTAGATGCCCTTGCAGCTGGATGATACTTGAACATAGTTCTGCATAGCTTTGCCATTTCTATATATCAATCATAGAAAGAGATAGTTGGTGATCTAAAATGTAGCTAAATTAATGTTCTTTCTGGATTCGGAAATACTTTCTCTGCGTTGCAATACTCTGGTGAAAATCGAAGAGCCCTATTCTCCACTGCAAGGGTAAGGGTATAAACATGCTCAAGCAGAGACGACTGAGCTTTCCCCCCCAATCGCCCTCTCGACCCAGCTTTGATGACTTGGGGGTTTTTCTGCTCCTCAGTTTCTTCTTGGGGCTTTGGCTCTTTCTGCGTTCAGTTTTTCTGCCCTTTTTCTGCACTTTTGCCCGGTTAGCCGCTCTCTAGTCTGCCGCCAGCTTTTAACGATCATTGGATATTGGGTTTTTGTGTTGCGTCAATGCAAATTATATCCATATGCGAATAAGCCAGCGCTTTTGACACTTTTCCAGCGTCTCTTCTAACGGTTCCATTCAATATTACCATCTTTTATTTTGTGTTGTCGTTTCTGACTACAGTTATTAATGATTGGTGGTTGGATAGAGCTGCGGGCCTGGAAAGTGTTTATCGTCGAATCGATTATCAATTACATATTTTTTTCGGGTTTATTTTTTGTATTTCTTTCCTTTTATTGTTTTTTTTTTATATCAATTAATCGACCGTTCGCAGTTTGTCACTTTGATTGCGTTTTAATGCGGCTTTTGCCATTTGATTTTTAATTTTTGAACTTTCAATTATTAGATAAACGAAATTGTGTCAAATTTCCCACTGAAGGTGGTGAGGTAATGTGAGTTAAGGTGAGGTGGATGTTGTCAGCAGGGCCCTCAGGCAATTAACGAACTAGCTAGATAATCTATAAAAACAGTTCAAAAAGTTATAAACAAAACAAGAACAGACTGCTTGTATAACAGTGCTCAATACTTTACCTAATTTAAAACCAAAAAAAACCACATTAAGAGGAACGGATTCTATTTGCAGTTCCCATTATATTAAAAAAAAATGTTTTAATTAAATTCGTATTTGAATAAAAACAGCAATCATTCAATGGGCTTGTACAAAAAATAGATCACAAGATTCAACTACATACATATGTATGTGTAATATATAGCATGTTCATGGCTTACCTTTCAGAAATGTTCGTGCGAGATACTCCGTTTCTCGAGCTGCTTTGAATTGGACCGCATTCAAATTGGACCGATTGGGCACAGTACGTTAGAAGCTGAGCTGTTGCTGTTGGCTTGTCTGTTCGTGTGTTTGGGGACGCGAGATGCGAGACGCGAGCCAGGTACTTGTTGCTCTTGCTGGACCCCGACGGACCCAGACCTGGACGAGCGACAGTGGCAGGGACAGGGGCAGCCAGAAAATGGAAACGCGATTAGGGGGAAACCGAACCACAGAAACAGGCGAAAAGGTACACAAAAAAGATGCAGAGCCACAAAACACCAAACCGAACCAAACCAAACGAAAACAATGCCAGAAAAAATCAACAACATGCACACACTGACACCACACCAAGAATATGTATCTTGAAACTGGTTTAAGATTTGTTGGGGATTTGTTCACTTGGCTGTGGGGAGCGTATAGGCACAGCGTATATCTATCTATCCACCCGTGTTAGCGTGAGTGTGCTCGTACTTTCCAATAACAAACTCAACTTCTTATTTGACTCTTCAATCTTTAATAACACACGAACAGCAGGACATCATTTCCATATAAATTCGTTGCTCGCTCTCAGCCCTTCGAGAACAACTGTTGCGTCTCAGCGTGAGGGTGGCAAGGGCAAACAGAGCAGATACGCGGGAGGAGATGAACAAAACGGAGCTCGAGCACTGGGTACCGCACTTGTAATGACTATATATTATATTATCATTTATAATGTAAATTAAGTGTATTTTTTATTTTCAAAAACTACCGGCATTCACAAAAGTCAAATCGCTGTTTTTTAAACCATACAGCGGAGGCAGAGCCCGACGATCCGAAAGATACAACGACTTTGCATGGTAGAGATGTCAAACCATCGAGGGCACTATCGATAGTATCGATATTTTACTGCTAGCCTTTACTATTGACGGTTTTGCGACTATCATGACAGTATCGAGCTACAGTCGTTGCGCTTTTGATATGTTTGGATTGGCTGCTATAAAATACGAAGACAAATTTGTAGACAAATCGACAGGTAGCATCTACAATGGACAAGTTCCTAAAAGGTTTCAATGGTTTTTTAATAATTATTTGAGCCCGATACTATCGTGTTTTTTCAAAACATTCAACGTTGATAATCCTCGATTTTAATATTCCGTTTAATATTACTAGCTAGCTGGGAGTCTCAGCCCTAAACAAATAATTTTATCCGATAGATACATCAATTTTGTTCAGGATTGGGAAGTCTTCAGAAGTCCTTTTTATTGGATTATTTACATATTAAGGTTCAAACAACAACAATATAAAACGAATGTGACGTCCTTTTGTGGCGCTGCCAGACTCGTGCAATTCGTAGTTGCTGCGGGCTGCCATACCATGATATTTTGTGATATGATATTCCTCGATTTTGATATTCAGTTTAATATTACTAGATGGTTGGCCCTCTCAGCCCTAAAAAAATAATTTTATCCAATTCCTCAATAAATTTTATTTAGGATTGGCTAGTTTTCTTTTAGTAGCCTCCCCAGAATGCTGAATCTCATCGCCGCCTTCCTTCTCGCGTTTTCTTTAGAATCATTTTATTTAATTTTCCCCATTTCTTCCTAGTTTATTTTTACAATGGATCATAATTACTTTTCGATACCTATGTACCGCGATATGTGGAGTATCCAAAGGGGTTAAGTAGCAGTGGAATGTGATAGTTTTGATTTTCACTACAGTCCACAATTATATCTATAGCTGGGTACAAGGTTTTCACATTGCGCTCTGCGAAGTAGGATCCCACATGAAATGTCAGCTTGTAGACTCCGCTGGGAAACTCGCCGACCTCCAAAAGTTGGCAACGACCGTCTGCATTAGTTTGGGCTGCTCGGAGGGATCTCCACTCTTGAATCTCGTCCAGGACAGAAACTGTGACCCTAACACTTGCCGCCGCCTTTCCAACGGACGTATCCAGTATGTGGGTAGAAAACTTCCGTGCGTCCATAGCGACTGAAACTTAATGTCACTGTGAGTTTGATCTTCTGCTAAGTAACTGAAGATAAAGAACTTCAATGAACCAAATCAGTTTATCTAAATCTTTGAGTGCATTTTGCTAAGATAATAATATTTATTTTGTAACCATAAACTTTGCAACAAGTAGCTTTTGTTGTACGTGGGATGGGATGGGATGGGATTTTCATAGGACTTGTACAAATATACACTTATTGTCGGCAGATAACGAATACAAGCTCGGCATAGCACCATGAAATGTCTGAAGCTATTCAACTGTTTAAATAGGGGGTTTTAGTGGGCTAACTTCGTTCATGAGCGGTATATTATATGGTATATTTCATACATTTTTGTTGGTATATTACAGTATATTTCAGACTGCACGTGTTGTTCGTTTGGTTTGGATTGGATCTCTGATTTTGATCAATTTCTTTTAATTAAAATTACAAATGGCTGAGGAAGGACCACCCGAGGCAAGCATTGACTTTGTGCCCGCGCTGTGCTTTGTGCCGCGCGGCGTTGCCAAGGATCGACCCGATAAGATTGTGCTGACCCAAGGCGAGTTGGCCAGAATCATTGGCGCCACGCAGCAGGAGCTAGAAGAGGACAGTGAGGACGAGGACGAAGGCGATGAGACAGCAGCTGGCGGCGCCGGCATGGACGTGGACGATGATGATGCCAATAGCGAGAACCGCAATCCCCAGGACGAGTACGACTTCAATGGGTATGACAACGAGGAGAACGCGACGGTGACAAGTTTGGCCAACATTGTAGATGCCGGTGAGCAGGTGCCCGATGAAGACGAAGACTCTGAAGCTGAGGACGAGGTTATCAAGCCCAGTGACAACTTGATTCTCGTGGGTCATGTCCAGGACGACGCCGCCTCCATGGAGGTGTGGGTGTTCAATCAGGAGGAGGAGGCTCTCTACACACATCACGACTTCCTGTTGCCCAGCTTTCCGCTCTGCATCGAGTGGATGAACCATGATGCGGGCAGCGATAAGGCCGGTAACATGTGCGCCATTGGCTGCATGGATCCGATCATAACTGTGTGGGACTTGGATATTCAGGACTCCATCGAGCCCACATTCAAGCTGGGCTCCAAGGGCAGTCGCAAACATCAGAAGGAGCAGTATGGCCACACGGATGCCGTTCTGGATCTGTCGTGGAACCGGAACTTCGAGCACATCTTGGCCAGTGGCTCGGTCGATCGGACGCTGATCCTCTGGGACATGGATGAGGGACAACCGCACACTACCATCACAGCTTTTGAGGAGAAAGTTCAGTCCCTGGAGTTCCACCCCACAGAGGCTCAGAGCATTCTAACCGGATGTTCGGACGGATATGTGCGGCTCTTCGATTGCCGCGACGCTGAGGCCGTGAACTCGTCCAGCATCAAATGGAAGGTGGACGGCGAGGTGGAGAAGGTTCTCTGGCACCCCACCCAAACCGACTACTTCATCATTGGCACCAACGACGGCAGTCTCCACTATGCCGATAAGCGCACACCCAACCAAATTCTGTGGTCCGTGAAAGCCCACAACGAGGAAATCTCCGGGGTGTGCTTCAACAGCCAAATGCCCAATCTGCTGACCTCCACCTCCACGGAGGGCACTCTGAAAGTCTGGAACTTTAACAGCACCGAGGCGAAGCATGTCTACGAGCACGAGTTCAATATGGGTCGTCTGCAGTGCATGCGCCAGTGTCCGGAGGATCCATACACGCTGGCATTCGGTGGAGAGAAGCCTCCCCGGTGTGCAATCTACAACATAAAGAATTCCGTGGCAGTGCGTGGGACATTCGGTATTGCCGATTCAGAGTCGTAGTGGCGTATTCATGAATGTATATGCTGGATGCTGATGATTTGTATTCACGATTTAAGAACATTTTATAAATATATATGGCTAATTTGTAAGGATCCAAAACGTATCAGTTGTTTCACCTTTAACCTTCCTTAGCCGAAACGTAGAGTAGAAATGTACAGACTGACAGGAAGCAATAGAAAATGGAAAGACTGCCCATTTCCAGTCAATGGCATACAGTATAAATCAGGTGGAGTTTAATTTGATAATCAGACCAAATGCCAACTTTATATGATGAAAAATCATCTGAATCCTTAAGACTACGTTACGTATGTATATGGACTAAGCTAAACTGTGATCCTAACTCTTGAAGAGTCCCACGCACATGAGGAGATTGCGGCGCGTAAAGTGCAGGGTGACAAAGGGCGAGTTCTTACTGGGGAATGTGCGCAACAGGTAGACATCCTCGTCGTTCTCATCTTGATGGTGCGACACCGTAATGTGATTGCTGATGTAGTCATCGGTGACCTTGTGGAAGTCCCAGAGGGTCAGGTTGTTGTCCAGGCCAGCAGCAGCCAGGAGTGTTCCATCGCGGCTGAAGGTTATCGTCGTCACAGTGCTGGTGTGCCTCAGTAAGGTGGTCACGAGAGAGCCATTCGACAAGTCCCAGATGATGATGGTGCTGTCGATGGAGCCAGAGGCTAGATAGCGTCCACAGGTGGAGAAGGCAAGGGCACTGACAGATCCCTTGTGACCCGTCATTAGACGCACCGACTGGCCGGTCATGTTGTCCCAGAGCCGCACAGTCCGATCGCTAGAGCCAGTGGCCACATAATTGGAATTGGGATGAAACTGAACGCAGTCCACGTCTGATAGGTGGCCAACAAAGACTCTGAGCGCCTGATTGGAGTCTGTAGACCACAAGCGAGCCGTTTTGTCGTACGAGCATGAAACAAAATAATATCCGTGCGGGGAAAACCGAACATCCCAGACGGGATAGACATGGCCGCGGTAGGTCACCACACAGGACCACGTGAGAAGCGACCACAATCGTATGGTGCTGTCCTCGGAGCAGGATAGGAGCAGGTTCATTTCGGGCGCAAAGGCACAGCGATAGACAGGCCCTGTGTGGCCCAGGAAGTTCCTTGTTGTTTCCCCACTGCGGTCGTCCAACATGCGCACATTGATATCCGCAGACTCCTTGTCGAGTTCCCTCAGAGCCTCGGCTTCCTTGAGGGTGCGCAGCTTGGCGGGCGTCAGCGACCATATCCTGATGCTCGAGTCGGCAAATCCGCAGGCAACCATTGTGGAATCCTCGGAGATCTCGGCACACGTGACACCCTGTTGGGAGTTGAGTACCGTGTAGAAGACAGCGGAGGGAAGCTGATCTCGGCCGAGGGCCATGCGTTTGCTGGCTTCCCTCAGGGCCTTTAGCTTGAGCAACTTATCGGAGTCCTTGAGCTCAGGCAAGGGTATCCTGTCAATGGAGGGAGCATTTGGATCCGACTTGGACTTCTTGGACAGCAGCGGATCCTTTTTGGGCTTTTTCTTCTTGGGACGATCTGGTGCATCCGGATCATCGTCTTCCTCTTCTGGGGCCGGCGCCGGAGTGGTCAGCGTCTGAAAGTCCACCTCCTTGAGCAGGCCATAGTACACCCTCATCTTGTTGTCCTGCCTCTTGGCCTCTCCGATGTGGGATCCTGCTGTGGCCACGCATTGCAGCTTATTCCGAGCCATGCCCTCATAGGTATCAAAATGTAAGTACTTGGACACGATATCGGCTACCACCTCCTGCCTGCGATCCTGGATGTGGCGCTTGAACAGCGAATGGGAGTCCCTGGACATCCGAATGACGAACTTGTCCATTTCCATGGCAACGACCAGATCGTTCTCCAGCAGCTCCTCCGGCTTGGACAGCATCAGCAAGTTGAACAGCCCCTCTATGTAGTAGCCGTCGAGATCCGATTTGTACTTCTCGATGAAAGCGCGCGCCTTTTCCTTTTGTCCGATGGCGAGCATCTTGAAATAGATTTGCACCAATATGGGATACAGTACCATAGACAGCTCGTGCTTATATATGTCCAACGAATCCTCTACAAATGAGCGCAGATCTTCGTAGGCCTGCTCGTGCTGCTGGGCGTCGAAGCTGTCGTCCCCAATGAATTTCGCCAGTGCCTCCGCCGCGTTGGCCTCTGTCACCGCCGTTTGTTTTGTTTCCACCGGAGCAGGCCGGGGCGCCTCTCTCTCACCGTCGCCCAGCCCCAAAGCAGCGCCGAGTACCTGCTGTACATCTGTTTCGCTGATTGCCGCCAGATCCGCGGCGCTCACATTGGCCTCCTGGCAAAGCAGCTCCTCTGTGCTCTTCAGTTGGTATTTTTTAAGCAGTTTCAGGAGACAGAGCATCTCGCGCTTGTCGTGGGAGCGCTGGATGCCATTTCCTCCATTTGTGTTGCTCATTTCAAGACTCATTTCAAGAAAATATATTTTTTTTACGCTTCTCCACTATTTTGTTTTGCCGAGTCTGCAGAGTTGCCAGAAAAGCGATAACACATTACATTATTATCGAAAGTGTGATATTGGTTTTGCAGCCCTAGCGATAACCATAACATACTTTATAAGAAAATGAAGAGGAGAGTAATTATAAAAAAGGTAAAAAAACAAGCGTAAACGATAATAAATCTTCTGCAAAAGCATAGAAGTACGAACAGTAAGCTTCTTTTGTAGAAAAGCCTAACTTGCCATTGCTTATTTTAGTGTATCTGTGTGCTGTCCTTCCTCCAACTCCTTGAACTTTGACTCTCCGCTCCACGATATCTAACCCTTGTACCTGTTGATTGTATTGTTTGTCTCTGTCTGGTCAAAAAATGAATGAAAATGACGATGCGGTAGGTGTGTTATGTTATTGAATAACCAGCCACAGATATAAAATTCCACTCCCCCTTGACACTTGCAGAAAAAGGTCGCCGTGAAGCGCTCGTCCGTTTCGGTGGATCCCAGCCAGCCGAGATACAGCTACTCGGGACGGATGCAGGAACTGATAGAGGGCTACAATTCGGCGGTCCAGTTGCTGGTGCCCAAGTGGCCCTGGTTCTTCTATCCCGGATATCTGACATACGCCGTATACTGGCGGTATGCCAAAAACTACAAGGGCAAGTTTCATTTAACGCCCATACCGAATCGTCTCTACGAACTGCTCATCAAAAACGAGTTGATCAAGTCGGAGCACCTGGTATTCGCCAGCCAGGATGTGTACGACAGGTATGCCGAGTCACCAGACGTTAACTTTGTCAACCTGATTATCCGCGGCGGCAGCGGAAGGACAAATCTGCAGACAGCCGACAATTCAGCGACCCGGACAGTCATTAAGCAAATGCTGCAGGAAGCTCCACACACAATAGTGGCGCAGATATTGCCGGCAGCTCAGTGTCAGGGCAACCGCATCTATGTCCAGGTACGTTTCAGTTTATAAATTAATTAAAGAAGATACGTAACTGTCCAACTTCCATTGTAGGAAAACTTCTACAGCAATGTCATGGACCGGTTTCGCATACGCTCCAATTGCTGGATCAAACTGGAACACTTTGCCGATGAACAAGCCATACCCGCCATAGCCACCAAAGCTCATGTGTATATGCTAAGCAATCCCCACGAGCTGCCTGCCGAGGTGACGGAGCTCATCCTGAGCAACTACTTTAATACGCCGCGTCTGCTGCATCGCGGCCACACCTATCGCATCGAGGTGAACGCCCAGCTGGTGGGCACTGCCGCCTATGCCCACTATTATCTGATATTCGCATATCTGCGGCACGTCCACTTCCGCTGCATTCATCTGGAGACAAAGGGCAGCGAGTTCGAGCTGCAGGCGGTGGTGGCAAAGGGTCTTAGCAACCTGGTGCAAGTTCCCCATGCCCACAACTTCCTGCCACGACAAGTCCTCGACAACTTTGCCATCGTTGAGAACTATCCGAGTGGTCTGCGAAAGCCGTACCAGCTGCTGCGATCATCGGTGGACGCGTTTCTGCCCAAGAAGTCGGCCTGCCTGTCTTCCAAGCACATCTTTCCGGTGTTTCTGCTCCAGGGCGAGCGGGGATCTGGCAAAACGAAGCTCATAAACGCCGTCGCCCAGGAGCTGGGCATGCACTTGTACGGAGCAGACTGTGCCGAGATCGTTTCGCAGGTTCCCTCGCACACAGAGATGAAGCTGAAGGCGGTCTTCGCCAAGAGCCTAGTCAGTGAGCCGCTGTTGATCTGTTTCCATAACTTCGAGGTACTTATATACAACCTTCTCGGTGAGAGAGACTTATCTAACAATGTACTCTTTCAGATATTCGGCATTGACAATGAAGGCAACGAGGATCTGCGACTGCTTTCGGCCTTCCATGTCCAGGTTCAAGAGCTGTTCTCTCGGGATCGAAAGCATCCTGTGGTGGTGGTTGCTCTAACCAGCGACAAGCACCTGAAGCCCATGATTCAGAGCTTGTTCCTGGAGATAATCAGCATTGAGATGCCAAGCAAAGAAGAGCGCTTTGAGATCCTTCGGTGGATGCACGCCCGCGAGACCTTCAACGATGTGATCCACAATCAGAAGGCAATCGACCGCTTGCCCCTATTCGCGAAAGAGAACCAAACACAGTTCATGGCGCGCCTGTGTCCGAGTTGGAGAGAGACTGTGGGCGTGCTGCAGGAGGTGGCGGCCAAATCGCAGGGATTTCTTCTGGGTGACCTGCAATTGCTCTACGACAGTGCCGTCCGCATGAAGAGCCGACAGAGGCTGGGCAGGAGCTCCCTGGACCTATCCCACTTTTCCAAGAACTTGAGCGACATGCAGAGCTCGTTTGCGGATAGTTTGGGCGCCCCAAAGGTGCCCAAGGTCTATTGGTCAGACATTGGCGGCCTGGCCAAGCTGAAGGATGAGATTCAGAGCAGCATAGGACTGCCGCTAAAGCACGTTCACCTCATGGGCAAGAACCTACGGCGTTCAGGCATTCTGCTCTACGGGCCACCTGGAACGGGCAAGACCTTGGTAGCCAAGGCCGTGGCCACCGAATGCAACCTGAGCTTCCTCTCTGTGCAGGGACCCGAGCTGCTCAACATGTATGTGGGCCAGAGTGAACAGAATGTGCGCGAGGTCTTTTCCCGTGCTCGCTCCGCGGCCCCCTGTGTGCTCTTCCTCGACGAGCTGGACTCTTTGGCTCCAAATCGAGGTGTGGCTGGCGATTCTGGCGGTGTGATGGATCGTGTTGTGTCGCAGCTTCTGGCTGAGATGGACGGCATGAGCGATGGCGACTCCAGCAAGCCCATTTTCATACTTGCGGCCACGAATCGTCCGGACTTGATTGATCCCGCCCTGCTACGACCCGGGCGCTTCGATAAACTCTTCTACGTGGGGCCCTGCTCCACTGCCGACGACAAAGCAGCCGTTTTGCGAGCACAAACTCAGCGCTTTGCTCTGGACTCTGCCGTCAACATGGATGAGATTGCTGAGCGCCTGAAGAGCGAAATGAGCGGCGCAGACCTATACTCCATCTGCTCGAATGCATGGCTATCGGCTGTGAGACGCACCATTGACCGGCACCTGAGTGGGAACCTCTCGGAGAAGGAGCTCGTGCCTGAGACAGTAATCGTAGAGTCGGAAGACTTCACCAAGTCGTTCAACAAATTTGTGCCTTCGATAAGCAAAACGGATCTGGAGTACTTCAACAATCTTAAGGCGTCCTACAGTGTTTGATGCACTTTGACCCCTTACCAATAGATCGTTATCTAGGTATTGCATCTGGAATTTTTCTTTATTTTTTGAATAAAACTGTTGATAGTTCACTAGCCAATGGATTCATGTCGCATGTGAAACTATGAATGGACCAGGAGAAGCAACAGACAGTGGGACTCCACAACTGATAGCTATTCCATGCTCCACCTTCACTTGGGAATTATTTAAATTTAACCTTGACTAAAACCAAAACGAAAGTGGTCACTGCACCAGTGCCTGATCATCGCCAGCAACCAAACCCCCCATGTAGAGTCTGGGAAACTACGCAGTCCGATTCGGTCTTGTCTTCTTTTGTCTTCGCTTTCGAAGGGGGGTCAGGTGGTGTCCGTTATCAGTTTCCCATACCCTGGCAGACAGCGCGCTTATCGCGATGTGGGTTTATGGACCCAACCGAGGGGAAGCTGTCGATGCTCGCGTTTAATCTTGGTGGGTTGCGTTCAGTACGAGTCTGGGAGGTGCGGCGAGAAGTGCCAACGAAAATTGTATACCCCATTTCCATTTACTTGTTGCGTAACATGACTGCGGACATGGCGTTGGTGTGTGTGGAGGACTTTGAGAAGAAGGCAGCAGGGCAGCTGGAAAAGAATGCACTTGACTACTACAAAAGCGGAGCAGGGGAGCAATTCACACTGGGGCTGAACCGTGAGGCGTACCGAAAGCTACGCCTCCGTCCCCGGTGCCTGCGAGACGTTTCCCGGCTGGACATTGGCTGTTCGATCTTCGGAGAGCAGATGAAGTGGCCGCTTGGCATTGCGCCGACTGCCATGCAGAAAATGGCCCATCCAGATGGCGAGGTGGGCAATGCAAGAGCCGCCGGCAAAGCTGGATCGATATTCATTCTGAGCACACTCTCGACAACATCGCTGGAGGACTTGGCCGCCGGCGCACCGGACACTTGCAAATGGTTCCAGTTGTACATCTACAAAGACCGGTAGGCATAGCTTAGATCCCTTCAGGCTCGCATTATCTGACTACTTTTTACATCCCAGCACAATTACTGAGAAACTGGTACGTCGTGCGGAGAAGGCCAACTTCAAGGCTCTCGTCCTCACTATCGACGCCCCAATATTCGGACATCGCCGCGCGGATGTGCGCAACAAGTTCAGCCTACCGTCGCACCTGACTTTGGCCAACTTCCAGGGTGTGAAGGCCACCGGCGTGGCCACTACTACAACGGGTGCCTCTGGCATTAATGAGTACGTGTCGAGCCAGTTCGATCCAACCATTACCTGGCAGGACATCAAGTGGCTGAAAGGCATCACTCACCTGCCGATTGTCGTAAAGGGGGTTTTGACTGCAGAGGACGCCGTGCTTGCCAAAGAGTTTGGCTGTGCCGGGATCATAGTGTCCAACCATGGAGCCCGCCAAATAGACACAGTCCCAGCCTCCATAGAGGCACTCCCCGAAGTGGTGAAGGCTGTGGGGAACGATCTGGTGGTCATGCTGGACGGGGGCATCATGCAGGGCAATGATATCTTCAAGGCCCTAGCTCTGGGAGCCAAGACTGTTTTTGTCGGTCGTCCTGCTGTCTGGGGTTTAGCCTACAACGGCCAGAAGGGTGTTGAGGAAATGTTGGGTGTGCTCAGAAAGGATTTCGAGATCACCATGGCACTGATCGGCTGCCAAACACTGAAAGATATTCAATCGTCAATGGTAGTGCACGAGTCCCAATATTCCAAGCTTTGAATAAATAAACAATAAAAATACCTTATAGATTCGAGAGAATTAAAGGACTTGTAGTTTGAAAATATTTTCACAACCGACCGATAGATTATAATATCGATACATGTGCCAGCGTAACCTATCGTTTTACTCACACCTCTGTGGTAAATGAAAATATTAAATTAAAGCAAATTAAATTGAAAAAAACACCATGCTTGACGGTTGGTACTGTCGATCCCTTGCGAATCAAGAGGAGGGTGCTGTTAAGGACGAGCCTATTCAACAAGAGAGCGATGAGGAACAGCCCACGCGGAACATTGGCCATGCTAACGCCAGGGGAGCGGGAGCAGGAGCACCAGCCAGTTCATCCTCAGCATCTGCAGGAACGGCGAATAATGCCGTTGACTACAAGGATCGTTACAAGAACTTGAAGCGAAAACTAAAGTTTCTCATTTATGTAAGTCATAGGGCAGAGTGAATCCAGCGAAAATTATTATATTGTGCTTGCAGGAAAACGAGTACTTTCAGGATTTGCTGCATACGAATCAGCGCCGCTTGCTAAAGGTGTCTCGCGATCGTACATTCCTTCTGGATCGTTTGTTGCTGTACGAGCACCCCGCCAAGGACTCAAGCGACAGCGAGGCCACAGACAGCTCCGACTCGGAAACGGAACAAGCCACGCCATCCACGTCCACGGCAGCTGGAGGCTCGCAGACACCGAAGGAGACCATTCGAAAGAAGCACAAAGAAAAGGGTGCATCAGTCGCAACTGCAACTCCCCCTCACCAGCCAACGGTTGGTGCCACGCGTGGTCGCAGGCGCAAAGTATTGACTGGAGCGCTGTCCTCAAACCAAGGACTTCAGGCAGCTGGAAAACGGCAGCTTATGGCCACAGTACCTCCTTCTCAACAGCCTCTCCATTCAGCCGTCGCCCTAAGCACAGCTGAGATCACGCGCCAGTTGCAAGAGCGACGTCCGACGCCAATAGAACTTATGAGCCCCGAGTGTACTTCGGCCACGGTTCCCACAACAATGCTCAGCGATGAAAGCCCATCGAAATGGTAAAGCCTGAATGTGATTCTATATCGTTTTGCTTTTCTATGAACTTTGTGTTTTTATCCCTATTATTCGCTAGCTATCCCAATGAAAGCCTGCACCATCTGATGGAGGACGATTCTCAGTCTCAGGAGGTAGCCGCCGAAGAGTGCGTGGCAATGGAGTATACCACTTAATATAAAAATACATATTGATAGCTACTGATAATTTGTATTATCTTCATCTTAAACAATTAAACTTAATAGTACCACATTCTCCCCCCGTATCAAAACCTGTGGCAGGGCACGTTTTATCTGCACATTCTTTCGATTCAAGCTCTTTGCCTCTACTGCGGGAAGATCTATGCCCAAATCCCTGAGACGAGCACTGCAGTCAATTGGCTGTCCGCAGAGTTTCTGGTCTCCATAATTGTATTTGCGACGCTTCCATGTCTCTGTAGCATTCCTCAGGAGGAGATTCCACTGTTTGTCGTAGGCCACCAATTCGCCCTCGACACAGCCGCCTATCGCTCGCTCCTTGCGGAGTACAACCCGCACGCGGATCTTTGGAATGTTCTCTGAAGCAGGTGCGACTATGCATTTCTTCAACAGTTCCAGTGGGCCTACCGTCGTCTCCATGTATGTAAAAATATTACGTCTATGTTTCTTGTTTACAGTGCTGACCGTTGGCATTTGATGGGGCTCAAAACGGCGCTGGGGAACTTCTTCCAGAACAGTCACAGACTTGGAAGTGGAAGGCAACGAAGCCTTTGTGTCTGCTGCTTGGCCTGGTGCCGCCGACGTTCCAGATTTCTGCCGTTTGTTGAGCTGCCATACGCCAAACTTTTTAAGAGCACTCTCGAAGGCGGCTATGTTTTGGTACAGAACTTTTGGAGGTACTTCTGTTATTTTATAATTGGGCTCGTAGAGCGCTCGCAGTGGGTTAAAGTGTTCGCTGGATACATCCAGCTCGGGATCTGTGGCTGCTGAAGCATCACGTGTTTCCGAATTCGGCTCCATAGGCGGCGGCACTTGTAAGAGTTATTTTTACTTTTCCAAATCAAATCAAATGAGAACAATTCTGCCGTGCCGGCTTGATGACCGACACATATCGATAGATCCAGCAGGGATGGGATGAGATGAAGAAAAAACCGGCAATTAATAAAATTAAAAACAGGCCCGGATAGGATTATATGATTACAAGTCATTTTTCTATCTATTCATTTTGTATATATAAATAAGAACACTGAGTTGAAGTTAATAAAGCCTTCGACATGATCTACACAAAGAAGCTTTCGTCTCCCCTTGTTGGGGGTCAATCTTATCAGCTGAGCTTTAAGAGCGGAGAATCAACAAGTGAGTGTGATAACTGAAAGAAATTACAAGGAGAATGACATGTAAGTGAAAATTTGGTGAGCACCAGTTGGTCAAGTAATGAGAATTACATCCTGCAGCCAGTAGCTCCAGCTTGGACATTAGTTCGAAGACGCTCATCGGCGTGGGCGTTGGCCTGGCAGTGGCGGGAGGGGCAAGCTATTTCCTTTACCGCCGCTACCTACAATACCGGGATGCCATGCCTCTGAAGTGGAGGCGCGTGGGAACGTTGCATCAGATCAACCTATTTCCAGTCAAGTCCTGTGCTCCACTCGACTTGAAACCGGGCACCGAGTACGAATGCGGTATGCTTGGATTGTCCTACGAGGGAATACGCGACCGCACGCTAATGCTGCTCGATAAAAATAACACAATGGTCACGGCAAGAGGTTATCCTCATATGAAATTAATAAAGTCAAGGAAAGTCTCGGTGAATGGTATCGTATTCAGTGCCCCTGGAATGCCCGACTTGGAGCTTGATTTCGAGAACTTGGAGTGTCCTGGCCAGGATTTGCATACATCCATTTGGGGTGCCCCAGTGGATACTATACTTTGTGGCGAACGGTTCAACAAGTGGTTCTCTCAGTTCATCTTGAAGAAGGAGACCGGATTGAACCTGGTTCACTATCCCTACCCGAAGGCCGTGAAGAGAATCTGTGACGATTTGAAGAGCATGCCATTTATGAGGAAAGAGGATTCGGTAGGTACCAATGACAGGAATCTCTTAAGACCGTCCCCTTGAACCTCGCGTCTATAAAAAATTATCCAAACAGGGAGCCTTCAACGATGGGACAAGCTACATGCTTATGAATCTGTCTTCGGTGGACGATCTGAACACTCGACTAAAGAATCCGGTTGAACCGCTGCAATTTCGAGGTGGCTTCGATATCAAATGCGATGTGCATGAGCCCTACGCCGAGGACAATTGGCAATGGGTTCGCATTGGTGATGAAGCCATTTTTCGTCAAGTAGCTCCGCGCACAGTGTGCATTGTTCCGAATGTTAACGACAACACAGGGAAGCGGGACATCGAGGGCGAACCGTTGAAGACATTGAAAAGGTGGATCTACTTACTTCTATTCTACCCTCTACACAATCACATGAGATAACTTATTGCTCTATTTCTTTAATCAGCTATCGCATGTTCAACTATAGCTCCCCATTACTGGGCATACATTTGGGTCTACGGCAGCCAGGCAAGGTCAAGGCCAATGATGTTGTGTATGTTGGGGACAAGTAAATCAATGCATTCAACCGATGATTTCTCATCGCACCTTCTTGATTATTGAATATATGCACACACAATTAACATTCCCTGTATTTAGAGCCGAAGATGTCTTCGATCGGACACATATCGATAGCCCGCACAGGGATGCACAATCCTATTGTGGGTTTTAAATTAATAAAAATAAAAGGATAAACGGAAATTCGAATTAAACATTTACTTTGAAAAGCCCATATCATATATCATATCCACTCGGATATTAAAATCATTGACCATCATTTTTCCAGCTTTTCACATGATCTACTTACATACATATGTATGTACAAATGTACATACATACAAAATGCAATCTAGTTAGTTGAGCTTTTGGCGCAGAGAAATCAACAGGTGTGATAGCTGAAAAAAATTTTAAGGCGATGTCATGTAAGTGAAAATATTTTGATAGATCATCACCAGTCCAGTTGGCTAAGTTATGAGAATTTTATACTGCAGCCAGTAGCTCCAGCTTGGACATTGGTTCGAAGACGCTCATCGGCGTGGGCGTTGGCCTGGCAGTGGCGGGAGGGGCAAGCTATTTCCTTTACCGCCGCTACCTACAATACCGGGATGCCATGCCTCTGAAGTGGAGGCGCGTGGGAACGTTGCATCAGATCAACCTATTTCCAGTCAAGTCCTGTGCTCCACTCGACTTGACACCGGGCACCGAGTACGAATGCGATATGCTGGGATTGTCCTACGAGGGAATACGCGACCGCACACTAATGCTGCTGGATGAAAGTAACACAATGGTGACGGCTCGGGGTTTTCCTCAAATGTTGTTAATAAAGTCAAGGAAAGTCTCGGTGAATGAAATCGTATTCAGTGCACCGGGTATGCCCGATTTGGAATTTGATTTCGAGAACTTGGAGAGTCCTGGCCAGGATTTGCATACCACCGTCTGGGGCGCCCCCGTGGATGCCATGATTTGTGGCGAACGGTTCGACAAGTGGTTCTCTCTGTTCATCTTGAAGAAGGAAACCGGACTAAAGCTGGTGCACTATCCGTACCCGAAGGCCGTAAAGATCATCAATCCGCGATTGAAGAACATGCCCCACATAAGACAAGCGGATTCGGTGGGTACCCAACAAGGTTCACTGTACCCACAGTGATTAAGTAATACAAAATTCTGTACAAAATTAACCGACCAGGGCACTTTCAACGATGCGACAAGCTATATGCTCATGAATCTGTCATCGGTCGCCGATCTGAACTCTCGAATTAAGAATCCCGTGGATCCGCTCCAATTTCGAGGTAACTTCGAGCTAAAAGCTGATGTAGACGAGCCCTACGCGGAGGATCATTGGCAATGGGTTCGCATTGGTGACGAGGCCGTTTTTCGTTCAGTGGCTCCATGTACACGTTGCATTCTTCCGAATATTAATGTCAATACAGCGGAGCGGGACATCGACGGCGAACCCTTAAAGACTTTGAAAAGGTGATCTCCTTACACTCTACACAATCACATGGAATAACTTTTTACTCTTTTTTTTTTTAATCAGCTATCGATTGTTCAACTATAGCTCCCCAGCACTGGGCATACATTTGGGTCTGCGGCAGCCAGGCAGGGTCAAGGCCAATGATGTTGTGTATGTGGAGGACAAGTGAATAAATCGTTGAAAATTTCGTCTGCTTATCGTATAGTTAATTATGTATACACTCATGTTTATTAAATAGAACATATGTAGATAATGAAAGTAACTCATGTGTTTTATATGCAAATATACATCCGATCCGGTTTAGACCTATAACAATTCAAACACTACCGTTGGCCATGCACTAAACGCATGACTGCCAGGCGAGACCGCCACAGGCCATGCTCACAATAACATAGACAATAAATATTATCACTATTCCAACAACAACATAGATACGAATATTCTTCCAGAACATCTGCCGCGCCAAATTGCGTGAAGCCTTGCGGAATGCAACCGACTGTAAATGAAGGTACGAGTGCTGTTAGAGGGGCATTTATCTACATATCATATGTTGAAATGGACTTACGTTATTGCTCAAGTTTTCTGTTTTATTGACGAGGAGCTCAAGCTTTTCGCCTCGATCACGTAGACTGTCTGTAAGAAGCATGGAATACGATACGAATTATAAATATTAATGAAGTAATCGTCATGGTCCCAAAATGCTCACCAATATTCTTAACCATTATGTCTTTCAGTTCGTCTATCTGGCCATGGACACGGGAAATTTGATCAACCTCACGCGACTGGCTGAAGTAGACCATCTGCTCGGCAAGTACTTTCGAGAACTCCGTATTCATGGCATAGGCGATTGCCGTGGCCACCTGCAACCCATAAGTATGTATGAATTTCTGCTTGATATCCGCCAGAAACAAGAAAGCTCGGGATCGTTCAAACTCCTGAAAGTAGAGATAAATAATTAGCAATGTGTATTTAGGGCCGTCACAGTTCATTCAACCCACATTGTCGGTAATGCACATGTAAACCAGCTTGTTCTCGCATGTGTAGTTTATCACATAGTCGCCGTGGGTGTAGGCCATCTTGTGGTTGTGCACCCCAATCCGCCCAATAACATTCTCCGTCACTTCGGCAAAGTTTCCAACGCACTCCGCATACTTGGCAAGCACCGTGGTGCCGCGCGAGATGACGCTGTACAGTATCGGCATTATGTGGTATCGGCTTATGTATTTAGGGCGCGGTTGTATGCAAATCTCCGGTCAATTGCACTTTTTCGCTCTTGCTGCTGCTCTGTTTATCAATGGAACAACAAAGACTTCTTACTGATGACCTGCTCTGCTCGGTCCCTGCGATAGAATGCAACTCACTAAGAATAAGCAAATCATATGAATAAAGAAAGTGCATTCATGCATTATAGATGCAAATACCTATATATGAAATAAGTCATCAATTACATGTTTTGTTTATCCAATTATAGATGCTCAATGTCTCCAAGCACACATCAGATCACATTTTTATCAAGTCGAATGTTTATATAGACTTCTAAATACTGCTGGCACGACTTAAAACACCACCGGATCCAGAGAAATTATTCTTTTTTTTAACACAAAGAAAATAGCAACAATTGCTGACGCTTCGGATGCAACTATCGATGACCCTATCCCTCGCTTCGATTGCATTTGCAAACATCGATATATCCGCCTGGTCAAACTATTTTAATTTTGTTTGATTTATAATTCAATATATAGCCTATGAAATATTTTCGTCTTAAACATATAACAACACTTCTTTGTTCTTTAAAAATTGTAGAAATATTAAATTTTGTTAAAAAAAATGAAACTGAAATTCAAAATGGCGAATTTGCTGTCCGGGTCTTAATGGGTCTGACAGCAGTGGGAACGAGACAACAAGTTGGTTGTAGGGTTGCCAAGTAAACAAAATACGAATTAGTTTTTACTTCTTATTAAATTTTTAATCTTTAAGCCTAGTACCTAGTATGAAACCGATAAGACATTATCCTGTTTTTCGGTAGATAGAAAATTTCGCACCAGGCGCTTCGCAAACAGGTACTCTGTTTGTAAAATGGTCATTCGATATATACCAAAAATGCAACTGATGGTATTTTCCCATCTCAAGCGTAAGATATAATTATTCTATCTTTCGTCGTCCAAATGGCACTTACGCACACATTAAAAATCGAAGGAAACAAGTGCAATACAGCTACAAAAGTGCAATAATGAAGACAAATTAAATGTAATTAAGGCAGCAAAATGAAACAGATTATATAGATATTAATTTTTAATAAATCTTATACCCGGTACTTATTTTAATCATTTAAAAGGAGATAAAAACCATGTTGATTGCATATCTGTCCTGCATTATCCTCTAGCTCCACGGAGGACGATAATGTACACTGCAATATTGGATAAATCCGCCTCCGTGGAGCTGGAGGATAATGTTCTTTGCAATATTGGATAAATTGGACAGATATGCAATAAACATGGAAAATACCATCGGTTTCTTTTGAAATTTTCTGTCTACTCTACCGAAAAACAGGGATGATGTCTTATCGGTTTCATACGAATATCATCCCTGATATCGGTCGACGGAAAATTTTGCGCGTCTGAGTACTGGGCCTTAACTTATAAGTCAATAAATAGCCTATGAAATATTTTCGGCCTAAATATATAAAACACTCCTTTGTTCTTTACAAATTGTAGAAATAACCATTTAAAAACAAAACAAATGAAACTGAAATTCAAAATGGCGAATTTGCTGTCTGGGTTCGGGTCTTAATGGGTCTGACAGCAGTGGGAACGAGACAACAAGTTGGTTGTAGGGTTGCCAAGTAGACAAAATACGAATTAGTTTTTACTTTTTATTTAATTTTTAATGAAATAAGTCTCAAAATTTGTCTATATTCCAAAATAAGTAGGCGGCTTATGTGGGCTTAGGCTTAGGTAGTACAATTGATTGAAATCCGCTGCATGCGATCAATTTTTCGTGCACACCACTGTAGTTGTTGTAGACATTCTCGTGTGAAAAAATTATCGTCGCTGTGGGAATCGAATCGGACGGAGATTCAATGAAAAAACTAAAAATTTTCAAAGTCTGTAAAAATTTGCAAGATCTTTTGCCCGGGCCGCAATTAAAAGATACGCGATAGTGTTGCGTCTGTGTTTTTGCAAAGAAATTACCGCGCCGCGCCGCTTTGTTGTTATCGCTTGGTTTGGTTGTGCTGCATCTGCCTGTCTGCCAGCGCGGACGCCTCTGTACAGAAGTACATAATTTTGGCAATCAAATTACTTGCACGTGGAGTGCACTCCACAACGCCGCAATATGAGCAATACTCCAAACCGTGAGGTAATGCTGGTACCGGCCGCGACTCCCTCGCCATCGCCCCTGGCCAAACTCGATGTTGACTTGTCAGGTAAGCGATGCGCCGACTCTTGGGGACGGGACTTCTGATGCTTAGTGCGTGCTCGTGTGTTTTTACAGGTTCGAACTATGAGATGCACCCGAGCCTTTCTGACGAGGAGCGTCGCTACTATCTTAAGGCCTACCCGACCGTCGATTTGATCAACCAGCGAAAGGTGCACTGCACTGTATGCAAAATGCACATGGGCACGGCCCCTGGCTCGGAGGGCAGCATCAAGATGCACCCCATTCTGCGCGTGACACACTGCGGCAAGTGCCACGATTTCTACAACAGTGGAGAGTTCTCAAAGGGCGAGGACGGCTCCGAGCTGTACTGTCGCTGGTGCGGCCAGGGTGGCGAGGTCTATTGCTGCTCCACATGCCCGTATGTTTTCTGCAAGTCGTGCATCGTGAAGAATCTCTCGCGCGGCGTCATTATGGACATTGAACAGAACGAGAACTGGAACTGCTTCAACTGCACCCCCAAGATCCTATGGCCACTGCGCGCCCAGCACTGGGCCCTGGTCAACTACATACAGACCCAGAAGCGGTAAGTGCTGTAGCCATGTGTTTTATCTTTACCCACCAGATAGTGACGTTTTATTCTCTTCTGGGTTTGCAGAGGCCTGCAGAGCCTGCAATTGCCGGAAGTGGAGGCGCGCCGGCAGATGATGAAGGACAACAGTACGTGCTGCCGTCTGGCCAAGGCTAAGGCCAACAGCCTCTCTGATTCCGCGGAAAGCCTTGAATCAATCACTTCGAAGCGCAGCCACAACAGTTCCGTGAGCTCTGCGAAGAAGGGTCCGGCGCTAAAGTTGCAAGGTCCGCCCACCAAGCGCCCCAAGGCGTCAAACGACGAGGTCGTCTGTACTCCCGATTTGCTGAGCATGCTGGAGCCGGACTGTCAGATCTCCATGCCCCCGAAGCCGGCAGCTCGTCTCCCGGTCCCACCGGTTAGCATAACAACCACGCCACGCATTGTCACCGTACAGCAGAACTATACCGGACCGAGTCCCAGTCCCAGCAGCAATGGTACAAGTCCACCCCGGATTAGTCTGCCGCCACCGCTGGTGCTGAGTGGCTCGGGCGTTCGGTACCGCCAGAATTCACCGGCCAGTGTGGTGCGTCGCACCGTCGTGCCCAATAGCGTGCGGAACACTGGGCCCGTCTTCCACACCATAAACGGATTCCGCGTGGATCTGAATAGCGCCGCCCAGCAGGACTCGTACCGCCTGCCCAACGGACGCCTCATTCAGGTCAAGCGCCAGATGCCACCAGGCGGTCAGCCTCCAACGCCTTTGACGCCGCCCACTCCGATGTCTGTGGGTCCAATGGGTCAGGTCATGATTCGACCCCGCTCTCTTGCAGCCGCTTCGCCGACCATTCGCCAAGTCCACAGCAGCACAAACAGCAGCCCAGGCGGCACACCGCCAGCCATTGTCTCCAACATGGGCTCCAATATGGGGATCTACAATCCGCAGATCAACCAACAGCAGCGAGCTCCGCAAGTTGTGCGCCAGGCAAGTGCCTGTGCCAGTGCCAGTGCCAATGCTAATGCCAATGCCAGTGGCGGACCCACACCGACGGTGGGGAACACTAATGGAGCAGACGGGACTATGATATATGCGGTGCAATCTAACAAGAGCTCTGCATTGATGCGCCATGTGTTCCCGAATAGCGCGATTGGACAGGCGCGTGCCCAGCTGCAGGAGCAGATATTCAGTGCCATGGACATATGCACCCATCTTACTGGAAAGGTAGTCTCTCTGACCCATTCGAATGCCTACAATCAGGCGCGCAGCTATATGGATCTCAAGGAGCTGTACATTCATATGTCGTACCTTATGACCTATGCCATTGGACGCTTCAAGCATCTGCAGGAGAAGTGTCTGGTGGACATGCGCGACATGGGCTTCAAGAACGATGCGAACAGTCTGGAGAACGGCCAGTTGGCTGCTGGTAAGTCTCTGCCAAGCAACTCTACTTTGCTACCTATATTTAAGCTACCGTTTGGTAGCCACGTCTGGTTCCAAATAATATGAAAAAAAAAATATAAAGGGGGGACGAGAGTATCTCTATAATTGTCTTTGGAGAATATTTTCGACACATGGACGGGCGCTGTCAGTTGTTCGTTTTTTGTATTATTCGTTTGTGTTTGTGCGCGAGTGTTTATTTCTGTCTTTGCCCTGAGGAGAAGGAGCATGTATGTATGTAAGTATACTGTGATCCACTGATTGTCTGTTTGGGGAAAACTGCAAGTTCCATTTCCTTGGCTGCGATAGCGATTGGTTTTAGCTTGGTCCATGTGTTTGCAAAATACTATCCAAAGAGGCAATGGAATAGAACCCAGAAGCAGTTTTTCCCTAAACGTTAATACCCCCCTCTTTATCACTTCTTGTGTGCTTTCAGCCGTCGACTATGTCTGCTTTGGCCAAATAGACGACGTGGATCTCTTCAACACTGGCTGTAACAGCTTTCATAACCAAGTGTATGAATACCGCAAGAGTCTGCACGCGAATCTCAAGGACGGAGAAGACTGCGAGCCCCTGCCGCCTCTGATGCCGCTGGGAGTGCGAGCCGAGGGTGATCCCATTGACGAGGAAGACACAGAAAAGGAGAACGAGACTGCCAGTGCATTCGAGTCGGTTCCCAGCAAAGACAATGACAATGACAATGACAACGAGGCCGATAGCTGCGACTATGATGAGCCCGATGATTTGGATGATGATATGGACGACGATTTGGACGATGATAACGATGATCTGGACAGCGAGGACCTCGGGGAGCTGGGCACCGAGGAGAGCATGAACCGCAACGAACAGGCTCACGCCTACGACCGTAAGCTGACGCGACTGTTGCGCGAGTATCCCTCGATCTGGTGCACCCATCACCCGGACTACGGCAAAATGGAGGTCACACGCAAGCAGTGGCGTGTCATAGGCAGCCACTTTCCGCGCGGCGACGACATCAAGCTTCGCTGGAAGAACGTTCGCAAACGCTACGTGCGCATCGAGCGCCGCAACCGTCAGGGGAAGCGCTTCAAGGGCTACTTTGACAAGGCAACCAACTATCTGGCGAACAGGGACCTGCCGCGCAGCCAGTGGCTGGAGGTGGATTGTGGCGAGGACGATGGGGATGGCTTTGAGCGAAAGCAACTGGACGTCATTGAAAATACGATGGACAAGGATCACGGCACAAGGCAGACGAAGCAGACGAACGATATGCGGAAGCCGGTGAAGGCAAGACAAGTGCCCGTGCGTGACATTGACATGCGCATCATTAACTTTGCCAAGAGCCATCCCGTGCTGTGGCGCAAATCGGCCGATCCCGAGTTCAATAGCATCGACGAGCAGACACGAAAGTCGCTGTGGCTCAATTTTTGTAAATCGGCAACCAGTGAGTAGTGCTCTAGAAGGACATCGTTGAAAGATGGGCCAATGTTAGCCAATGTTTCTTTTATTTTTTTAGACTATCCGTACGATTATTTGGTGGGCCGCTGGCAACAGATGTACGAAATGTTCAAGACCTTCCGCTTGAGGACCATCAAGGACGAGCAAGTCCATGCCAACCTACAGCTAAAGTATTCGAAATATTTGGCCAGCTTATTCTTCCTCCATAAAATCGATGAGCAGGACTTGCGCGATGAGTTTGAGCCGCAGCAGGATTGTGTACAGAACGGGAACAAGTCTGCCGGCAAGCTGAAGCAAATGACCGACGACAATCAGTTTGCCCAGCAGCTGGTGCTGGCCATGCGCGCCTACCCCACTCTGTGGAATCCGCTTCACGCGGACTACAGTGATGTGGGGGCCCGCGAGCGACTCTGGCCCGAGGTGGCGCGGCGTCTTCCACGCTTCAAGCGAGACGCCCAGACGTGCAAGCAGCGCTGGCAGATGGCCAAATTCGCCTATGAGTGCTACTGCCGCGAGCTGAATAGACAGCCGCAGCCCAATGAAACGACTCTGCAAAAGTTGCGCTTGAACTTCCCCCTGGAGGAGATGCGTTTCCTCAATATTTAATTCCAATATCATTCCAGCCAATGCCAATCTAAACATAGTTTATGTATAACCATTCTCTAAGATCGAATAAAATATATTCCAACCTCCGTTTGACTGCGACTATCAATTAGTTATTAGCCTACGTTAAATCTGATCTGTATTTGTATTGCTGTTATTTTTGCTAATTATGATTGTCTCTTGCAGAGAAACAAGCCAGCGATGACGAGGATAACGAGATTGAGATTGTGGAGCCCAAGACGGATACCATTACCATTGATTCGGACAACGAAGACGAGGTGTGCTCGCCCGCGAACAGCAAGAAGATCATGAAGATAACTTCTGTTGCGTCTCATGCCCCGAAGAAGGAAGTCGTGGAAGTACCGCCGAGTGAGGCCGATATGGCCGCCTTTAGTTCAACCATCTTGGCCAGTCTTCTCGAAGTGGACATCACCGAGGGCACTGCCGATCCCAAGAACGTGTCGCCAGGACACAAAAAGCAGCCTCGTAAGAAGACAACGAACAAGCCGAATCCGGCGTTGCTACAATTGGAGCGCCAGCGCATGGAGGAGATCAAGCACACCGATGCCAAGCTGAAAATGAAAGTCAGGGTCAAGTTGCGACGAGCGGAGGACGAGTTTGAGGTGGCCCGTAAATGGGCTAAGAACTGCGATCGGAAGGCCAACCAGAGAAAGTCTGATGCTGAGAAAAAGCCAGCTACCGGATCCAATGAGCCAATTTGTATCGAAGAAGAAAAAGAACTGGACCACATTAGCAAGGAAGAGTCCAGCCCGTCTAAACCAGAAGCAGACAAAGAAACGGACAAGCTTGAGGCACCCAAAGAAGACAACTGCAAGAATGACAAAGCAGAGGCCCCAATGGAATTGCCAGCAGATGATGATTACCAAAAGTTAGGCGAAGCAGAAGACGAGCAGCAAAAGAAAGTTGAAGCTGAAGCGGAAGCTGTAACCGAACATGAAGTGGAAGCTGTAACCAAACCTGAATCTGTTGATCAGTTGAACGAAAAGGCAGTCTTAAGTATTAACCCAGTCTTAGGTGATGCAATGGAAATCGTGGAGTCCGAACCAGAAGTGGTAAAGGAGAAATGTACGGATGAAGATAACTCCAATTTAAATGAACCGATGGACACTTCCACTGAAAGCCCCGCTGCTGTGCCGCTGGAAAGCATGGACATAGACATACCGAGTGAAAGTACTGACCAAACAGAGGCTGTAGTAGATGAAGCAAAAGATCTGGATGGTATGGGAGTGAGTGAACCAGCGAAAGAGTTGAAAAAGGACCCCTGCAATTCCAGCCCCATAGCATCTACAGCTGATGCTGAAGCTTTTAAAGACATGGAAAATGATACGACAGTTGCGGATAGTAGTCCTGAAATTGTAGATCCCGAAACGGACACAGCAACGTTGGTGATGCCATCGCCAGAACCCATCCCAAAAGACGATCAAAACGAGGAGGTCTCCCCTCGTGAATCTGAACCACTGACGGAGAACGAAGCTGTTGCTGCAAAATCCACTGATGTCTTGACAGATAACAACGCCGAAGCACCTGTAGCAGGCTTACACGAGACTATCGAATCAAATGCCACACTTTCGGAGGAGTCCACTTCAGAGAGGATTGACGCCGGGCAACTTGTCGGCTAGTTTGTGGTGATCATTCGAGGTCCCGACGACGACTCTCCATAAGACCTCGACATTGGTAATTTATACGCTGGGTATAAGGATTTAATGGATCTAATGAGATACAAGAAAACGGCCAATCATTTGTTAAGTAACTTTAATTTTGCTCTTAATTGAATTTAACTTGTTTTACAAAGCATATTTGGCAATCAATTTATGTGCGTGCAAGCAAGTACTTTTCTAAATTGTTTATTTGACTTATGATACACAATTGTACATACTCAATTAATTTTATATTTATCATGTTATATTCTTGGGGAACTACTCCAATTAATTCAAAGTAGTTTGACGCCCAGAAAATGTCTTTAATAAATTGTTATGGCTTCTAATTATACTGCTATTCTACATACATATTTTTATGTATAGTAGATGCATATATAAATCTGATCTTTTCAAACCATAATCGGTATCATGTTTGCTTATATCTTTCCCATGCTGTATAGATATGTTATAGTGTTAGGTATTGCATTTAATCAATCATTTTATTGTTATATTCCCGAAACACTAACAAGAGGCCTGCCTGTCATCGAAGCAATCGAACCATTAGTAAGTATCTGGGGATGCTCCATTTATGACATTTTTATGAGTATATCAGTAATACTCAGAAATCATAAACTGAACCAGAGAGCAAGCCAGTAGAAAATATTTAGTACTTAGGGTATTAATTGATATTAAGCATACATTTATATTTATATATATATTTGTAAATTCTAAGCTATTATATGAATAAAAATAAATACTTAAACGCCTAGTGTACGTAGTCTTTAATTAATTTATTTGTTTTGTGGTTGTCAAGGCTCAAGGAGCAACAAAATGGAAGCTTAGAACGGAGGACTACATTTACGAGGACATTACATTTATTTATGTGATATATCTTATGTGCAATACTTTTAACGTTGATATGGATTGATGGAGCTGCTGCACACTCAAATAACATTCGATGGGTACACAACACAACGACAGCTTCCGTTGCCATTGGATGCGACAGCAGAGGGAATAGCTCACGAGCTCAATATTCGTTGCAATCTTCAATGTAATCGGGTAAACAAAAAATACATACAATCATTATATCTATGAGTGGTTGGATGGGGTTAATATATCACTTTTCTTATGTGCGGACATACTAGATGTGTTAGAGTATTCTATAAATTACAATTTGAGGAACATAAAGTGGGGTCCTGTGAGTCGTAATAACAAACTGTGCGGCGTGTATAAATAAAAATAGTTAAGTATTTTTGGGTCTTTTCAAAGTATGGGCAAGAAGAACATCTAATGTCATTCAAGCCTGTCTTGGGCGCTCCTATTACATACTAACAGTTTGTGCGCTTGTGCAATCGCATGTGGTTGAAGTAACGACCTGGCGGCGGGCACTTAATCTTGTAATCTGACACATAGTTCCAGGCCTCCACCATGGTGTCATCCTTCACCTGATGCTGGGTAATACTGCCCTTGAAGGCGCACATATGCTTCGAGTGGGCGAAGCTGAAGAGCGGGTGATGATGTCGCCTGATATGGGCACGCTGGGCGCAAAGTCCGGTTATGTAAACGTCCTCTAAGTAGACAAGCGTCGTGTTTAGGGATGCCTCGTACAGGCGCTGCACCACGTCAATAGAGAGAAGGTAGCCGGCTCCAGACAAATACTTTGGATAGGACTCTGGCGGATACATATAGGAGGGCATGTACCACTTGCTGCTAACATCGTTGACGGGCAGCACGTTGCAGAACTGGTGTCCGTACATCACCTCGCTGGTGTCGTTCAATCGATTCTGCGGCGACTTCGCCAGGAACGTGTAACGATCGTGATAGTCCAGAGTATCGTTGTACAGCGGAACGGAGCCGCCGAGCAGAAAGTGCAGCAGATTGGGGACATTTACAAAGGTGTCGTCGTCGCACTTGAGGAAGTACGCGGTACTGTTGGCACAGCTCCGGCTTATGTGCTTCAAGGCCATCACCGACTTGAGTGTTAGATTGTTGTAACTATCGACAAAGCTCTCCTGAATAATATCATTGTATTGTTCCGCCTCGCTGTGAACTCGAGATAGCGTTTCGTTGCCCTCAAGGGATTCGTACTTGCTGCGGCCCACAATGAACACAATGCGGACGGAGGCAGACAGTGAATCACCCTCGCCGCTTAGATAATCAGCATAGAGCTTAAGGCGCGCTGTCGTCGCTGGTAAATAGTTACCCTTGAGATGGCCATGCAACTTCACAAATGCTCCGTAGTTAAACTCCGTGGTGTTTCCCCAGGTCTCGCGTATTGTCTGCCGTTGAACAAAGTTGCCCAGGCTCGTGCAAACGGCGATTATCAGGAAGGTCTTGTTGCGACAAAACTCCCGCGGTAAAATTTGCGCTGTGTCCTGCACTGGGTCTATGTAGTCTCCTATGCTGCGGGAGGTCTCCATTGGCCAGTCCGGTAAACCCACTGGCAACGCAAAAGGAAAACAAAAACACGAGGATCAATACAAAAGAGCTGAGCATCCTAAGCCGCTTCTCTTACCTTGTCGCTTGTGCACATCCATGTACATGAAGGGCAGGTAGACAAGGAGTAGCAGGAAAATAATTGATGCCACCAGGGTGTAGCATCCGAGCCGACGCAAGCTTCTTGGAAGAGGCAAGCGCGGTCGCCGCTGCATCTTCATGGTTACCCGCAGCTTGGCCTTGGGCTGCTTAGCAGCTGTCTCCTCATCGGACACAGATGCCGTCGACCCAGAGCTGACGGACGAGTCCGCCAGCAGAGCACACTGCTCCTCATGCCCAGTCCATGCGTTGCTCATTTGCTCTTTTGTTCCTAAATCTCCCTTTGGACTGCGTTCGCTTTGTCTGCATCTCAGGCATTCCCTCGCATTTTTTTCAACTGCCAACTGATAACGCAAGCATCAGCATCAGCAGCAGCAGGACAGATTGCACTGGTTATAAAAAATAATTCATGAATTGGTATACGAAATCACAGCTCTGCGCCCGGTAAAAGGTGCACTAATATTTGCGATTCACGCAATAGAATAGACAGCAACAATCACATTACAAACTGATTAAAGTTCCATCCCACCCAGCTGATTACAGCGAAATCGCCTCGTGACTATCGATACGGCGTAAAAGGTAGCATACCTATCTTTTTGTTACGAAACTACCAATCGATTGTAATTTGTTTTGCTCTTAGTAGTAGATTTACATTATATTTGTATCGAAATCAAGACGTATGTATGTATGTACAAACAAATGTACAGATAGGTACATACGCATTCATACATATGTAAAACGACGATCCCACGATTTCTTTCCGCCATAAAGATTACAATATCCCGCCCGCTCAACTTCTCGTAACATAAATAAAAAACTCGTCTATTAAGTGTTAAAATTTGGTCTATATCTTAATTTATTTATCATGTTTTATATACAATAAATTTTTGCTGCTCCAAGTTAAGTGCATCAAAGTTTCATAGATCGAATGGTTTTAGGTCAAGTTATAAATGAGGACGTGTTTGATCTTAGTCTAAATTACAATTCTATTACAAAGTACACATAATATTCTGGTTACATATTAATCTTGAGATACCAGCCCTCGGGGAGTGACCAGCCCTAGAAATCGGCGTCTAGGGTAAACACGTTGTCCAAGCGACTCGTTACGACTCCCATGCGCTGGTACTCGGCAACCTTTTTCTCAAAGAAGTTTGTCTTTCCGTCCAGCGAGATCATATCCATGAAACTGAAGGGATTCTTAGTGTTGTAGATCTTACCCACACCGAGCTCCATCAGCAGACGATCGGCGACAAATTCAATGTACTGGGACATGAGGACGCAGTTCATGCCAATCAAATTGCAGGGCAGGGCTTCGGTGAGGAACTCTTGCTCGATTTCGACAGCATCCCTAATGATCTCAATAATGCGCTCCCGCTTGGGACGCTGCACCAGATGCTGGTACATGAGCACCGCAAAGTCGCAGTGGAGACCTTCGTCACGAGAGATCAGCTCGTTGGAGAAGGTCAGACCGGGCATGAGGCCACGCTTCTTCAGCCAAAAGATCGAGGCAAAGCTGCCGCTGAAGAAGATTCCTTCCACGGCTGCAAAGGCAATAATACGCTCGGCAAAGTTGGCCGATTTCGAGGATATCCAGGACAGGGCCCAGTCTGCCTTGCGCTTTACAGCCGGCATGGTCTCAACAGCATTGAACAAGTAGTCGCGCTCCTTCGGCTCCCGTATGTAGGTGTCAATGAGCACGCTGTACATCTCGGAGTGCACGTTCTCCATGGCAATCTGGAAGCCGTAGAAGCAACGCGCCTCCGTGATCTGCACCTCCTGACTGAAGCGCTCGACCAGATTCTCGTTAACAATGCCATCGGAGGCAGCGAAGAAGGCCAGCACGTGGGAGATGAAGTAGCGCTCGTTGTCGGTCAGACGGGCCCAGTCTGTCGCGTCCTTCGATAGATCCACCTCTTCCACAGTCCAGAAGGAGGCTTCGGCCTGCCAGATAAATGCAACGTGAAATTATTAACATGTAAACACATACGCAGCACTCATTATCTTAATTGCTCTAATCTTTGGTTGAATTTCCCGCCAACAAAAAGTTATGTTTCATTAAGTAAACACATGTCGCAAGGGCTGGGGGGTGCATACGCCTATCATAATGTTTGATTCATGCAATCAGGCACGCCACCGACGTGACTGGATTTTGGCGCGCTTTATGATGAAATTACCCGCCAGAAGTAGATACTCAAACGAACCCACACTCACTCATACACACACACACGCACATATACATACCTTTTTGTACATCTGCCAGATGTCGTGGTACTGAATGGGGAATATAACGAAGCGGCGTGGATTCTCCTTGAGCAGGGGCTCAATAGAAGGGTCAAACGACGATCCAGTCTTCTCCATAATGGACGGCGTTGCCTTGCTGACCTCGGCTTCCTTCCCAACGCCGTTCTCCTCGTTGCCAATGGACATTTTGCGAACGTTGCTGGCGTTCTCCGTCAGTACTTTCTTGCTGGGGCTCTACATAGGCACAGTAATGATAAATTGTATGGTATGTAAATTTAATGGTTTAATGTGTATGTATGTATGTATGTGCACTTTTGTTGTGATGCGCAATATTGCCAGCATTTACACTTATTCCCACGGGAACGAACATACATACCAATGCACATGAAAGACGGGAGGCTATGTATAGCCTATGTACTTGTGGATTTGCATTCGTATGCATGCATGTAATTTCCATTGCATAAACGTGTCGCGTCACTTACCTTTAGCGAGAATTTCTCCATGTTGTCGGCAATATTTTCCTTGGAAGCAAACTGAGACATTTTGTTGTAGGTAAACTTGTTGATTGTTCTTAAAATAGCGTGTCGTCAGAAAACGTTTGTATATAACGCGGAAAAGCGGATGGTTTGGAATTTCACTATCAACTGAGCAGAAAATCGGCGGTTCTTGGTTTATATGCCGGGCGGCAAGCTATTTACTTTTCCCGCCAAAACGAGCGTAGGGATGATAAATAAATGCTGAAATATATCGATACATATATGTTATATTGGTACTTTTGTGCGATAAATCGACCGAACTGGAATATTTATTTTACTTCTATCGATATTCCAAAATGCCGGGTAATGAAAATAAATAAAAAAATAATTATGGACTCTACAACAACAGACCACCACAATCAATTGAAATACTGCACTACGCGACTGCCATATCGTCAGGGGAGGGAGTTAAAAGCCGTAAAGGTAAAGAACCTGCATTGCGTGACTATTCCCTTAACGAATTGTTAACTTTTCCAGGTTTATACTGTTGCAAGCGAATCTGGGCACTTGCTGGTCTTCGGAGTGCCCAGAATAAACCTACAGGCGAATCTCAAGACCAAGCTGCAATGTTTTGGAAAATTGCAGTCTTGTGTGTGTATTACTTCGGATATGGCTGCAAAGAGTGCGTGTGAAAGACACTGGCCGTGATCAATGAAATCAACTAAGTTACACTTGTTTGCAGTGGAACTGGAGGCTTTTACAGATGTCTTTGCCGTACAGTTTGAGCGTATCGAGGTGGCACGACGAGCAAAGCGGCAGCTGGATGCCAAACAGTTTTACGGCGGAACCCTGCACATCTCATATGCCCCTGAAAGAGAGACGCAGTCAGAGCTGCGGGAAAAACTGCTGAAACGAAGCCAGGAGGTGGCTCATCGGACTAGGCGCAATCACACAGACCAGCCGCAGCCGGCGAAGAAGATAAATGACGAACGATGAATACACGATTCCTACCTTTTATTACGTTGAACACATTGTAATGAGCCCCTGGTGGACTAAACGATATCCGTAACTATGAACAGTAATGCATTTGTTTATTGTTTAAAACTGATTTGATCTGTCATTATTTCGGCTTCGATTCTCGGATCTGGTGGTAGTAGTTCAGCAGGGTTAGGCGTTTCGCCCACAGCTGTGCACCATAATGTGCCCAGAATCTGAGGATAAACAAGCGAATAGGTGAGGGCCAATGCCAATCGGCCATATCTTGCCGTTACTTACATGCCAAAAACGGCTCCTCCTAAATGCGCGGCATGGTCAAAGAACTTCCACCCCATCACGCAGCCCGCAAAGTCAATGCCCATAATTACTTTTATGCCGGCACTGGCGGAGAACGTCAGGGCGGGCAGAAACAATATGCTGAGCTGGGTATCCGGATACTGTGCGCACACATATGCCAGCACTGTCATGATTGCTCCAGACTGGAGGATAATTACAAGATTTATTGCATGGGATGAGATATTTTGCCTTGCCATTGCATACGCACCGCTCCCAGAGACATGCCCACTTGTCGCGTGCCCGCCTTGTACAGAATGCTCATCAGACTGGAGAACGCACCGGCGCTCAGGTAAAGTGCTAGGAACTGCTCCTTGCCCAGCGACGTAGCTGCGGCGTTGGCGAAGCTGTGCAACACATACATATTGGCGAACAGGTGCATGGCCGAGTAGTGGCTGAATGTGGACAGGAACATGGGCCAGCAAACGATGCCTGCTCAGGGAAACAGGTGCTCAGAAACGGGTGATGTGATTCGGTTCAAGGTCTCGCCTGACTTACGCGCAGCCGGGTTGGATGTGAAATACGAGATCATTGTGGATCGCAGGCGGGGCACGCGCCACAGACCAAATACCAACAGATTCACAAAGCATATGGGGGCAAACACCTTTTCGCCAGTGCTCAGATTGTCCCAGTGCTGTCGGATATCATGTTTCAGCTGCGCCCAGTCGCTGCGGTCCGTGACCGATCGACCCTGCCACCAACCAAATTGCGCCTGCTTCGCTTTGGTAATGATCAGGCTCCGTGTGTTTTCGTATTCCCAGATGGTGGCGCCGGCAAAGCATCCCACCGTAAACTGGAATCGAAAAGATGTACAGAAATCCCCTGCATATGCAATATCCCCTGCTTACTGCGCCTGTAAATGCGACCGCCTTGATTATATTGTTCGTCGGAACCGTTGTGCTTTCTGGGACCGGCTCCGAGGGCTTTACATTGCTGCTCTGTTTACTGTTGCTGTGGATGTATCGTGCTGGTGGCTTGGATCGCGGTGCAGGTACTATGTCGGCTCGGCATGTAAAATTTGGACCATTTTTTAAATATCTGTGTCTGTGGGTGATTAATGATTAATCTAACCCGGTCAACGCCTTTGCCTCCTACTTACGTCACCTGGGAGAGCCAGCTCCTACAGAGCGCGCGATTTATAAGCATAATAAAACGGAAATTGAACAATTTTGCATGAAATTATATTTAATGTTGTTTAGTTTCTGACATTTGAGCTATCGATAAGTTCTATCGTTACGATCTATTATGACTTTCTGTTTTGTTGCGCTACGTAGCGTAGCGGTAGCTACGTTACGTTGTGCGCGTAATTTCTTAAATCGTTGAACCATTTAAACCGGTCCACTTTTCGCTCTCTGTCCAGAGAAATTTTGCAGTTTTATCATCGAGGGCTGCGGATCCGACTTTCTTGGGCTTGCAGTCGCTAAAGTACTGGCCTGTGATGTGATTCAAGTTTGGATCAAGAGCTGCATACAGCGATGTCTGTGCTCCACTCTTCGGAGACTTAACAAAGGGCCAAAATAGCGGTTTGAGCAAATACCTGTAACAGCGGTAACAGCAATAATTTGGGAAGCGAAACCCATAGCTACGTATATGAGCACTCACTTTCCAAACTCCGTTTGAAAGAGTCGCCAGTTTCGGAAGAGCTCCGTGTTGACAACACCGGGATGCAAGGCATTCACCGTCACTCCACTGCCATCCAAGCGCTTAGCCAACTCCCGCGTGAATAGAATATTGGCCAGTTTGCTCTGGCAATAGGCTCTGCTCCGGTCATAGGAATTCTCGCTGTTCAGATCAACCATATTGATTGAGCCGAATCTATGGGCCAGGCTGGATAGGATTACGATTCGACTGGGGGCAGAGCTCCTCAGGACATCAATAAGCAGATTGGTAAGTAGAAAGTGCCCCATATGATTGACCCCGATCTGCATCTCAAATCCGTCCTTCGTCAACAATTTGGGACAATCCATGACGCCGGCATTATTAATCAGTATGTGCAGTTGCTTGTTCTCCTTCTTGAAACTGAAACAAAACAATTGAGATATATCTCTCTCTCTCTCTTGGAAGTGGCTTACTTAGCAGCGAATCTTCGCACGGAATCCAGGGAGCACAAATCTAATTCTCGGGAGAAGATGTTACGATTTTTTGTCTTCTCAAGTATTTCCTGTCGCGCTTGCTCGCACTTTTTCATATCGCGGCAGGCCATATAAACAGTGGCACCACGTCGAGCCAGCTCCATCACGGTCTCCTTGCCGATTCCCGTATTGCATCCGGTGACAATCACAACTTTTCCCGTCTCATCAGTTCTCCTGGTGAACTGACCGCCCTGCATGTATGCCCTGAAGTTGTTTCAACTCTTGATTACATTTACAGATCTCTCTTGGGAAAACCTACCTGAGGAAGTAAGCACCAAAGGCCAATAAAGCAGGCCCGTATATCAGGGGGCTTATCAGACATTCGGTAAAAGCGTACATTTCCAAGTGTATTCCGCTAGCTTCGAGGGGATACTGCCAGATCCAGAAGAGAGCAATTTTTACGGATTTGTGTATACTGAAATCAAACTGAAAGCTCACAGGGTTGCAAAGTGCATATCATATTGATAAATGAAGCCAATTAAATGAAATCGGCATTTGGAATGTAATTTTAAATTGGATTGTCAATTGTTGTCGTAGATTGTTATGGATGTGAGTTAAACGTTGGAGGGAGCTTTCTTCATATATTCACCGAGATACGGCTATTACTCTTAGTGCTTCGTGTCGTTGGCATTTTTCCTCTCAATAAATTTAAAAACAGTGGAAATTGATAAATTGATCCCTTAGCTCCCGTAAACGAAAAATAACAGTAAATGATGGTTTTTAATTCCATTCTAATTTTATTTATAAATAAACATTTCATTTTATACCTAAAACTAGCCCCAACTCAATTCATTGGCCTATGCCCGTCCATTTCTCGGACTGCAACCACAACCACTTGGCCATTTCATCGTCGGTGGCAGCAGGAGCTACTTCCTTCGGATTGCAGTCGCTGAAGTACTGACCCGACACCTCATCCAGTTCGGAATCTAGGGCGGCATATAGTGTTGTCTGGGCACCGTTTCGGGGAGACTTCATGAGAGACCAAAGCAGAGGCCTGAGAATGGTCCTGGAAGCACACGAGAATTGTTAATATACCCAAGGGGCACGGGTGAACTGGACACACTCTACTACATACTGGGCGAGCTTTGTTTGGAAGAATATCATATTCCTCGCTATTTGCGTGGCTGCTATGCCGGGATTGACAACATTGACCGTCACCCCAGTGCCCGCGAGACGTCTGGCCAGCTCCCGAGTGAAGAGTATGTTTGCCAGTTTGCTTTGGCAGTAGGCTTCGCCTTCGTCGTAGAACAGCTTGCTGTTTATATCATCCACTTGGATGCGGCCCCGCTCGTGCGCCTTGCTGGAAACTACCACAATGCGACTTGGCGCCGACTGCTTCAGTAAGTCGAGCAACAGGTGGGTGAGAAGGAAGTGACCGATGTGATTGACTCCCAAGTGCATTTCGAAGCCTTCTTTTGTGAGCCTATGCGGCTCCCAGAAGACGCCGGCATTGTTGATTAGGATGTCCAGCTTATTTTGCTCCTTTTTGAAACTGATTAGACGGATATAAATTGATTAGATATAAAGTATAAACGACGGGACAGTATGATTCACCCATCCACAAATTTCCGAACGGAGTCCAAAGAGGACAAGTCACATTGGCGGGAGAAAACGTTCGAGTTTTTTGTTTCCCTCACGATCTCCTTGCAGGCTTGTTCGCCCTTATCCTTGTCCCGACATGCCATGTACACAGTAGCTCCTCTGCGGGCCAGTTCACGCACAGTCTCCCTGCCGAGGCCCGCATTGCCACCAGTCACAATTGCAACTTTGCCCGTCTCATTCGTGCGCTTCTTGAACTTTCTTCCCTGCATGTACAGCCTATGGCGAAGTAATACAATGATTTTCCGGTTAAATTAGTTGTGAAATTAATCGCATACAAATAGTTCCATGTCACATTTATGTTTGATAACACAATCAGCGTTACATTTAGTTTTTTGGTCAATAATTACCTCACGCAGACAGCAATGATACCGACTACAGCATGTGCCACAAACATGGGGGCAATTCTTTTCACAAAACTTATAATAATTTCCATACTTGATGCGTTCAGGGTCCGGACGTAAGTGAGGTACGTATATTCTTGAGTGCGACTGGCCAAAACGAATGGCCTACCAGACCTGATATGTGATTTGACTACAACTGATAAAATTGATAGTGCAACTACTCTACATATGAACACCGTTTAATCTAAGAACTGCTACTCTAATCGAACCTTTAGCATAGATAACTGGAAACACAACTAGAAGACACCACCGCCACCGAGCGTGAGAGGCCTTGTGTTTCCCTATGATACTATGGAACGTACCTTTTGAACCAAGTGCTTTTAGCTTAAAATGTAATGGATATATACAAATGTGTGTTTGTATGCAAACAGTATCTATTTTAAACAAATAATGCTCAAATTGGCAAGCAACCGGTTTCAGTTAATACAGCGCCGATCAGCTGGTGCTTAAAAAGAAATGACATTTCTCTGCTGTTAGTCAAGTTAACAGAGGATTGGAAACATTGGGTGATTGGGTGCCAGGGAAAGGACAAGAATTCTTTCGATTGTAGAAAATGATTCATTTATAACTGGCAGAAAGATAAAAAAAACGTTAAGCCTATTTTTTCACATCGATTGCCGGTGTATTTGTCCACTTTTCGCTGACCGCCCATAGCCATTTGGCTGTTTGTGTGTCCATGGCAGCTGGCGCCACTTCTTTGGGCTGGCAGTCACTGAAATATTCACCAGACACCTGCTCCAAGTCAGGATCGAGGGCGACATATAAGCTAGTTTGTGCTCCATTCCTTGCAGTCTTAACGAAGGGCCAAAACAAAGGCTTAACGAACAGTCTGAAAGCAGATAATCAGATTCAAACGAATTTCCTGAAGGCTCTCGACAGGTACCAACCCGGCAAAGAAGTTGCTGAAGAAGCTCATGTGTCTAAAAAGTTCTGTATCCACAACGCCGGGATGCAAGGCATTAGTCGTCACGCCTGACCCTGCCAGTCGCTTGGCCAACTCCCGTGTGAACAGTACATTTGCCAATTTACTCTGACTGTAGGCTCTGCCTTCGTCGTACGACTTGTCACTGTTCAGATCGCCGGTGTTGATTTCACCACGTGTATGTGCTAGGCTCGAGACGTTGACAATCCTACTGGGCGTTGATTTCTAAAAAATTCTGACGGATTACTATCAAAATATGCAATATTTCATATTGGTTTGGCTTGTAGCCAGCAGCAGCACCTTCAACAGATCCAATAGCAATGTGGTAAGTAAGAAGTGGCCCATATGATTCACGCCCAACTGCATCTCGAAGCCATCCTTTGTGAGCGAGCGGGGACAGCGCATGACACCGGCATTGTTGATGAGCACATTCAGTGTTTCCTGTTCCCGTTTGAAGCTGCAAGGACAAGGCATTGAGGAAATGTGTTAAACATCAGCCAGAACTTAATACATACGCTGCAACAAAATGTCGAATTGAGTCCAGGGAAGCCAAGTCGCATTCACGGCAGTACACGTATTTGTTTTTGGTCTCCAGCACGATCTCCTCACGTGCCTCCTCACATTTTTTCATGTCTCGACATGCCATGTAAACGGTTGCTCCCCGTTTCGCCAGCTCCCTGACCGTCTCCTTGCCAATTCCACTGTTCGACCCAGTCACAATGATGACTTTGTCCGTTTCGTCCGTTTCCTTTGTGAATTTACCGCCTTGCATAAGGTCTCTGCAATATTGAAGACAGTCAAACCGGCACATTTATAATTGAATGCGGGGAAACCAGACTTTATGGCGCAGGCGGCGCCTACCGTAGTTCCGGTGACGCTCAGCCAGAAAATGGGGCGACTCTTTAGGAACGAAAACAACGTCATTTTAGCAATATAATTGGCTATAAAATTAAATAAACGCTATCTATGGACAACAAACACAAACAGCTGTTTGTGAACACTGGTATTTATCGATAAGTTTAATCATCTGTCTCTAATTGTTGTTGTTGTGTGTCTGGAAATATACTTTAAACTTAATATAAGCTAATTAATTAGTTTCTCGGGGGCATTAAAAGCGTAGCAAGGAAGAGTCACTGCAGCAGCATCCGAGACGTTGCCTGAGAAGGAAACGAACCCTCTGCGATAATTAAAATAGCTATGCGACGCAATGTGTAAGAGTCAGTCAGCGCCAACACGACGACTGTTGCTTCGAGTGTCAACAAAATGAAATGTACATTGTATGACGAGGGCTTTGTCTTTCAGGCGCCAACAAAATTACAACTGGGACGATCCAGATCCGGACAATGTGGAGGATATCTTTGCGAGGCCAGCCTACGACGATGATGAGTTCGTCAACCTGGTGCCGTTGGGACACAGACCGAACGGCCAAGCGAGGTTGGCTCGCTTCGAGAACACGCTAGAAGTAAACGTGCAAGAAGGCGACACCTTGCAGGCGTTGGCCCTCAGATTCCATTGTTCCGTGGCCGATATCAAGCGTCTGAACATGATGGATCGCGACAATGAGATACACGCTCACCGCATCATTCGCATACCTGTAACAGTGCACAATGTTCTCCTGGGGAATGGAGTTCAGGATGCTCTGCCAGCCGTGCACAGAAGTGGCAACAACAGCCCAAGGCACAACATAGAACGGGAGCCTGCTATTGAACGCAACCCACTGGAGGATGCTCGCCAAATGTTGGACGAGAGACTCCTTGTGGCAGCAGTGAATGCGTCTGTCTCTGTGGATGACGATCAACCATCAACGAGCAAAGCGGCAAGCAAATACTACGAGGGAGCTCATGGCTCTCCAAATGATGATGGTGAGTCCATGCCCTGTATAATTTTAGCTAGTATGCGGTATAAATAGTCTGAGCCACGAGCATCCTGAATAGGTAGTGAATAGGTAGAAAGTCAAGTAAGCCTTACCTTGTTGAACCAATGCACCACGAAACTGTAAAACATTGTGGAACAGTTTTCTGTTCCAATTTAAAAAGCAGACAACTACCTTCCTCTTCTCTTTCCATAATGACAGGACGGGAATGTTGCAGGAACTCTAATATATTGTTCTAAAATGTATACGAGATTTATATATACCTTATAAGCATATATGTATGTAAGCACTAGGCAGAACTGAAGAAGCATAATGAAAATTTGGCAGTTTTTGAATGGTTTTTTGATTTCAGTGCTGTAAAAAACCACATTATGTTTTAGTGTTGTCTAATAATTGAAAATAAGTCGTGCTGCAAAATACAGAAATTACAATGTTGCTTTTCGATATCGATGACGACCGAGCAATCGATGTTCCACAGAGCATTTTGCTCCCAAATTGTTTAGTCATTCTGCCTTTAAAACAAAAGAAAAACATAGCTTGAGCTGCCTTTTTGCTGTCGGAAAGTATAAATTGAAATACAACAAGATGCCGGACTATCTGGGAGATGATCAGCGCAAAGTGAAACACGAAGAGAAGGAGGAGAAGGAAATCAAGTCGCTGGACGAAGGCGACATCGAACTTTTGAAGACGTACGGCCAGAGCCAATACCACAAGTCCATAAAAAACATCGAGGAAGACATTCAAAAGGCTGTGAAGCAGGTCAATGAGTTGACTGGCATCAAGGAGAGCGATACAGGTCTGGCACCTCCTGCGCTCTGGGATCTGGCTGCTGATAAGCAAATTCTGCAGAATGAGCAACCGCTTCAGGTGGCCCGCTGTACCAAAATCATTAACGCCGACTCCGATGACCCGAAGTATATTATCAACGTGAAGCAGTTTGCCAAGTTCGTCGTGGACTTGGCCGATTCAGTGGCCACCACCGATATTGAGGAAGGAATGCGTGTGGGTGTCGATCGCAACAAGTACCAGATCCACATACCGCTACCGCCGAAGATTGATCCAACAGTTACGATGATGCAGGTGGAAGATAAGCCGGATGTGACCTACAGCGATGTGGGCGGCTGCAAGGAGCAGATCGAGAAGCTGCGTGAGGTTGTGGAAACGCCGCTGTTGCATCCCGAAAAATTCGTCAACTTGGGCATTGAGCCGCCCAAGGGCGTGTTGCTGTTTGGACCGCCTGGCACTGGCAAGACACTCTGTGCCCGAGCCGTCGCCAATCGCACGGATGCCTGCTTCATACGTGTCATCGGGTCAGAGCTGGTGCAAAAGTATGTCGGCGAGGGAGCGCGTATGGTGCGCGAGCTGTTTGAGATGGCGCGTTCCAAGAAGGCCTGTCTCATTTTCTTCGATGAAATCGATGCGATCGGCGGGGCCCGATTCGACGATGGTGCTGGCGGTGACAACGAGGTGCAGCGTACTATGTTGGAGCTTATCAATCAGTTGGATGGCTTCGATCCCCGTGGCAACATCAAGGTCCTGATGGCAACCAACAGACCTGACACTCTGGATCCAGCGTTAATGCGTCCCGGCCGTCTGGACCGTAAGGTGGAGTTCGGTCTGCCTGACCAGGATGGCCGTTCGCACATCTTCAAGATTCACGCTCGCTCCATGTCCGTGGAACGTGACATTCGTTTTGATCTGCTGGCCCGTCTCTGCCCCAACTCAACGGGCGCCGAGATCCGCTCAGTGTGCACGGAAGCCGGCATGTTTGCCATTCGTGCGCGTCGCAAGGTGGCCACCGAGAAGGATTTCCTCGAGGCCGTCAACAAGGTTATCAAGAGCTACGCCAAGTTTAGCGCCACCCCCCGCTATATGACCTATAATTAAGATTATTTTTATTGGCACTATTTTGTATCCACTGAGGAGAAACTGTAGTAGAAAATATATCCTTCAACTGGCAATTAATTAAATAAAACAAAAAGTATACCTCCGGATGTTGCATCATCGATTGCCTTGCATAACATTTAATTTTTCTCCCTCTGCCACAGCTAATAAATCTCTTTTTTTTTTGTAAACTTTAATGCAGCCAATATGGAGCGATCGCCGGACGACAGTGCACCTCTGCTGAACGACTTGCTGGTGGACAGGCATGCTCCGCTGGTGCGTCCCATACCGGGGCCCTCTCTGCGTGCCATCGATTGGTCGGGCTCAGACTGCGACATGTCCTGGATCTGTTTGCTGATATTCATACTCGCTCTGTGCGTCGTCATACCGCTGGTCTATGTCGTCTATCTGGCGGAGCATCCACATCACAACCACATCTCGCAGTAGCCGGTCCGGTTCGGTCCTGTCCGGTTCGGCACATGGTTTACGCCAGCACCGAAGTGATCATCATTCCAAATGTACCGGCAACAAATCGTCTACTTCCTCTCACTCTTTGTAGCTCCAACAAGCGCATTTAAAATGCAGCTGCTGGCCGTTGAATTTATTTGATATACATACTATAATCCTAGAAATTTATGTGGACTCTTTTTTTCGAAATAATAAGGACCTTGTGTACTGTAATTAATTCTTTAAATTCGGATTCGGATTCGGATTCTGGTGGGGTCTGTCTAAAGCCAGATCTATGTAATTCTGTTGTGAATGTGAGTTGTGAGAACGATCCCCAATAGTGCTTTGATTCCATGTAAGATTTATTGATTAGAAGTATGCAACAGTTAAACACTTACGGGTAAAATGTAACCTTTCGCGGTTGAAACTTTAAATAGTTCTGTTACGCCTACTAAGTACACACATAATACATATCTTAGGGCTAAATAAATAGTATCCATGGATATAATATATATTAATAATAAATACGGACTACAAGTAACAATTTAAGTTAAGTACTTTGTTTTTTGTGTGTGTGTGTGTGTGTGTGTGTGGATAGGTCTCTGGCTGAAGGCGGGGAATATGGGAAATACAGGCCATGGCCATGGCACATGATTTTTGGTGACGTGACGATGCGTGGAGTGCTCTACCATTACCGTGCATATTACTCAAGGAATATCCACCAATGGACGGACGCACTTCTCATCCCCTTCGCTTATTCACTTAAACTTTAAGTTCTCAAAGAAAGCAATATTGCTCCGGAGAAATCCATGACGTACGGGGACTGGGCTCACAGGCGAGGCGATGGGTGGGTTCATGGAACCGTCCGAATGAATAGATGGATCGCTGTGAGTATAAAAAGGCACTAAGTGGGGCAACTTTTATTCAACTCCACAGATAACTTACGTTTCGAGGGATGATAAGTCAGAGGCGATCGTGGATTCATCGGCTACCTCTGCCATGGAGACGGCATGCTCCAGCTTGTGTCGTCGTGCCAGGGAGGTAGCTGGCTTATCTGGCGTCTCAGGTGCACTAGCTGCCGCTCCGGCTATCCTTACCTTGTGTCAAATTAAACGCCCATTTGAATAAACACGGCAATAAATATCTCGTATGTTACAGATCTACTCGGACTTACCTTCGATCGCCACTTTCGCTCGGCTTGCTGGGCTTTGCTGGTCAGAAGGAAGGCCTGGGCGAGAGCTTTCACCGAGGGCATGGCACGGACCACCTCATCTTCTATGGCGGGCTTCTCTGCGACCGGGGTACTTGGCTCAAGCTGCCAAGCATATTTCATCAGCCGGTAACATCAACCCGTCCTACCATTAAGTATTTACTTACCAAATCATCTTCGTCCACAGACAGCACTTGACTCGGCTCGATGAGGCGTCGCTTGGGCTGGAGAAATCGGAACGCCGGGGGCGTAGAGCCTCTTGTGGGCGTACTCACTGGCGAGCCGATGGAGGGCACCGAGTCGGCAGGGCCAAACTGTAGGACAACTGGTCGCTCACGCTTTTTGGACACGGATGCGTCTATGGAGGAAGAGGACGCCGGTGCGCTCTGAGCCGACTCCATGGATGATGTCGTGGAGGAGCTTGGCTGCTGCTCCGCAGGTGCTGCTCTGATGATGGTGGTCTCCTGCTTATTGAAGTCGAAGACGCGCACCGTTTCGGACTCATCGCTGGTGGTTGTCGTCGTTTGCAGCGAGTGCAGCGATGGGTTCGATTGGGTCTCTAGGGAATCGTCTAGAACCTGAGCTGGCAAGGCCGTGTAAACATTAGCCGCAACCGATTCCTGTTCCTGAGTCTGCTCTATGGCAGCTTGGCTTGCGTTTTGAGCCGCCTTTTGATAGGAATATTTTTTGTTTGTTTCGATAGTTGGTTTGTGTGTTGTTGGTTTAGTTGGTTGGTTGTTGTGTTGTAGTTGTTAGTGTGTGTACATAAGTAGTTACAGTCAAACATTCAAACGGAGAGAAGAACAGTGGGTGGGTGTTAGTATAAAATGTATATATTTTTTGTATGCGTGGCAAAGTTGGTGTGTTTGGCTGCGAGTAGATGTGGTATGTGGTATGTGTTGTGTGCATGTGTGGTGTATTCGATCAAGCAGCATCATGCAAAACATTCGCTTAGTAAGAGTTATTCAAATGGCTTATTGCGAAACAAATGCTGTTAGTAATATTCCCAAAAGCAACCCCAAAACAGTGTGAATAATTCTATTGAACTGCAATTAATTTTCTTAGGTCTGTACTCACCCCATTCAGTAGGTTTTTGGGATACTAAAAACATTTGTTTCATTGCTTGTGTGTTTTTTTTTTATTGGTTTGCTTATAGTTTGGCTTTATTCGGAATTAATGCATAATATGTAGGTAAATATCTCTAGGCATACGATATGTACTTGTGGTGGGGGGCGGTTGTTTTTGTTCATAAAAGATCGTTAGCAAAGTGCATACATATACAGATTGGAGCTATGGTTACGTATTATTTATTTCATAAATTTAACAGCAAAATATAATGATTTAAAAACAAACTTTTCATACTCTAGGAGGGGCATTAGCATTACATTACGTAGATATTTACTAAATAAAAGTACGAATTAGATAGATCGATAGATTGATAGAACACTAGCTAGACAATCGCATAGCTTGCTGGATTGGTGCATTTTGGTGCGGTTGAAAGGTGTAACGAATGACCTGACCCTGTCCCTGGCTCATAGCCCTTCCTGTGCTGGAGATTCTGTGTGTGTGTGTGTCCCCTCCCCTCCTTCGCTTCGCTCGTTTCTATATATACAGGGAAACTTGCTTTTCTATACTGACTAGTGTTTAACATTCATTTGACTATGCTATGCGTGATTTGGCAAATAGAAGCTACGAGTATATAGACCCGACCCGACCCGACACGACCCGACCCCACTCGACCCGATCGGACCCAATCCGAACCGACCTGCTGTCTTTTCCTAACCTGTTTCCACAACTTGATCTAGAAGAGTAAACTATTGTTACTGTACTTGGCCTCCGCACCACTGAAGCCGTTCAGGCAGCTATCGACCCCCGAGTCGCCCGGGTCCTCTGTGTCCGGCCTGAGTGCCAGCTTGGGGGTCTCGCTCTCGAACAGAGGATTCATCACGAAATCCTTAGAGGTGGCGGACACAGCACGGAAACTGTTGCGCTTGAGGTCCTTGTGAAGCAACTGCTTCTCGAACTGTGTGAGTATCCCCGCCGAGGGCCCGGCCGGACGCCTCTTGGACGCGGACGAGCCGAAGGAGACCCCGCTGCCATTGCTGTGCAGGCTCAGACTGGACTGGGTGCGCCGCTTGGGCAGGGTGCTGGCGGACCCATAGCCAAACTGGCCGACGCTGCTGCGCCAGGAGCGGTGGGAGCGCACATCAAAGTCCTCGTCGTCTAGCCCTAAGCTCGTGTCGCGGTAGTTTGACGCTGACGTGGAAGGGCGATCGTAGTCGTTAATGGGGACGGGCGTTAATGAGGGGGAGGGACGCTTGTTAATGAATTTTAGCGAGCTGCTACGGCGCACTGGTGTGGATAGTGTCCAATGAGAGAGGTCGGGAGCGTTACTTTGAGCGCTACTTGAAATGCGGCCATGCTGTGGTAGTGGTTCTGGTTGATTTACCTCGTTGATAACTATGTCCGGCTCCACATCCTCGGCGGCCAATTGCCTCTCTGCGCTGGACGATGCACTCCGCCCGTTTGCATTTACTTCTGTGCCGTTGGGGGCATTGTTGATGTAGTAGTCGCGGCTGTAGCTGTGTGATCGTTGTATGGCGGTTAGATATGGCGACGAGTCCGCATGGGGATGAGTCTTTCACTTACCGTTTGTAGTCGGTAGAAGGGGGCGCCGGGTCCGGGTCGCCATCTTCAGTGAGAGCGGCGGCCAGGGCCTTCTGCTCGGCACTGGGACTGATATTTGGCACATCCATGTAACGCTCCTGGGTGCCGCTGATTCGCTGCTTCAGGGCCTCGGGCGCATAAGGATTGTTGGGCATTTCGACGGCATTGTACCACTTCTTGACCTCGCGCTCTGCAATGGAACCTGCAAGTGGGGTGGGTGGTTCGGTTTTAGAATCAAAGGGATTATTTAGGTGCATTGGTGGGCGTTGCAGGACACATAATATACGTAGACAGTTAACATAAGCTAGGCGCACAGCAAAGGAATAAAGCAAGGAATAAGCAGCAATCGGCAGCAACGAAAGGAAAAGGACAACAAACACCGAGTGATGACAGTGGTGGCCATGCCATGTCTGTGGGTTACCTGGCACAAAGCGCCGCAACAGTACAACATCATCATCATCAACGTCGTTTTGTTGGGCCACCAGTTGGCCACCATTCGGGAGTGCGATGGCACAGGCACCTGCACCTGCACCGGTACCCGCCTTGTTCGACCATCTCAGGGAACCATTTGTTAGTTTGCCGTTAGTGCGTCTACTACTCGGATTTGTGTGGTTAGTTGTGTTTTCAGTGTAAGTGGGATTTGTGTTAGAGTTAGAGTTGGAATTGGTGTTAGAGTTGGTGTTGCTGGGATTGTAAGTGTTCGTCCTAGACATGCGCTCGTCCAAAACTAGAACTCTCTGGCTAACGAACTCCTGTTCAGAGTCACCGTCTCCGTTGAAGGACTCACAGCTGGTGGACGGCGCACTCTCATCGCTGTGATTTGATTCTGAACTTAATTGATCTGAGAAGAGAATTACGTTAATAAAATTATACGTGATTTCGCTCAAACTACCTACAATGATTGAATCAGTCTCTACATCTACATCTATGTCGATGTCTATATCATCTGCCATATCACAGAACGTTTCACTGCTACGAATAATCTCTGACCTTAATGGTTCTGCTAAATGAGCTGCGTGCAATTCGCTGGGTCTACGCTCAATATTTTGGACTAGGGACTGCGATGGCAGCTGTTCTGCCCCTTCTGGGGCTATAGGAACTAAAGACTCTGTGTTATCTACCATAGCATTGGCATTTTCCCCGCCCCCTCCATCTCTGACTTGGCTAATGGACTCTCTACGGGAAACTAAACTATCATCGTCATACATGTGCAATTCGTCAAAGAGACTGGGAGACTGGGTCTCGTAAACTTCGTCTATGGTCTCCTCCATAGAGTCAAAGGAGCTCAGGTATTTGTGCATGATCAGAGAGCGTCGACGTCTGCGTTCGATTGTGGCCAATAGTCGTTTGTCTTTAATGTAAAACTTGCAAATGGTCCCGAAGAGGTTTACAGGCTGGGGTCGCGCAGCCGCGTCTCCATCGCTCGGTGTTGTGTCGGGAATGTTCGGCTGTCTTCGCAGGCACTTTTGAGACGCTTTACCTAGAGCGGAACTATCGCTCTTAGTGTTTTCTACGGATGTTTGCGCCGGAACGCATTCCGCTGATGGTTCCAATGTTGGTGTATCAATACTATCCGACTCATTCAGCGGTTTCGGAACACAGCTTGACGACTGCCGATCACTGGTTACAGCTTTAGGGGCAAGGTCTGAAGCCTCCAGCTCAACAGCTCTTATTTCCACAGTTGTACTTTCTGCCTCTGGAACGATATCAACTGTAGCCGGAGAAATAACAGCCACGGTTTTTGTCTCCGGAAAAATTTCCACTGCTGCAGAAGGATCAACAGCCACGGGATCTGTCTCCGGAACAATTTCCACTGCTGCGGGAGGATCAACAGACACAGTTTCTGTCTCCGGAACAATTTCCACTGCTGCGGAAGGATTGCCAGCTACGGTTTGAGGTTCTGAAATGAGTTCCACTGTAGCCGAAGAATCAGCAGCTACGGTTTCTGTCTCCGGAACAATTTCCACTGCTGCGGGAGGATCAACAGCCACGGTTTTTGTCTCCGGAACAATTTCCACTGCTGCGGGAGGATCAACAGCCACGGGATCTGTCTCCAGATCAATTTCCACGGTTGCGGGAGGATCAACAGCTACGGTTTCTGTCTCCGGAACAATTTCCACTGCTGGAGGAGGATAACAGCACGGTTCCGTCCGGAACAATTTCCACTGCTGCGGAAGGATTACCAGCTACGGTTTTGGTTCTGAAATGAGTTCCAATTTCAGCTCGGAAGATAGACGGTTTCGTCTGAAAGATTTCCACTGCTGCGGGAGGATCAACAGCCACGGTTTCTGTTCTGCGATTTCCACTGCTGCGGGAGGATCAACAGCCACGGGATCTGTCTCCGGAACAATTTCCACTGCTGCGGCAGGATCAACAGCAACGGGATCTGTCTCCGGAACAGTTTCCACTGCTGCGGGAGGATCAACAGCCACAGTTTCTGTCTCCGGAACACTTTCCACTGCTGCGGGAGGATCAACAGCAACGGGATCTGTCTCCGGAACAATTTCCACTGCTGCGGGAGGATCAACAGCTACGGTTTCTGTCTCCGGAACAATTTCCACTGCTGCGGGAGGATCAACAGCCACGGTTTCTGTCTCCGGAACAATTTCGACTGCTGCGGGAGGATCAACAGCCACGGTTTCTGTGTCTGGAACAATTTCCACTGCTGCGGGAGGATCAACAGCCACGGTTTCAGTTCTCCGGAACAATTTCCACTGCTGCGGGAGGATCAACAGCCACGGTTTCTGTCTCCGGAACAATTTCCACAGCTGCGAGAGGATCAACAGCCACGGTTTCTGTCTCCGGAACAATTTCCACTGCTGCGGGAGGATCAACAGCCACGGTTTCTGTCTCCGGAACAATTTCCACTGCTGCGGGAGGATCAACAGCTACGGTTTCTGTGTCTGGAACAATTTCTACTGCTGCGGGAGGATCAACAGCCACGGTTTCTGTTTCCGGAACAATTTCCACTGCTGCGGGAGGATCAACAGCCACGGTTTCTGTCTCCGGAACAATTTCCACTGCTGCGGAAGGATTAAGAGCTACGGTTTCTGTGTCTGGAACAATTTCTACTGCTGCCGGAGGATCAACAGCCACGGTTTCTGTCTCCGGAACAATTTCCACTGCTGCGGGAGGATCAACAGCTACGGTTTCTGTCTCCGGAACAATTTCCACTGCTGCGGGAGGATCAACAGCCACAGTTTCTGTCTCCGGAACAATTTCCACTGCTGCGGGAGGATCAACAGCCACGGTTTCTGTCTCCGGAACAATTTCCACTGCTGCGGGAGGATCAACAGCCACGGTTTCTGGTCTCCGGAACAATTTCCACTGCTGCGGGAGGATCAACAGCCACGGTTTCTGTCTCCGGAACAATTTCCACTGCTGCGGGAGGATCAACAGCCACGGTTTCTGTTTCCTGAACAATTTCCAATGCAGCGGGAGGATCAACAGCCACGGTTTCTGTCTCCGGAACAATTTCCACTGCTGCGGAAGGATTAACAGCTACGGTTTCAGTTCTGCCGGAACTTCGACCTGCTGCGGGAGGATCAACAGCTACGGTTTCTGTCTCCGGAACAATTTCGACTGCTGCGGGAGGATCAACAGCTACGGTTTCAGTCTCCGGAACAATTTCCACTGTAGCCGGAGGATCAACAGCGACGGTTTCTGTCTCCGGAACAATTTCCACTGCTGCGGGAGGATCAACAGCTACGGTTTCAGGTTCTGAAATGAGTTCCACTGTAGCCGGAGGATCAGCAGCTACGGTTTCTGTCTCCGGAACAATTTCCACTGCTGCGGGAGGATCAACAGCCACGGTTTCTGTGTTCTGGAACAAGTTTCCACTGCTGCCGGAGGATCAACAGCGACGGTTTCTGTCTCCGGAACAATTTCCACTGCTGCGGGAGGATCAACAGCGACGGTTTCTGTCTCCGGAACAATTTCCACTGCTGCGGGAGGATCAACAGCTACGGTTTCTGTGTCTGGAACAATTTCCACTGTAGCCGGAGGATCAACAGCCACGGTTTCTGTCTCCGGAACGATTTCCACTGCTGCGGGAGGATCAACAGCAACGGTTCCTGACTCCGGAACAATTTCCACTGCTGCGGGAGGATCAACAGCAACGGTTTCTGTCTCCGGAACAATTTCCACTGCTGCGGGAGGATCAACAGCTACGGTTTCTGTCTCCGGAACAATTTCCACTGCTGCGGGAGGATCAACAGCCACGGTTTCAGTCTCCGGAACAATTTCCACTGCTGCGGGAGGATCAACAGCCACGGTTTCTGTCTCCGGAACAATTTCCACTGCTGCGGAAGGATTAACAGCTACGGTTTCAGGTTCTGAAATGAGTTCCATTGTAGCCGGAGGATCAACAGCAACGGTTTCTGTCTCCGGAACAATTTCCACTGCTGCGGGAGGATCAACAGCTACGGTTTCTGTGTCTGGAACAATTTCCACTGCTGCGGGAGGATCAACAGCCACGGTTTCTGTCTCCGGAACAATTTCCACTGCTGCGGGAGGATCAACAGCCACGGTTCCTGTCTCCGGAACAATTTCCACTGCTGCGGAAGGATTAACAGCTACGGTTTCTGTCTCTGGAACAATTTCCACTGCTGCGGGAGGATCAACAGCAACGGTTCCTGTCTCCGGAACAATTTCCACTGCTGCGGGAGGATCAACAGCCACGGTTTCTGTCTCCGGAACAATTTCCACTGCTGCGGGAGGATCAACAGCCACGGTTTCAGTCTCCGGAACAATTTCCACTGCTGCGGGAGGATCAACAGCCACGGTTTCTGTCTCCGGAACACTTTCCACTGCTGCGGAAGGATTAACAGCTACGGGATCTGTCTCCGGAACAGTTTCCACTGCTGCCGGAGGATCAACAGCAACGGTTTCTGTCTCCGGAACAATTTCCACTGCTGCGGGAGGATCAACAGCTACGGTTTCTGTGTCTGGAACAATTTCTACTGCTGCGGGAGGATCAACAGCCACGGTTTCAGTCTCCGGAACAATTTCCACTGCTGCGAGAGGATCAACAGCCACGGTTTCTGTCTCCGGAACAATTTCCACTGCTGCGGGAGGATCAACAGCCACGGTTTCTGTGTCTGAAACAATTTCCACTGCTGCGGGAGGATCAACAGCCACGGTTTCTGTCTCCGGAACAATTTCCACTGTTGCCGGGAGGATCAACAGCCACGGTTTCCTGTTTCCGGAACAATTTCCACTGCTGCGGGAGGATCAACAGCCACGGTTCCTGTCTCCGGAACAATTTCCACTGCTGCGGGAGGATCAACAGCCACGGTTTCTGTCTCCGGAACAATTTCCACTGCTGCGGGAGGATCAACAGCCACGGTTTCTGTCTCCGGAACAATTTCCACTGCTGCGAGAGGATCAACAGCCACGGTTCCTGTCTCCGGAACAATTTCCACTGCTGCGGGAGGATCAACAGCCACGGTTTCTGTGTCTGGAACCATTTTTACTGCTGCGGGAGGATCAACAGCCACGGTTTCAGTCTCCGGAACAATTTCCACTGCTGCGAGAGGATCAACAGCCACGGTTTCTGTCTCCGGAACAATTTCCACTGCTGCGGAAGGATTAACAGCAACGGTTCCTGTCTCCGGAACAATTTCCACTGCTGCGGGAGGATCAACAGCCACGGTTTCTGTCTCCGGAACAATTTCCACTGCTGCGGAAGGATTAACAGCAACGGTTCCTGTCTCCGGAACAATTTCTACTGCTGCGGGAGGATCAACAGCCACGGTTTCAGTCTCCGGAACAATTTCCACTGCTGCGGGAGGATCAACAGCCACGGTTTCTGTCTCCGGAACAATTTCCACTGCTGCGGGAGGATCAACAGCCACGGTTCCTGTCTCCGGAACAATTTCCACTGCTGCGGAAGGATTAACAGCAACGGTTCCTGTCTCCGGAACAATTTCCACTGCTGCGGGAGGATCAACAGCGACGGTTTCTGTCTTCGGAACAATTTCCACTGCTGCGGGAGGATCACCAGCCACTGTTTCTGTGTCTGGAACAATTTCTACTGCTGCGAGAGGATCAACAGCCACGGTTTCTGTCTCCGGAACAATTTCCACTGTAGCCGGAGGATCAACAGCCACGGTTTCTGTCTTCGGAACAATTTCCACTGCTGCGGGAGGATCAACAGCCACGGTTTCTGTCTCCGGAACAATTTCCACTGCTGCGGGAGGATCAACAGCCACGGTTTCTGTCTCTGGAACAATTTCCACTGCTGCGGGAGGATCAACAGCCACGGTTTCAGTCTCCGGAACAATTTCCACTGCTGCGAGAGGATCAACAGCGACGGTTTCTGTCTCCGGAACAGTTTCCACTGCTGCGGGAGGATCAACAGCTACGGTTTCTGTGTCTGGAACAATTTCCACTGCTGCGGAAGGATCAACAGCAACGGTTCCTGTCTCCGGAACAATTTCCACTGCTGCGGAAGGATTAACAGCTACGGTTTCTGTGTCCGGAACAATTTCCACTGCTGCGAGAGGATCAACAGCCACGGTTCCTGTCTCCGGAACAATTTCCACTGCTGCGGAAGGATTAACAGCAACGGTTCCTGTCTCCGGAACAATTTCCACTGCTGCGGAAGGATTAACAGCCACGGTTCCTGTCTCCGGAACAATTTCCACTGCTGCGGAAGGATTAACAGCCACGGTTTCTGTCTCCGGAACAATTTCCACTGCTGCGAGAGGATCAACAGCCACGGTTCCTGTCTCCGGAACAATTTCCACTGCTGCGGGAGGATCAACAGCCACGGTTTCAGTCTCCGGAACAATTTCCACTGCTGCGGGAGGATCAACAGCCACGGTTTCTGTCTCCGGAACAATTTCCACTGCTGCGGAAGGATCAACAGCAACGGTTCCTGTCTCCGGAACAATTTCCACTGCTGCGGAAGGATTAACAGCCACGGTTCCTGTCTCCGGAACAATTTCCACTGCTGCGGAAGGATTAACAGCAACGGTTCCTGTCTCCGGAACGATTTCCACTGCTGCGGGAGGATCAACAGCCACGGTTTCTGTCTCCGGAACAATTTCCACTGCTGCGGGAGGATCAACAGCCACGGTTTCAGTCTCCGGAACAATTTCCACTGCTGCGGGAGGATCAACAGCCACGGTTTCAGTCTCCGGAACAATTTCCACTGCTGCGAGAGGATCAACAGCCACGGTTTCTGTCTCCGGAACAATTTCCACTGCTGCGGAAGGATTAACAGCCACGGTTTCTGTCTCCGGAACAATTTCCACTGCTGCGGGAGGATCAACAGCCACGGTTTCCTGTCTCCGGAACAATTTCCACTGCTGCGGGAGGATCAACTGCCACGGTTTCTGTTTCCTGAATAGTTTTCACTGCAGCGGGAGAATCAACAGCCACGGTTTCTGTCTCCGGAACAATTTCCACTGTTGCGGGAGGATCAACAGCCACGGTTTCTGTCTCCGGAACAATTTCCACTGCTGAGGGAGGATTAACAGCTACGGTTTCAGGTTCTGGAACAATTTCGACCTGCTGCGGGAGGATCAACAGCTACGGGATCTGTCTCTGGAACAATTTCCACTGCTGCGGGAGGATCAACAGCCACGGTTTCAGTCTCCGGAACAATTTCCACTGCTGCGGGAGGATCAACAGCTACGGTTTCTGTCTCCGGAACAATTTCCACTGTAGCCGGAGGATCAACAGCGACGGTTTCTGTTCTGGAACAATTTCCACTGTGGGAGGATCAACAGCCACGGTTTCTGTCCCGGAACAATTTCCACTGCTGCGGGAGGATCAACAGCTACGGTTTCTGTCTCCGGAACAATTTCCACTGCTGCGGGAGGATCAACAGCGACGGTTTCTGTCTCCGGAACAATTTCCACTGCTGCGGGAGGATCAACAGCCACGGTTTCTGTCTCCGGAACAATTTCGACTGCTGCGGGAGGATCAGCAGCTACGGTTTCTGTCTCCGGAACAACTTCCACTGCTGCGGGAGGATCAACAGCTACGGTTTCAGGTTCTGGAACAATTTCGACTGCTGCGAGAGGATCAACAGCAACGGGATCTGTCTCTGGAACAATTTCCACTGCTGCGGGAGGATCAACAGCAACGGTTCCTGTCTCCGGAACAATTTCCACTGCTGCGGAAGGATTAACAGCTACGGTTTCAGGATCTGAAATGAGTTCCACTGCTGCGGAAGGATTAGCAGCCACGGGATCTGTCTCCGGAACAAATTCCACTGCTGGGTTTTGCGTGAACCTATCTTGATCTAAGTCAGGTTTTTCCACCACTGCTGGTTCCAGGTGCGCTGGTGTCTCGGTAGAGTTGTGAAGATTGCAAAATGTTTGAGCTTGTTGGTCGGTCAGTATTGATGGATGGACATCTACAGTGGGCGGTTCTGAGGAACACTGGATGGACGGTACGAATTCAGTTGTCTCCTCTTCTATGATGTCAAGTGAATGGTGCGCCAGGTCCATTGTGCGAGCGTTTATTTCGGCTAGCGCCAAGTCACTTAGCTCCTTGAGGGTATGCATCTCACTCGGAGTCATGACGCCCGGCTGCTCCGATGCTGGGACCGCTAACATCGGTCCCAAGGCAATTGCGGCTAGTATCTCGATGACTGATGGTGTGGTTTGGCGCATCTGCTCTTCGTCGATGTACTCTACTGTGCTGTAACCGGTGCAACCTTCGAGGCTGGCCAGTTCGTCAGTTTCGCCTTGGGCTGTAACACAAACGACTGCTAAATGTCGATGCTTCAAGATCAGGCACAAGTGGGCTGAGGTTCTACATCAACTGGATGGTTTCGGACTTCAAACTGCTACTGATACGTTATCAACTATCTAGGACTCTTAGGCCCTTGGTCTAATCACACAGGGGGGAGGGTCAACCCAATATTAAGGATGGAAAGGATGAAGTTCTACGTTTAAGGTACGAGGAAGTGGAAGTAGCAGTGCAATTACCTGCAATGGGAGTCTGGACCAGCTCCTCGTTCAGTGAGTCATCTTGAAAGACCATGGGTGGTGGGGGCGCAACTAAAAGATTATCAGATGGCACAGCCGAGGAGGCAACGACCAAAGTGTTTGTGGTTTCCGTAAATGCGGGCTCGTGCTCCTCCGGGAGGGTGTGGGAGATCAAGCTGGTCCGATCTACGAGCTCGTCTAGGACAAGTTTTGTGTTCTGACCACCGATTAGATGCTTGCTCAGCAGGCGATCGTTCAGATCGTTGCAGCGTAGCAAGTCCAGCGAATTGTCCTCCGCATCCGATCCTATCTCCGACAGATCGCTGACCTCATCCGCTGTCCTGTCGCCAATTTGGGCACGCACATTCTCCGTGGGAGCCGGCACCAGCATGCCTATGCTGCTCGGTGTGGCCGAGGTTTGCATGGAGCTGCGCTTCTTCTTGAATAGCCAGTTATCCTCCCAGGTGCCATCGCCGATCATGCTCGAGGAGATTGAACCGACATCTGAATGGGAAAACGTAAAGAAAGGGAGTGAAGGAACATAATGGAACACAGCCTTGGAGAGTTTTCTACCACTTACCATCCTCCGATTCGGTCACAGATGCCGAAAAGTCCGGTAGGGGTACCATGTGTGAGGCTATATAATCACTCAACACCGATTCACGTTCCAATTCCGCTTGCAGGGATTTGGACTTGCCCGACTGGAAAGAGGAAAATGATTCGTTACAGGGGATTACTGGAATGGGAGGGTCTGGCTCCTTACATCCAGTACCAATTCATGGTCGGTGAGGCTGCAATCGCTTCGGGGCTCAATGGAACTGCCGGACGTGGTGCTCAACGCTTCGGCATTGTAATTCTCATCAATGAGGTGACCACTCAGGTCCGGTGTGCTCTCCGATATTAGCCTTGTGTTCCCTTCATTATCGGCAATCTGTGGAACAGAACAGAAAACAAACGGTAGCAACGGTATAACATGTAAGTCCATTGGCCTTGGCATTGGCGCTGCAAAGTGTTGTTGAACCCCATAGAGTGGTGTGTGTGGGTCAGTCGAAACCAAAAGCCCCCTAAGCAGATTAGACCCGGCCATATCCATTCCGCCACTCAACGACACTCAACGTTTCGTTGTGCTCGCAACGTCATCGATTATTAACAAATTGTCTTATCGATCGTGTGCAGTGACGGTGCGATGTCCACGTTGCCAGAAACGCTTCGATTGGGAAGTTTGGGTATTGAAGTTGCGATAAGGCTGAGGATTTCCCGATTAGAACGTATCTGAATACGTAATCGTGGCTGATAGGCCACGTTCTCTTCCCTCCGCTGAGTCATGCCATTTGCCACATTCGCTTGGAAACGTTTATTTACTTTATCAGCGGAGTCCTCCATGGTCCTTGTACTTCCGAAATGTGCCTTTTGAGATGTTCCAGAAAATAGATTTATCCAATTAGCGTCGTGATTGATTTTACTAGTGTACTGTCTGCTGCTGCTGCTTGAAGAAAACGTCTTTACAGTCGAAACAATAGGCTGCAACTAATTAGCGTGGTCTGGTTGTGGTTCATCGGTGTGGCGTTGGCAACTGGACAATCGAAGCCGCCCAAGTGCGGGGTTGAATGAAAGCGAAAACTGAACGAAACGCGCGTGGCGGAAATGGCCAAAGAACACGACAGAACAAAGACCGAACACGGCTTACAAGACACTCGAGAAAGGAGAGTGAGAGAGAGGTCATGCGTGTGTGTTACCACAGGTGGACGACTGGCATGGTGGCTTAGTGACGTGGGCATAGGTCAGTGCAACCTCAGGGCTTACCTTGTTCAGCACCGCTGTGGCCAGCAGTTCCTGATAGATCTTCGGCTCGAAATAGTGCTCCGTGCGATGGCGTCGCTTCAGCCCATTGCTGGGCAGGTCGGCGGCCAGCGAGCGGGTGTCCAGGCTGATCTCTGAGACGGCGCCGCTCACGCTCAGCGCACTGCTGCGCAGCGTTTCCGCTATTATGGTCTCGATGAGACTGCGTAGACGGGTCTGTGAGATGTCTGCCAGAGAGTCAGAGTCTCCATTGTTGTTGTTGTTGTTGTTGTTGGTGTTTGTGGTCGGATTGCTGCTGCTGCTGCCAATGCCATTGACAATGGCCGGCAGATCTGAAAGCATGTATTTGTATGTGTGTTGCTGTATTGTCAAGTCAAATATATTCGCAGATCTGGCCAAGAATGCTGGCTACGGGCCAAAACTACAACTAGCTGAATGCTTGGTTAGCCAAGTGTTCGATACAATAAAAGTGAAAATTAATTTACTTCTAAGCGTGTTTTTCTGTATGTGTGTGTGTGTGTGAAAGGCAAAGAAAGTAAGGGAGCGAGTGTGTGTGTGTGTGAGTGAGTGTAAGTATTAGCCATACCTAATTTCACCTCAATGACGTAAACAACGTAAAAGACAATTACGGCCAGAACGGCATACACGCCCGTGATTAGGCCCAAAGTAAAGTCCATGCTGCATGCATATACACATACATATGTATGTACGAGTATATATGGGTTATAGTGGTACGATATGCAATCCAATCCAGATATCTGTTGCTTATTTATTTATTTATTTGTTTGTTTGCTTATTTGTTTTTTTTTCTTTATTTGTTTATCTACGCTTTTGGCCGCTGTCTGGCTGCCTGGCTGTCTGTTTGGGTTTTGTTTGGAGTTTTCATTGATATAACTGCCGGTCGAGCTGTTAATTACGAGTATTTCAAATAAATATTTAAGCTGTATTTTCGTTTTGTTTTCACCCTAATTATTGGCAAACATAAGTGTATCCAGCGAGTTCCCTCAACGCTTGAGCAGCCAGGTGTTCCCAACCCCAACCCGAACCTATTCGAGCTCCACTCATGCTGAAAATCGCGAATACTTATGACTCCCATTCGCATTCGCATTCGCATTCGCATACGCATATTCATCATTTTCCTTTGACATGTTAAGTCTATTGTCGGAATTGCGGTAAATACACGATCTTATAATGAATAATGAATGGCCCGGAGTTATCTATTTTGCGTTACAATGCCGCCCATATTTCTTTATCGGCCCAACTCTACCCTACAATTCAATTGGTGGCGGCTGCCCGCCTGAGTGGTCTGAATGGTGGATCAGTGGATGGGTAGGTCTGCTGGGTCTAGTCTAGGCCGTTACTCATTCAGGTGTGCACAAAATGTCAAAGATAGAAACTGTCGTATTCAAAACAAACAGTTTTGCGAGCATGCGAGTCATCGGTGAAAATAACACCAGAAACGGGCAGAGCAGAGAAACAGTCAGCAGCAACAGGCCCAGCACCAGAACCAGTACCAGACCCAGACCCAGTCCCAGTCCCAGGCGGATCACTTCTGATCAAAGTTCAGGGTTCAGCGCGAATCACTTAAGTAATTATCACTGCGCTGAATGCCAGTATCACTTTATTCCATTTTTTAATATTTAATGCTTAGCCCTGCGATGGGAGCGGAGTTCGAGTGGCTCGATAATTTTCCATTGAATCAGATGGGGCGTCGCGACTTATTTAAGTCCTGCGATAAGTTTGGCTGAGAGGGTTGGTTTCTCTGATTGGTCAAGGTCAAAGGTAAACTACAGCGTTAAAGAGCACAGATAAAAGCACAGGCAGAGGCACGTGTTAAAAGTTCACGATAATCGCCATTAAATTATGGCGATTTGTTGCATTTTGGTTTTTGTTAATCTCAGGTTGGGGTTACACACAGTGGAGCTGTGAGCGGGACTCGGGATCATTAATATTGATTAGCATTGATTGAGGTCTCTTCCTCGTCTTCCTCGTCTTGCCTGTTTTACCTCACGATCAACTTTGTGCCAGCTGGGCCACGGGTCAAGGTTGGCGATAACTCATAACTGAATCCGATCTCTTCTGGTTGCTTCTTCGCGTTATCTCTGCTCTGACGGAGGTATATGTCTAGCTGCTGGCCAAAAATTCTTCAACTTTTAATATAAAACAAATATGTTATCACTAGCACCCCCGTTTGGACGGAATCTTGTGTCTCTGTGTGCGTGTGTGTTTTGCGTGTACCCGGAGCTCGTTTAACGTTACGATCACGGCGCGACGCTTCTGGCAAATGAAGCGGTTCCGTGCGATTGTCGAGCGTCTAACCGCTCACTTAGCCCCACTCTCACACACCGACACACACAGACCTACTCATACCTACTCTGTATGGTGTATGGGGGACCCTACACACAGCAGTCTCGGGTGTTTCGGCACTGCCACCAGACTCTCCTCTTGGCCAACAGCGGAGTTTGGAATTTGGGATTTACATGCACGAATTTACATGCAAATTAGTGAATATTAGGCGCCTGGCTGGAAGCGTGACGCTGTCAATCAATTGCCAAGACAGAAGAGAGTCGAGTCTCATGAATGAACTTGGATGGCCGTGTAAGCTGGGGCACTAGGCAGCTCTCGCATCGATTCTCGAACCAGTTGGTGAGCAATGCTGCTACGCTGCGTATGATTAATGTGTATCTCGGTCTGTCATCTGGCCCAAAACTACAGCACTTGGGCGCCTACAAATAATGTTCCCTCTTGTGGCCATTGGTTATTGTTGTCGGCACTTCAATAGCTGAAGCACCTTATCAGAGCTATGTACACGAGTATGTGTGTAGCCTTATCTGACCGCGATTTGCGCGACTGTCTGTCAGGGTTCCTATGTGTGAGAGAGTGCTGATTTTGGCTCTCATTCTAACAGTAGAATGATAAGTCAGTGCGACTAAGGCTGGCAGGCAATACAACTGGCATTGAAGCGAAGGCTCCAATCACTGATTCATAGATTTATTTTATGGCATTTAGTCGGCAACATTCTCTGACACTCTGTTACATATTTGGGGCAAGGCTACGGCTACAAAATACAGATATACAGATATAGCTACAGCTACAGCTACTGCTACAGGGTACGGATGCAGGATCGAGAGGTTAGATTACATTGCATTCGCTCGATTACGGATTACTCTATAGAGCCGGATTACTCGGATTACTTACCTCCCTTGAGCAGGTCGTTTTCCACATTGATAAGCAGGTTCGAAAGTTTCGCATGAAATTTATGGAAAAATTGCAAGTCTGCATTGCATTTGCATGTGTGAGTGTGAGGTGTGTGTAGGTGTAGGTGTAGGTGTATGTGTGTTTATGTGTGGGTAAAAAGTTTAACAAAAGCTTCGCCCAAAAGTATGCAGCAAACTTTTGCTGGCCCGCAACACGTGCTGCCAGGCTGCAAATGTTGCCAAGAGACCCACCCGATCGAATGTATGTTGCCCGCCCAATTGAATTTCATTTGCAAATCGCAAATTGTGCGAACGCAGCTGAATAGATTCAGCTGACAATTGCATTGGCACTAATCAAATCGCAGACAATCATCTGGGCGCGCGGGGCAACAGATTGCAGCAGGCAGTGGCGTGGCGTGGCTGTACTTACAGTTTTCGCTTTTGGACAATTGCCCCACTTTGATGTGATCCAAATTGCCGCCCAGCATCTCCGCGACAATTTCCTCCACATATGCACGTATCTTGGCGCGCTCGTCCAGCTGAATACTCTGCCCTATCTGGCTGACGCTCTCAATGTCTGCAAAGGAAGCAAAGTCGGGCATGCTGTAAATGCGTTGGGGATGCGTTACCAAGGGTCTCTCTGCTTACGCATTGTGCTGTCGTTGCCATCGATGGATGTGTGTATGATGGGTATGTAGACCTCGCTGCGTGCCCGCATCGGATACACGAACTTGTGCTGGTTAAAGGACATCTGCTCCGCCACCCAGGAGGAGGTGTGGGCCAGCGACTCCTTGGAGCTGTGGCACAGTTGGCACTCCCACTTGGCATCCTTGGGCCGCCAGTCAGCGCACTTGGGGCCCCGGCAGACCAGCTTCCCGCACGTACAACATGTCACATAGCTGGAAGCGACAAACAGACAGATCTATAGATCCCATCCTCAACGGAACAGCTACATCCATAGCTGTGGACTTACGTTTTGGGACTGCTCTGGTCCAAGTCTGCACAGCAGACATTGCAGCTCTGCTCCTCGCTGGCGTCCTCCTTCTTCCACTTCCTATCGGCTATTTTACTGAAAAAAAAGAATTCATAGAACGCGGAGAATGTTAGTTCGAGTCACGGCGATTAGTCAGGTCAGTTCTGCGAAATCGCAGGGGTTGTTCAACCAGACCAGCAAGCGGAAGGTCAGGTCAAGATAAACAAACTGTGGAAAAAACATGAGGAAATCAACTAATTGTTGATTTGGCAGTCAGCCGATAGAGACAATTAGCGCCTGGTCGAGTCGATAATTTCCAGTTTCCCAGATCTGCCCACCTACGAGCATGAGACCCCACCACCCCCCACTGCAGGGGCGGGGGCAATAGACTTTCTCTCTCGCCTGTCTATCCCCAGCCCAGCACATTGCATAAGCGGAGGAAAGCCATAGGCGAACAAACCAGTTGGACCAGAGGCAAGCGAGCGAAATATCAGTTTAGTCGAGTTTTTAGTTTAGTTTTATAGCCAGATTTATTCGCGTCACTTAGGATCTAGGTATCAAATAACTAAACATATCACACGGCTTACAAACTACTCTCGCAGGACATACAGGCATCCTGTATCTACTTACGATTATATGTATATGTATCTAGATATATGTATGTATGCATTCAGTTCTCACAGGGACAGATGTGCAGGTATCCAATTAAAGAAGGGATTTCCTCTGACTGAGTGTACACTCGATACGAATATCGAATCCATGCATGAGTCGTGTTTTGTTTTGTTTTGTTTTGTTGTGGTAGTTGTGGCCACAACGTGCTCAAAATTGACAATCAATCACAAACAATTTGCTTAACTTATTCAAATGTCTTGTTTTGCAATCGCTTACAAACGAAATTATAAAAAAATAAACAAAAACATTACACGCTCTCTCCACTCGTCACTATCCATCCACATACTATACTATATAATTTCGAAAATAAAAGAAAACCAGTCATAACCGATACCCAACCGATTCCAAATGCTGCATCTACATAATCAGCTGTTGCTGCTGCTGTTGTTGTTGCTGCTGCTGCTGCTGTTGCTGCTGCTGTTGCCGCTGATGGAAGCGCATCCGCCGGCGTGCCCAGTGCTCGTAGTTATTCCCGAGATTCTCGTAGTAGATCTGCTCCTCGGCCTCGTCGTCACCAGCCTCGTCCCCGTCGTCGGGCGGCCGCCCAAACACCGGATCACTGGTGGTCATCTTCAGCAGCACCACCTCCATGGCGCAGGCCATAAAGAGGAAGGCGAACACGGCAAAGCTGATCGGCATGCATAGCAATCTCTCCACTTGGCACACCACAACGGACGCGAACACCATTCTATCGCACTCCCTTCGCGGTGGGGTGGTTGGGGTGTGGGGATTCCTATAGCTTTGATGGTTTCTGTGGAATTGTATTCCTCGTTTTCTTGATGGGTTTTGGTTTCGGTTTGAGCTGGTGTAGTGTGATTTGTGATTTGTTATTTGGTTTTTTAGTGTTGCTGATCTCTCGTGTTTTGGGTATTTGAGGTGGCTGTCATGAGATGTTTGGTGCTTTGTTTGCTTTGATTTGGCATGGCACTCGTCAAATTGAACTGTTTTCGCCGATTTGCATTTACATTCGAGTGGAAGCACATTAATTTGGATGATTCGCCAACGAAACGAGACGCGAATCACTCCGACTCCGACACTGACAACTTTCTCGGACAAGGTTTGCCTTTGTTGTGCGCAGTTGGCTCTGAGCGGGCAACAGCTGAGACCTCAGACGAAGCTCAGTCGATGCGATGCTGCTCATAAGCCATGCCGGTTTCATTACGGAGCAGAGAGAGAGAGAGAGAGCAACAGAGAGGATGAGTGGCAGAGAGCGAGAGAGTGGGAGAGTGAGAGAGTGGGCAAACAAACATTCAGACAGGCTGGCATCAAACTCGTTAATGACGTAAGATTCAATTGTGGACTCTGGAGAAGAAGGCCTTACACCGCCGCCATCCACCCCCCCCTGGATAGAAAACCAGCCCAACGGGTCTACGTAGCGGAATCAGCCGTGACTAGGCATATTTCCCTGGCCATCTATCGCCTTTCTTCCATGATTAATCCCCCCGCATTCAAGTGGATATCTGGTCAAGCAGGAACCGTTTCGACGGGCCTCATACCCGTACCCGTACCCGTACCCATACCCGTATGCATTCATTTGTCTATAAATTAATTTTTGGCAATCTTTTTTTTCAGCGATGTGTCTCGGCCTGAACTTCATTAATTTCCAAATGCTAATTGTGAGAAACATTCCGCAAACGAGTTAGCCTCAGACGTTGTCTGGCAATTTTAATCTATGCATGCTCCTCCAAGCCGTTCATTATTCCCATTCCATTCCCCTCGCTCAACAAATCAATCGAATCGGTGACTCGATTAGACTTAGATTCTCTACTCACTTCTCTGTTTGCGAATAAATGGAGCCACAGTTGACAGAATCAACGGTTAAGTTCCCAAAGAGAAAGATGATTCGAGACTCGACTCTCAGATGCACAGATTCCACTGAAATCTGACTAAGGTATCTGGGTTAATATATGCATGTAAGCTGGGCATATCCCATTAGTATTTCGCAGCAAAAGAAATCGTCAAGTTGCCCTCTGGCTCTGTGCGGGTTGGCTTACATATATTAATGGATCAGTCGGACTGAGCAAGATGTTCTAAATTTTCGCAGAATTTTTAAAATAATTACCCGTACCACCAGAAGAACAATCAATTAAGCTTAAATGTTTAATTTGATATGTTTATAGTTTGAGCAGATTTTTCATGTTTATTCGATTTCTCTCTTTTTTATTCCATTAAAAATTAATGATAAATCTTGTATTGTCCCCTTTCTAGTCAACATAAGTTATGGAATTGTAAATATAATCTTCGGCTCAACGTTCTATCGAGGACATCTTTATTTGCCCTCAGAAAATGATTTCTTCGCTCTATTTATACGCGTCTCAATAAATGCAATTTTCCATTAATGATTGATGAATGATTTCTGCTTGTTACTTAACCCATATTTTTCCATTCCACAACAGAAATATATGTACATAAACATAGTATTTATTTTGCACAAAAATTTGTTTTGTTTTTTTTTATTATAAAATCTCCTATATAATGTCACAAATCCTCCTCATTCCATACCCACAGAACGGATTTAATATAACAATAAAATATTTTAGTTTACGTGTTTTTTAACTGTTACAAAATATCTACATGCGAACTACATGCTTCAGTGGCGCCAACAGACTGCTAGTTCAAAAATCATCCGTTGCAAGAAATTTCAAATTTAACGAAATGGTAGATATTGTTTATTAAAACGATCTGGATTTCGATGCAGCCTGCGAATATATATTGTTAAGTATATATTGTATCAATGAGAGTTTACAATTTAGTAGTTGTTAGCGGTGATGGTTGGTTATTGAATATGCCATTTGATGGAATAAATGTTGAAACATAAAACATAACTGGCTTTTTTGATTGCTCTCACTGTCCAAGCTACTTTCCACCCCAGATCACAAATGACTTTTGTGGCATTTGCAGAACTTGTTTAATTTGCACTCATACGAGTCAAAGTATATTAACAAACGGAGCATCGCTGTATATTTCTGTATAAAATGCGATAACGGTCAGAGTTAGTTTTTATTTGCTAGACTTTCGACAATTTCGGAACTTGTTTCGGTTTCTATTTCAGTATCCCTTCTGAGAAAATGCAACCTGTCCATCAACTTTCTGTCTCTGCATAAACAAAAGGAATATATATACAGGTACAAATGTTTGTGTATAATTTAATCAGCATAAGAAAACATAGCTTTCATCTATTTCGAATATTGGTTTGGGGAAGATTCCAAATGAAATGCATCTGATAATTTAGCCAGCTTTTGCTATAGCAAAATAAAACTCACCTACTCCCACTCCTACCTCTTATTCGTACGAGTATTTACACATGTCGTAGAACATAGGAACATTGTTAACAAGCCAACTAATTAAGTTGCCATTGACTGGTGCTAGTGACGAAAGGCAAACAATTGTGGGCGGTGGCTAATTGTTGTTGACACTTTTTGTTGTTCGCGGAGTTTTTTATAAAGGTGTTCGCAGAGGAAGACTGGAAGCGGCAGCGGGTTCTGCTTCTGCTTCTGCCCTTTGTTGGCAAACGATTTCCGTTTGCCATTTGTCGCAACTCTTTGGCTCTGTCTGGTTAGCCAGATGGCCAAATTCGTCTTGGGCCCAAGTCAATTCAATGGACAGTCTGTCTGTTAATGTTATGAGACGTCCAACGGTACAGTTAGCCATAAACCATTACGGGTGCAAAATGAATTTGTTAGCCAACGCGATTTGCCACCATGATCCGCTGCAGTTGTCTCTGTCTTGATGTCTCTTATGCAATCCTTAATTAAGGCGAAGCTACGTACTGGATGCCCAACTGAGATGAGGAAAGACCATAGAAAGGCAACAGCAAAGGCAACGGCAGTTGCAACTGTGCCAAGCATAAAAAATGGCAAACAATTATGTCAAATCTGTTTTTATGCGAAATGCTTTTCCTCTGCAGTTTTCTTTGCTTTCTTCGCACACGCAAACGCAATCAAGTCATGCGAAACGATGGACACGTAATCGAATTTAAGCTGCTGCTGCTGCTGCTGCTGCTGCAGTACGGAAAGTTCAGTTTCAGTTTCACTGCCAACATATCTCCTCGGGGTGAATCTGCACCTGCATCTGTATCTGTATCTGCGGCTGTGCCAGTATGTGCGAGTGCATCTTCTGGCATCTGCACGCTCGCGTACGTGGCATGGCACACACTCATTTGGTTATCGCTATTCGATTAACTCACCCGAGTAGTCGCTGGGCGCCACATTGCAGCAGGTAGGCACCGCCGACGAGGCCCACCACCGAGGTGAGGCCGAGCAGCAGGTTGGCGGCTCCGGGACGATAAAATGGCAGCTCCATGAGGCGTATGTAGGGGCGTATCAAACGCTTGCAGCACTGCGGAGGTGACATTGAGTTCGATAGCGGTAATTGCAATGATTTTGCATCGAAGCACACACACGCACACGCACACGCACACAGGAAGACCCCTCTCCCACTTTATAGTCCCACTCAACGGTTAAACAAAACTAAAGCAGTGAAATGGCCAGCATGTGTACATACAACTATCGCAAATACTTTTGGATTATCAGAGCAGAGCAGAAGTTCTCCTCCAAGTACTTAACGTACTCGCTTGGTTTTGCCCGTGTCCGGCTCTCGTTTTATTTGTTTTGGCCGCATACTCATACCTTGGCCTCAGGCAGGAGCCTTATCAGAAAGTTTATTTATCAAGATTTATACGTGACGGAGTACCCTTCGTGAGGTATTTGAGTTACGAGTAATATTTAGTGTGGTCTTGTCTGTTACTTGAATGAAAAATTAAAGTACGATTGCAGCACTTTGGAAACTGAAAGCAAACTTTTTGTTAATCTAATCAAGCATTGATTAAAGCTGCAATAGCTCAAAGTTCCAATCTCTTTCTATGTATAGAATTTATTCACTTTGTGTAGGAAAGGAAACACGATTGGGCGTTTATTTATTTACTTAATTATTATTTTTTCTTTGTGTTTTTTTTTTGCACACTGCGATTATCACCAATTAAAGTTGATAAATGTATGCGAAAGATGCTGCCAAAGACAAGAGAAGACTCTTATCGACTATATTTCTGGTAAAAGAATTTCTGATCTCTGAGATCACTGGTGGGTTGCATAACTTCCTGGGGGGCTCTTGGGGTTTTGGTTTGCATTATTCATTTTGTTTGCTGTGTGTGTGTGTCTTCAAAACAAAAGATTCTTTATTGGTTGTGTAATTCACTTCACTTGGCATCAAATTATGCGATTTTTCTACACTTTTATTGGTTATGACTTCACTTAAGCAGACTTCACTGGGGAATATCTGGATAAATAATTACCACACAATTTTGAGGGTTTTCTTCGCGTTTGTTTCGCCACGATTACAATCAATCACTTTTGGGCGAAATATTGTTGTTTTCGGTACGTGATTCTTTCGAGGTGTTTGCCACATTGCCACTCGCTAATTGCCAGCCAGCCAGCACATCACTCCACCTCCACTCCTCTCCGGCAGTCAGTCGGTTCCCGCCAAGCACAATCTCAGCCCGAAACAAACATAAATCCTAAAGGCATGGCATGACGCACTACAGATATAACCGAACCAGACTGATTAAGATCACGAGGCCCGAACTGAACTAAGGGCTCCTCCACTTCCAATGGAAACGATCTTCAAGTTAACGATTGACTCCGACTGGGAATGCGAATGCGACTGCGACTGGAGCGGCGCGACTGGATCGGCGACAGGTTTGTTTTAGCCAAGTTTTATTTGAATTGTTTACTTTCCGTTGGCACATATGTAGTATAACCGTAATATATATAAGTGGGGGATATTATACTGAATTTTGTTTGCCCATTTCGTTATTGCGGTTCGCTATATAAGCCTTTTGTTGATTTGATAAGAGCTCCACTGGCGGACAACGATAAATACATATATATATATACATATGTATATCTGTATCTGTTTCTGTATCTGTATATAGTCATAAAGGTAACGAAATTCGCAGATAAGTGCCAAGACAATTTCCGCGGTTATATCACATATGTATATACGTAGACTCCGAATAGTTGTTGTTGTATTTGTAATCTTATATGTGACAATTCTTTGGCATAATATTATTTATACGATTTATAGCTCGGTTTTTTTTGGTTTGTTTATTTTTCTGGATTTTATGTGCGTTTTCTGGCGAGTAACCGAAATGGAACTGGCCGCAATTGCGGACACTGGCTGGGGCCAACAGCTTTGCTGTTGGTCACGCAAGAAGAGGGGGGCACGAAAATCCCCTCTAAGAAAGGGCGACAAATAGACAGAAAGCCCAGTCCGGAATAGATTCATATTCTTTGTACAATGAATGGCCTTATGCAAATGCAAATGCCACTGCCACTGCAGCTGTGGTATGGAATGCTTCGGCAGCCGCCAGTCACATGTCCGAGACGGCTAATGACCAGAGTTTGGCCCAAAGAAAATATCTGAAATCGATTGGCCCCGCCATTGGCCATGCAAAAGCCTACGGCAATTAATTGGCATTAATCAAATTAATTATGAAACACTCGATAAGATTGCGGCTCCACTCCACTCCACAGAGGCAGGGAGAAGCGCGTTGGAAAGCGAAACAAACATGGAACGTGTCGGGTCTTTGGTCTAGGCCTACCTACGACTGTTGGATACCCTAAAATTAGTTAACTTCAAGATATATACATCTGTGTATATTGGGAAATGGATTCCCGGGAGACTCGCAAAGATTACTCAGAGGTTTTCATTTTATTCCATGGATACTTCTAAATATATGCAATAAATAAATAAAGTGGTCTCCATTTTTATTCCGATGGAACTTCCCAACCCATTTGTGGTTCGCTCTTTTAATGGCAAACTCATTTCATTGCTACTCGTACTCTCGTAATAGTTGCATGGGAATCGTTTCGTTTATGGGGCAGCTGCCACAGTTGACTCCGTTGCCAGAAGCTGACTCAGCCTCAGACTCAGCTTGTCTTTGGCAATCATCAAAACAGATTCCCAGAAACAGAAAAGCTTTCAAGATTCCGCCCAAGTGCTCACTGACTCCGAGTTCTGGCTGAAAGATTCACTGACTGCGCCATGAGATTTTGTCATTATTTTCATTTTGAGGTCGGCAAATTTTGCATAAATTGATATCCGTCGCTTGCACCGCAGATGCATGCAACAAATGGTCGCAGATTGTGGGCAATGAGCCAGTCACTCACTCGCAGCGAAGCGCACCCAACCCAACCCAAGCCGAGCCGAGCCCCAACTCAACTGCAGCTGCTTCCGTTCTGGTTCTCGTACTCGTACTCACCTTAATCTATCGCGCAGCAGCCTGTGGGTGGAATGGTCCCGCTGCAGCACCTGGAGGATGCGCTGGCACTGCTGCAGCCGCTGGCGCCGCCTCAGCGTCGGCGTCTCCACCTCCAGCACGGCAATGCCACTGTCCACGCTGCCGTTCAACAGCCGCTGGACAGGACTGCTCTCGGGGCTGTTGCTTTCTGGAGATTCAGCTGCCATTTGTACGCCTGTTGTTCGTTGGTGGTTGGGTTTTTGATTTTCCGTAGTGATTTTCTCGCACTTTTCACAGTCACTAAGCCATTTCCGCACTCACGCCACACGCACTCTCATGGGATTGGATTGGGTTGGGATGGGATGGGATGCACGGGTATCGTATCTCATTCTTTGCATTTGTCGCGCACATGAAACACTTTTGCCAAAAACAAATTCCGCTTCGTTTCGTTTGTTATTTTTGCAGTCGCTTGTTGCTTTTTGTTTTTTGTTTTCGTTGGGTTAATTACGCGCCAGATGCCGCCATTGTTTTGCCCCTGGGACCACCGGGCCCCAACTGCCTTTGACTTGGGCTCCAAAACACGAAAAACGCTGCTTATGGAGCAGCTTATCAGGTGCCGCCGCGATACACAAATTCAAGACTTGTCATCAGAGGCGGTGCGGTGCGGTGGGGGAGGACTGTGTGTGCCTGGGAGCGCTCCGTTTCGTACTGCAATCAAAGGAATTTCGGTTTATTTTTACGGCGAGAAACCCATAAACAAATTTCAGCTGAAGATAACGAATTTCTCGTCCCCAGATAACAAGATTCAGATCCGCTGGGCCGCCCCATCATCCCCAAACCAAAGGCGGCCCTGACGTCACTATTTTCGTTTGCTGTGCGTTGGTCTGGGACAGATATATATATGTCTCTCTCTCTCTCTCTCTGTGTCAGTCTGTGCTGAATGCTGCTGCACCCCATGCAATATGCATTTTCCAGCTTTATTCGGCCGCACGCCCAAATATGTAAATTGCCAGCAACTGGACGGGTCACGTACTATATTTGGGCCAATTAATTTTTAATTTATTAATACGTTGAGTGCATCGATTTGGGCCATGGGAGAGAGTGATTGCCACCAATGCTAAGGAATTCGATAAGCGAAACTCAACGGCGACTAACAGCTCATCCATGGATGATCTTGGGCTATGGATCGAGTGGCGTGGCCAGCCAGCCATTCATCTTCGACAGCATCAGCAACTTCTATCAACTCAACCTGACGCGTGTGTGTGTGTTAAATTATTTGGCAAAGCCCCCAGGCAAAAATCCCACAAAATTCGAAAAAGAGAAATTCTTGGGCAGCTCGGGCAGTCAAGCTCGGGGATTGTTGGCCACTTAAATGGATGACATGAAACGCTGACTGTGGACAGACCGACAAACAGAGAGACAAACAGACGAGACCGAGACCGAACCGAACCGAACCGAGAAACAAGATGATTACGATGATTCCGTATCGCATTTCGGCCCAGCTGACGACGGCGCACTTGTTGTTCACTGTCCACCAGCAGCAGCAGGCAGCAGCAGGCAGCAAAAGTTGTCTTGGCCATAGAAATTTCGTTGTGGTGAAAACGCTTAAAATGTTGAAATTCTCTGAATGGGATTTAGCTGCGGATTTGGTCAAACGGAAGGGGGGCATGGGATGGGATGGATAACTTTGGTACGTGCAACAACATGATATGCATTTTTCAAACAATGCAGCAATTATAAATGCATTTGGCCCGGACAAGTTGCCACACATCTCCCCGCTCTAAAGCCGATTCCCAATCCCAATCCGAATCCAAGTCCGAAATCCGAAATCCGTTTTGCATATCATTTTCTGTCGGCTGCAGTTTGAGGTTGGTTGAGGTTGGTCAACTGAAATTGATTTCGAATCCAAGTGCATTGCTCAATGCTACAGTGTTACCTCCATCTATCTCTATCTCTCTCTCTCTCTCTCTGCGGCGTCTATGTGTATCCGTGAGATAGTTTTGTGCAATTTTCACACAATTGTTTGCCGCAGTCGCATGGCATGTCGAATTAAGTTGTTACAGTAACTAATCTGCTGACTAATTAAACAACAATTTCGAATGCAATTGGGTCGCCGGCAAATGGGTCACCGTCACCCCTTCCGGAGAGAACTACTCTCAAGACTCTCAAAGGAGTCACTCAACTCAATTAATTATGACTGCATTTTTTCCTGTGCAAATATTTGCCACATGATTGATGTGATGTGAGATGTGGCTGTGGCTGTGGCACCCAACGAGATGGGGGCTTGCCGTAGGCCCACAGCAGTCAGTGTCTGTCTTCCGAGCTATCAATGTGACTTTTACTAACGGTTTCACACTCTTTGCCAGCATTAATTGCCGCTGCTGGTGGCACCACCACCACAACACATACATACACATGTATGTACTTGCATACAGACAAGGGGCAGAGCCGCAGGGCGCAGCCGCAACTCAACTGCCGATTCATTGGGAAATTAGTCAAAGCCATTCCATGCCAATGATGCGTTGCTTAAAGTTTCTTTTTATGTGTACGAATGTATATGTACCCTTCCAGAGTGTGCTTGGATGTTGACTGGCAGCGTGGAGATATGAACCACTGTACATAGTACGTTTAATCTCTCCCACAGGGTTCCTATTAATTGCTTATTGCTGATTGATCCGCAAGAGTATTACAAACTTCGGCCCTTACTTTCTTGTATCTTTATTGTGGTTTCCATTTCCCCCTTTTCACCTCTCGGAATTCCCACTGTGCTGCTGCAGCAAAAACACCAACAAGCTGCTTAAACGAACGGAAGTTGGCCCCACAGACGGCCACAGTCGCTGCTGCTTTAATACTGTTAACTGATGCTGTCCGATTGGTTTTGGTTATCTGTCTTTTCTTCCTCCTCCTGCTTCCTCTTCAGCGTTGTTGCTCGGCCTTTGTTCGTTTTCAATTTACGGGTGAAATGGCTTTTTTTTCCTCTGTAAAAGTTGTTTTCACAGCCATGGCTAACAAGAAAATAATGTGAAAAAAGTCCAAGCACACACTCAAAAATCAATGGAAATGATTGAGTTCCAGCGGAAGTGCACGGGTTGAGCAAACTGTTGCCATTTCTCACACTCGCACGGACCAACGGACTCCAGTCTGAGTCTGTGTGTCCGGGCACTCGTTTTTCGCTGCTGTGCAAAGGTTTTCAATGCTAAGCAAACGGCATTTTCGACTGACATTGACACCTGTCCGTCCGCCCTTTCAGCCGTCACCCATGCCACCGGAGCCCTCCCCACTGGCTCAGAGCCAAGCTAGCGCATGAGTCGCATGTTTCTCTCGCCGCTTTGGGCATATCGCACGCTCCAGTGACCCACTAGGAGTGCACGGCGATCACAGCACACACACAGGCACAGCCACAGACACAGAACACACAAACAGTTTTAGTTTTCAGTTTTGGGACAAGGCTTGGGGCTGCCTGCCTGCCCTATGGCCGCCTGCTGCCCTTCACAGTTTTCGCTTCAACGACTCCGGCCTCTGCTCGGCTGCGATGCTGTGATGCTGTTGCTGCTGTTGCTGCGCAGCCCGCTTAGTTAACTTATCGGCCGCCGTGCTACGCGACACTCTGTCGTACATACTTAGTAGGCACTACAAAAGAGTTGCAGTGTAGTTGTTTTATCAAAGCGCACCACGCGACGCAAAGGTTGAAACGCGAATGCCGTGAGTGGGTAGCCGGAGCTGGAGCCTCAGGTATGAGTCGGGCTTTGCGTTGCTCCCGCTCTCACTCACTCTCTTTCAGCCGCTATCTTTCTCTCTGTGTGCGACTGCCTGCTCGCTCTCTCTCTCTCTCTCTCTCTCGTCTATTGTTGTTGTTCAACAGCTGGCAAGGTAAGCGAACACAAATTTAGCGGCAAACTTTTGTTCTGTTCTGCACTCTGGTGTACCTGACCGAAGTTAGGGGGTAAAACATGTTCTAGGGGGTAGGGTAGGGGTGGCGTTGCCAAACGAGTTCCGTTCCCCCGTTCCCCGTTCAAGTTAAAATTGAGTTTTGGCTTTGGGATGATCGGAACGGGTCCAGGGCATGGAAAGTGCGACTCTTTTTCGCTCACTAGGCCATTTGCATAGCACCAATTCTTGTCACAAGTACTTATCTGCTTTCTTCCTCTTTGTTTCCTCTTTTGCAAGCGCTCGCTCTCCCACTCTCTATGCCTTCCTCTTTGAAACTTTTCCACTTAGCGCGTCGTCCGTCGTGTGCTAAAACGTTAATTTGTATGCATAAGGAAGCAATTGAAGATGGGAGATGTGAGATGGCACAGCAGAGAGAAGGAGTGACTGCAAGTGGCTGGGCGGGGGGCAGTGGAATCGGGAGACTGACCACTCGCCACTGGAAGAGCCGAGACTGACAGGGGGATATTCGGTTACACAAGTTCAGTTAGAAAGAAGCCTCGCGCGAAAGTAGTGACAGCAATAGTAGACAAGCTATAAATAGTTTATGCTCCGGCCAGGCAAGACGTGAAATACCCTACCTACATCTAGTAATAGTGGCCAAGACACAGAGAGAGAGAGAGAGAGAGAGTAGCAGTCGGACTTTGTTTATTGCCTCGCTTTGACCCAGCACAGAGCCGCGCCGCCTGGTGGTTTGGCTGGGAGTAGGAAGCGTTTAACTACCTTTGAGAGACATCCGATACGAGTACAGACAGACAGACAGAGCCCCAGACAGAGCTTTGTCGGAGTTTGTGTTTTTTTCTCGTTTTCTTTTCGTTTTGTGTACGCCTCACGCCACTCCATCCACCCCGCCCAACAGCACATTGCACCTGATCCACTCACTCGACTCGGCCTCACCTACGAAAAAGGTAAACAGAACTAGAAACTTAGTTCTAGTTAGATTTTCGGCATTTCAGTGTTGCTCTTACAATCACTGTACAGATGGTATTATAGTATTCATTCGTAGTAGATATACATATTTATGTATTTATCTTCTTCTGTACAAACAAACGATCTGATTAGGTATGGTATGAAAAGCTTCCTTCGTCGCTAAAGATAGAAAGAACAGATTATGACTATCCAAAATCTTCCAGCATACAGCAAGAATAACCATCAATGAAATGAACGAATGGAGAGAAAGAAGAGAGTGCACTAAACAATTCGCACATACATACATACATATGTGTGTCTGTATGTGTATATAAACCGCTGTTGTTTATGGCCAAAACGTGGGACAAATCTACCAAATCAAAGAGTTTCCATTCAGGGCCAATAAAATACGCTGGCGCCCCGAATATTGGACGGGACGGTGAAAGCATTTCATCAGCCGCACAGCCACTTTCGATGACCAGACAATTTCAATTTAATTCGTTTGCATAAATCAAATTAATGACTTATGCTTGGCCTTATTGGCGGGCCTGAGAATCGACTTAATGAGCGTAAATGTTTGCTTTTATTCTTCGATATATTACCATATTTAAAAACAAATATTTAAAAGGTAATTAAACCTTAAGGTGTACTTTTAGTGTACTTTTAAGTACACTAATGATTATTTTTAGATTTACCAACTAATTTGAGTTTATTAATTTGTTTAGCAAAGATGAAGTCCTGCCACAGGCGAAAAGTTTATTGCCGTAGAGCAAAAGTTTCGACTTGAAAATAAACTTCACAAATAGCCGCAACAAGTGGGGGCTATGGAACTTCGGACACGGCACACCCTGTGCCACTGTGCCACTCAGCCACTGAGAACTGAATGTGGAGAAACATGTGACATCTTTTAGGCTGATCCAATTTGTGACCGAGGAAATTGTGTTTCAAAGGTAATTTTGGGAGGGACGAGCAGGCACTTGACACTATCAACAGCATTTGAAATATTCATTATGTTCAGATGGGGCTCCTCCGCGAGGGAAGAAGGAAGGCAGCCGCCTGGTTGTTTGTACCTGCGCACTGGGGGCACAGCAGCTGAGAGCAGGCAGGCCTCGTTCCTGTACATCAGCATCCACAGCATCAGCATCCAACACAGCTGATGGCGGGGTGTGGAATCCAAGCCTGGCGTATAAAACGGACAGAGGCAATGGCATTTACTGTACTCTTTCCAAGGGTTGGCAACGAGCGAAGCCAAGCAGCGGAGCAGCAGCAGCAAAAAAGGGAAACGAGGGAACGCTTTGCGAGTCCTGTGCAAACAAACATTCAGACCGTGAATACCAAGTACACGTGGGTTCATCCAGAAAGTTGTGGTGTGGCACAGCCAAACGAGTCCAAGTGCAGTGAAATGTCCATATCGTAATCCTTCTCCTTTTCCCATCCTCCTCCCCAGAAGCATTCTAATAGAAGTTCCGTTTCGCCTTTTGTTTCCATTCGAAAACTCCAACGACGCACACAACTGCCACGCTACGCGTTTTAGCGCGCAAACGGAACATCCTGGCTGGGTCCTGCACGGAGTGTGACGGAGTGACACAGTGACGAAGTGACTGAGGGTAAGTGCTAGTGTATTCGCCTCATTTGATTGCAATTAAAAGAAATTGCTTTAATTGCGAGTTGCCAAGTGCTCGGACGAGTGGAGGTCGCCTCTGCTTGTCTGATTGTGTGTTGCAGCCTTGCACACGTACTCGTACTATTCTGTTAGGTGGTCTGGTGGCATCAACAAGCTGCCACCGCATCGGAGGCAGCTGAGGCACGGCACAGATGCTGAGCGAGGCAAAGATGTGAACGTGCCAGAGGAATAAACAAAACAAAATTTAAGTGAAACTAAAATCCATAAATTGATTTTTCCGCATGCATCCGAGCAGGACAACAGACAGAAGGTTTGCCCGTTATCCGGGTCCAGGTGTCTCCTCTTTTTATTTGCGCCCAAGCAGCAGGCATTATTACCAAATCCGGTTCCAAGCCCCACAGCCAGAAGGCGCGCCAAGCAAAGCTAGACCAGACAATGCCAAAACACAGACACAGACAGAGCCAGCGGTTTCTTTTTCTCTCTCGCTCCCAATCAACGCTCCCAGTCGCCCAGTATCTCTCTCACTTACCCGCTTCCTGCTACGGGCTTGCCGTGCAGCTGCCACGCCACTCACCGCCTGAATCCAAAGCTCGACCACACACCAACCATCATCCGACGGCAGAGATGTGTGCGAGAGCAGCGTTGAATGTGTCCGTGTCTGGCTGGGCTGGCAGCAGCCCTCTTCCAAGTTCCAAGTGTGGGCCCGTCTGTGTCTCTGAGCGTGTGACGCAATGTTTGGAGGTTTTTGAACTGAAGCACTCTCTCACACACACACACAAGCGCACACAAGCGACACACACACCCAAACGAAAGCGTCAAGCGTTTGGAATGCTTAAACGCCTGAAAGTGTGGAAGGTCTTCAATCTCCATCGCCACTGAAATCCGTATTGCCCAGGGCCACTTATTCTCCCCTTTAATCAGTGAGGAGTGTGGATTTGAATTTAAGGTTGAGATATGCAGAATACTTAGCATTTGAAATGATGCCTTCTCTCGTTCATTGATTAATATGCGGTTGTCTTCGATGTCCATTTCACTCTGAATAAAAATCGGTGAGCCCCAGTTAAGTTCGGTTCGAGTAAAACATCATTTAAATGTCTCGAATCCCACAAATTAAGCAGATCAGCACCGCAAGCTGGAGCAGAACTGTATACAAACTTAAAGCTCCTTAATAGCCCATTGATTTAGCCGAACAGCAACCATAGCCATAGATAATCCCCAAACTAAGCCTTATACCCATGAGTGCCTCCTGTCATCGTTTATTTTTATTTACCCATTTTCTCTTCCAAAATATTCTAAGATGAGCTGCAACTGAGGCCCGAACCCCATAATTACCCAAGCATTTCCATTGAATGCTAAAACATAAATTTAATTTATCACTCGCCACAGCAGACCACAAACTGTTTTCGAATAGGTCAATTGACACTTTTTCTGGGGGCACGGCTCACAGATACGAGAATACAGGTGACCAAAGTGTGGGCGAAACTTTTCGACACGTAATTGAGTTCACAAGAGCTGCGGTATAAGCGCAGTCATGCAATTTTTAAGGACTATTGGCAACCGTGCACAGTGCAACTGTGACTGCAACTGTGACTGGGGTCAACGTTATTGATTGGGTTGTTGGCCAGAAAGTAGGGCACTTCCTGGTGGCAGCACAAATGAATTCTAAACTTGCCATTTGACCACAAAATGCACTTTCAGAGAATGCTCTCAAGAGCAGCATTAATTATGACAAGCCAGATACTTCGATACCAGTCCACATCCAAGCGTGTACACGGCATCCAGGTCAATAAATAAGACTCCGACCGGAAATTAGCGAGCAAAACATAAATAGCAAAGGAAACACGACAGTTCGCTTGGGAAGAGAACGGAAGGATGAGAATAAACTGTGTAAAATGTCAAATGCAGAGTGAAAAATGAGCCAAAAGAGGAAATTGGCAAAAAAAAATAAATAAAAAAATGGTCTACTGCCATTGAAGTTAATTGCAGATGTCCAATTAGGAAGCTGACAAGGCATTGGTGGTTGTCCAGGAGCGGAAGCAGTCTTTGATGCAATTAAAAACGCATCTGAATACAGAGAGCTGAACAAAACTGCAAACTAATCTCAGATTTGGCCAACTGGCACTGGCTCTGCTGCAGAATTGCATAATTGAGGCGCCTCCCTCCAGCCCCTAAGAAGCCGCAGCATGTGGCGAAGGCAGAAAAAAAAGGGTACAAGACCTGCGCCAGCAGCTGCTGCTGCTGGCAGAAACTTTTCCGCTGATAATTCGGAAATTTGTGGTGCGCTCAGAAGTATGCTACACATTTTTAGGGAAGTGGAAAAGCTCTTCCTGTCTGCGCGACTGTGTGTGTGTGGGTGTCTGTATTCTCTTTGAGGCAAACTTCAGCAATAAAATACAATTTATGGTAATTTATCTAGCTTAAGCAAGAGCCCTACCCCTCATCAATGGCACAAATTTTTTAATTAATAAATAAATGTTGCGGAAATTTTATCGCATTCAGAGGAGCAGAGCGGACAGAGGCGGCCTGTGAATGCAGGAGACACACACAAAGTATATAATTACGCGATTTGCTAGGGATTAAAGCGGGCTTGACAAATGCCCCAGCCAGCCCCTCACCCCTCTGGCCTAAAGCAGTCATTAATGAGCCGCCTAACGGTAGGCCACAAAGCAGAGAGCATGGGCGATGAAGAGACACTAACACAAAGAGCAAGAATCCCACTTAAATGCACACACACACAAATCCGAGTGGAAGCTTAATATTTCCCGCTGATTATTCCTCCACTTGTACTTCTGAGCGGGGGAAATATTCATAACTGCCCGGAGCCATGGCAACCACCCACCCCACCCCACCCCATCTCATTTAACTTGATTTACAGCCCAGTTTGATGAGCTTGGCCACAAATGGCCAAAGGTGTTGAGTCCGTTCACGCAAATTGTTTGTATAAATATTTCCCTTTACGTGGCTCAGACCTCTCCTACTGCTACGGCTGCTGCTGGCTGCGGGTCTCCTAATTGGGGCCGGACTCAGCGCGAGAATTGCGAGAATTCGCTTCTAAGTCCGCTGGACATTTGTTTGCTACAAATTGCATTTCAAATTCAGGCGCCGGCTAAAGTGAAATCAAGACAAAAGCATTGCCACTGCTCAAATGCAACCGTTCCTAACTCCCGGACAGCAAGAGTGAATGGGAAATGTGGCAATCTGCCCTCGGGCTTAGCTTTGCACGCGGCACGAGTTGTTGCACAAGGGGGAACGGAAAGGAACGGCTGGAGGTGCAGTGGGTGTCAGAGCATGCGGGCATTAAAAGGATTACGACTGGATGGCGCACTGAGAATCAATTAGCAGCGTATACGGTAGTTGATTTCGATGGCTTACCGCTGCGCATCGTCTCAACAACGGGCTAACAAGCGAAACAAAGAGTGGCCCGACTTTGACCTACAGACAGTGGCCTCTTAGATGGTCACACAACCAATTGCCTGGTGTATCTTTTGCCATGCATCCAAGCGGAAAGCGAAAAATATATTGATTCTAAGGTTTAGTAGGAATCGAAAGACTTTCGTTTTCTCTTGCTCTGCCACAGTCTTCCACAGTTCTCTCTGCTCCATAATACCATTTAAAAAGGTTACTGGTATCTTATCGGCGATAGTGGTGTTTTCTAGCTATGTACATATGTAATTCCCCTTCAGTAAATCATCTGAAAGATAATTACAAATACGAGTATCATTGATTTAACGATTACAGCTCTTGCGGTTGCATATTAGATTGCATTACTCACTGAGTGATGTACGATACAGGTAGAGGCCCCGAAGCTGGTCGTTAATTGTCTGTATAACTGGGAACTTTGTTACCTTGCATAATAGCTAACTATTTAACATAGCTTTGGCAGTCGCGACAATATACTACCTGGTAGACAGAGCTTACATATGCAATCTAATGCATTTAATTTACACAATTAGAATCTCGATTAATCCGCCAAGAAGCTCCAAGATGGACAGACGGACATAGCCATATCGATTCAAGAAAATATGTACATAGTACTCTATGGGTTATGGCTGGTACATTTGGATATCAACACGAATTTAATATACCCCGGTACTCTTTGAGTGCCGGATATAATGAAGGCAACGAGACGTGACCACGACCACTCTAGATGACAGGGAATTACTTGATCAACAACAAAAACCAACCGATCATGGGGGTTTACGGAGTCACAAACTGGTTGCCATCGCATAATAATAGTAATACTAATCTACCCATAATACCTACAATAATCAGTCTAATGTCATGTTAAAAGCTTATCAGCGCTCGAATTAAGTTGTTATTATCGGGGCTACAAATACTCGTCCAAAGTTTGAAAATCGCGCGACCATTTCGCATTTCCCAGAACAGAATGACAATGTACAAAACGGAGATAAGTCTGGAATGGAACGAGAGAGAGCACTTGAAACAAATGAAAGTACGTGTACGCTCGACCAGCCACCGCCTCCCCTCCCCCCTGGCACAGCTGGCCCAATTCACATTCCCTGGCGGTGTCTGCGCTAACATTTGCATTATAAATAATAAAACATAATAATTTGCCTTAATCGAATAATGACCCCCAGCCAGCCAGCCAGCCAGCCAGCCAGCCATCCAGTCGACATTGCGAAGATGATGTGGCGGTGGCGTCGCCAGCACGCTGTGAGCCCTGCCAGACCGTACTCGGGACAGGGAAGTGCAAGTGGAAGTTCCCGCAGGCAAATTATTCAATAAACAAATCACAAAACAAAAAAAAAACCCAGAGAGTAGCGTAAATCAAATATGAAGAGAATGAGTGCCAAAGGAGAGCAGGCGACAAGAGAGAGAGAGCGGCGGCGCAACCCAAACACACGTGCTGCAGTCGCTGCCAGGAAAAGGTGGGTGATAGGGAAGTGTGATAAAGGCGGGGTCAGGGCAGAGCAGAGTAAAAGTTGCATTTCAAACGAACTGAGAATGCAATAATGTGAGAGTACAGTGAGGAGAAAGTACAGAGAACGGCCTAACATTGCTCTGCCCTTAGACTGCTGTCAGACATTAAAAATACCCTGACAATTAATTCTCTAATAACTCTGTGACTCTGCATTTGCATTCTGTACTAATTTGAGCATAATTCCCCTAAGCGAGAGCTCACTGTATGCTGATTCATGACAACTGGACTTTTTCCAAGAGCGGTCCGGTCTCGGTCTCGGTCTCTCACAGCAGATATGATGAGTCCAAGCGTCGATCCCAACAGTGCTCGAATAAAGTTATGCAACCGAAAAGTGTAACTTAAAATTCGTGCAATGCCCAACTGCTGCGTCGTAAACTTGTTTTTTATTTTTGTCACCCGTACGATTTGTGATAATTTATGGAGCAGATAAATCGCAAGTTCCGACTTCGGAGTACCCTCGATTGAGATGATATCAGGGCTCACTCCAGAGTGCCGTGCCACTTCAAGGGGTCTGACGCAATACACCGCAGTCCATTCCCATCACTGTTCGTTCTCCAAGCGCCCACTGTGCAGGGCCCCAGCCGCGCTCGAAGTGAGGGTATTGTGTTTGGTTACTTTAGTTTGCAGCGGTTGGTCGGTCTGCGCTGCCATCGAATCAGCTGTTTACAGCAATAACGGCAAATACAAACAGCGGCGGAGAACCGAAAGCATTTTGCAAATCAACATTGCTTTTTATGACGAGAGTTGAGCGCTTGTCGGATTCCGTTTCAGTGCCGCTTTGTCCGTTCGCGATTGCGTTCTCAATACTACGTCTCGTCTCGTCTCGTCTTGTCTCCCCCCCCCCACCGCCCACCGCCGGCGTTGTGCTCCACCTGTGCCGCCACAGCCGCCTCCGTCACTGTCAGCGCCAACATCGCGGAGTGTGTGTGGAAGTGTGGTCTCACCTTTAGGCCTTCTGGCTTGGCCCGATTTCTCTGGGTTCAGTGCAAGGCTAAATCAAAAATGTACGTAGTGTTATGGTTACGGTTACGATGTTGTGGGAGTAAAGGCAAGTTCCCACCTTCAGCCGGTTTAGTTTGAAGTTTACGGCCATTCGCGCTCGAAGGCATGCCAGGGTCTGGGGTCTAGGGTCTAGGTCTCTCGGCTGTTGGTCTTATCGCTCATCGAGTGCAGTTGGAATACGAATAGTGGCTCCATTTATGATTGCTCATAGTGATAGAGTGGGGGAGTCTTCCCCCACATTTTCGGACTCAAATCAGCTGCAAACAAGATAAATGCGGGTGTTGTGAGAAGACTATGGAGGGGAGAACTTCTTTGCACACAATACGCCACATCGAGGTCATTTCAAGCCAGTAATTATCTCAGTCCACTCCAAGGGCGGCGCAGCCCTGCGATTGTGCGAAACTGAATCTGAATGGGGTAAATGAGGCAAATTGATTTAAACAGACTCATTATCAGTTTTAAAAATAAAATCAATTAGGGTGCACACGCAGCGCAGCGCAGCTCTAAAAATACGCATGGGGATGGACGGCAGTTCCTGACCTAATCCACCAGCCAGCCAGCCAGCCAGTCACCCAACACCCAAAGAGCGATCTAATTAGGCGATATGAAAATGAGGAATGACATTCATTTGGACCATTTGTCAATGGTCACGGCATGCCAAATGGAAAAACAAAAATACATCATTTCCCTTTCGATTTGGCTTATCCAAGTGGAGGCTAATGGAATTAAAAGTGTGCACAGCACGGAATGCATTACGGCCACGTGCCAAACGAGCCAAGTGAAGCAAATATCAGTGAGAATGAGACCAAATCAGCGCAGAACCCAAATCCGACATTCCAATTTGGCAGCGTGCTCAGTGGGTGAAATGCGCTCAATTTATTTACAGGTAGAGATAGAGCCAGAGCCAGAGCCAAAGCCAGAGGCAGAGACAGTCAAAGTCAAAGTCAGCCAGTGATAGATGATTGCATTTCCCAAAGTCGAAAGCCCAAAGCCAAAGCCCAAAGCTGGCGGCAGAGGCGACAGAGGCAGTCCCCCTGAGCAACAAGTGGCCCTGAGGGTAAATGCTGTGCTTAAATTTGATTCAATGACTTGATTTAAGCAATGGATGAGTGAGCGTTCGCAAATTGGAATGTTACAACAGCAGCAGCATCAGCACCCGCAGCAGCAACAAATATGCCACTTGAACCAATGGAAATTTGCGTGTAATAACCATCATCAAAAAGTTAATTAAGTCGTTTTAATGTTGGGTATTACGCGTGTCAGCTCTGACTTTCAAAAGCAAAAAGCAATTTCACTATTAGCAGAAACCAGAACGAACTTTCGCTGCCCTCTACTGGGCAGAATGTTATCATTTATTTAAATGCAAGAATCCTTTGGTATATCCCATGCAAAAGTACAGCTTATTGGCGGGATATTCCCATTTATTTTGCCCCGTAATAGTTTATTGCCCTTGTCGAATGTTAATGATCTTTGTAGAAGTGCCTTTCGCATTGCAATCCGGTTATCCCAATGCGCTGTATTAAGCTGTATTAATAAACACAGAAAAACACGAGAATTTCATGGAATTTCCAAGTTTAGGGTTCATATTTATATTACCTTTTGTGACCACAAACTTATGCATGCTTGGGTTTTGGTTTGAACGTTTTCCGGCTAATGCTTTTACAATAATTGGCCACATTTATGTTATGTTACTTGCAGAGAATCAGAATATCAGCTGAAAGCCACTACGAGTGAGCCGTCTAGAAAGAGAACCACTACACAAGCGAGTAACCAAATAACCGAACCACCACTGCACGTCAACGACACCACCGATCGCAGCTCTAGCTGCCACACAGCACAACCGCCCAAATTGTACAGAAGCCACGCCTCGCACGTAGAGCGACGTCCCATCCCAATCCCAGCAGCACGATGGATCTGAAGCACAGCGGCACTGGAGCGGCTGAGAACACTGATTCCTATATAGCTGCCAGCAATTCCACAGACATGATCACGCCCAAGGAGATGGAGAGTAAGGGGGCCAGTAAGGTGGGAGTGGGCGTGACGGGTACGGGCAACGCTCCGCCAGAAGGTGAGTGGAATATTTCATTGGTTAACCGCTAAATGTATAAGCCATCAAATGAGATAATCCATAAGGCAGAAACTTGTACATATGTATAGTATGTACATATGTACATATGTATGCGGCACCACCACTTTCGGTACACTAACTGCGCCTCAAGGTAGGCAATAGTTTAGTGGATGTGTGGGCTGTGGCTAGGACACTCACACATGCATCAGGGAGGCAGTGCACTGCAGTGCCAGGAGCATGGGCAAAAGCCAACCAAAGCCACAGCCACAGCCACAGCCCCAGCCACACATTCACTTAAGTGCATCCCTCGGTGCATCCAAATGTGGCACTCGTGTGTACATACATGAACAGTGTACACCAAACAAACAAATAAATAAATAAGAAAGACTTCAAAGCGTTTTGTGAGTTTCAATGCCATGCATACCAAAATGCTGTCAGCCAGCCAGCCGGCTAGTGGCATCGACACAAAAGACGCAATGGAAACTGGCACACTGAAGAGAGAATGGCTGCAAATATAAATAGAACCCAAGCGTATATACACACTATCAAAGTGCCTATATCGGATTGTGATTTTATATAAACAATTTGTAGCTGGAAAGCATCTTCGTCAGTCAATTATCACAAGAGGATGGATGTCAGTGGCTGTGGCTTAGAGCTAGTTAAACGGTGAAGAGGGCAGAACAAAATGCTTTACTCCACCAATACACCAGAAAATCCGAACTTTCCTCTAATTAGAAGCTGTTATGCTTTGATTCCTCCTTTTTTTGTAACCCGCGAGAGACGGGACTGCGTTGGTTTGCATGAATACTCGGAATAACTGCTCGGAAAGAGAATTCTATTTAAGTAAGTAGTTGGTGGGGCTGGCAAGTAAGCCATCGTCTTAATGCAGTTAATCCTTTGCGACTGCTGTCTGGGGAGGGAGGGTGGCCGTGCGGTGGCGGCGCTAAGGTGGCCTTGAGCAGGACTGCAGGACTACCATGACTACACCTAAGCTGTTCCAACGAGCATTTCAAGTGGCTTTCACCTGTTTCGCATTCTATTTGCAGGCTACAAAGTCTACGCCCGTCGCTGGGCGGTGCTCATTCTCTTTGTGTTCTATTCAGCCTCGAATGCCATGCAATGGATACAATACACCATCATCAACAACATAATCACACGGTAAGAAAGGGCTACTGGGTACTGGAAATGGCAGTGTACGAGAGCGGCACGAGGCAGCAACGAACAAGGCTTGGTGCATCGTATCTAATTTAAAGTTTTCATAAAGCTCATTAAGCAGCTTGACTGTTGCTGCTGCTGCTGCTGCTGCTGCTGCTGCGGGGGGCCGTTACCAAAGCTTAATGAATTCAAAGAATTTGCTCCTCGCTATGGCCAATCGAGCCCCATCAACATGCAGCGCCCTCCCCCATGCAGTCCCACGTCCAGTCAAGTGCGGTTTTGCCACGAATTTGCATTCTAATCGTGGCTCCTCTTTGTTCCGCAGCTACTATGGCATTAGCGATAAATGGGTGGACTGGACATCCATGATTTATATGATCCTGTATATACCGCTCATATTTCCTGGCAGTTGGTTCTTGGACAAAGTGGTAAGTGGGAGCCAGAAGCCGGTAGGCGTGTCTGTCGCCTCGTTCTAATTTCTCTGCCCATTTCTTTGGTTGTCCTTAACAGGGTCTACGTATAACCGCCCTAGTCGGCATCGTTGGGACTTGCATAGGGGCCTGGATAAAGGTCTGTTCGGTGGATCCGTCGCTCTTCTACGTGGGCTTCATTGGCCAGGCGATTGTGGCCTTTGCCCAGGTGTGCATCCTGTCGCTGCCAGCCCGCTTGGCTGCCGTTTGGTTCGGACCCGATCAGTGCTCCTCGGCCACCAGTGTGGGAGTGTTTGGCAATCAGGTAAGTCGCATGCGTATAGGCCATATTGCACTTGCTATTGATGTTCATGGAGTAATCTGCCCTGCGGAATTGCCATGTTAACCAGCGCAAACACATCTCGTACTATTCACTCAGTCTCTGTGACATTGCAGAGGCAGTTACTCAGCCGAAAAATTTGCATTAACACAGAAAAGGCAGCCCATCCGCCCATTCGCAGCTGGCAGATTGATGCCGCAGTAGCAAGTCCTGGCACCGAGCGAGCCTTGCCCACTTCCGGCTAGGCGGATGTGGCTTGCTCAGACAATTTCTGTGGTCCGCTCTGGTTGGCTGGCAATCACAAAATTGCGAAAAACCCAGGGAAAATACGAGGGAACTGCATCACAAGTTAAACAAAACTGACAACGACAAGGTCGTACGCTCCTGCCTTCTTCCACATCAGTGGACATCAGCAGCAGGCCTTGCCCTCGCCACTGCTACCCGCTGCTAATGCATGCGAAAGAGTCTTTTGATTTGCCGCACTGCATCTGCTCGGAGACAAAGTTCAATTTATTCTGCAATGAAAACAAACGGAATGGACTCTTCAAAATTCCTCAATGGCTAAGTGATTGGCAGGACCACGGCGCAAAGAATTCCCGGGAGGGGGGGACAGGAACAAGGACGGGACAGACAAATGAAATGCCAGGGAGGAAGGTGCGATCCAATGATGCATTATGCGGTTGCATCAAATGGACGTCTTGAGTTTGTGGCTGACCAAAGAGTTGACTATTTGATTTCAGTCACTCACTGCACTTGCATAACTCGAACAAGCCGCAAGCCACAAGCCACAAGCAGAGTTTAAGTTAATTACGGAACGAATAGGAAGGAATGGAAAGGAAAGGGTAAGGGTTACGCCCACACAATGGGAAAGGAATAACGATATATGCCAATGGAATGGCATATATTTCCTGTGATTAAGAGGCATTACCAATCTAAATCCAACCCTATAGTAGTACCAACTGCCCATAGTCTTTAACCTTTGCCTGTCGTGTCCTGGCCCAGTCCAACATCAGCTGGATGCTGCTTCTGCTGTGGACATTTTATGGGCTTATAACACCGCAAAACAATTAGCCTGCTTGCTCAGCCATTAGAATGGCATGTCAGGTGAGGTTTCGGGTTGTAGTGAAAGACTGAAAGGTGAGGCAAGCTAATGGGATGGTATGTCAGTGGTTGTTATAGGAGCAGTTTGACCTAAATGTTGATTTACGAGGCAGAGCAGTGTGCAGTCTGCATGCTGCATGGTGCATGCTCTGCCTGGATGCGAGTGCAAATGTGTGGCTCAAACATCGAATGGCATGCTGGCAGGACGCATTGCATCCTAACCTGTAATTGTACATGTGCATGTGCGGGCAGGTGCAGGTGCAGGTGTGTGTGTGAGGATTGTCATATTTGCCTTTCACTCGAGTGCAGATGAAAAGGCGTATAATTTCCGCTTGTTGTTCGCCAGCACACAGCAGCACACAGCAGCCAAGAGGAAGTCACTCTGGGATGTGACAATATGAGACAAGGTGATGATGAGGTGACTGTGTCTGTGTCTGTGGCTGTGTCTGCTCCTGTGACTGTGGCTGTGTCTGCTCCTGTGACTGTGTCTGTGTCTGCTCCTGTGACTGTGTTGATGTGTACCAAGAGCGACGAAGAGAGCACCATGGCAGGGAAGAGTAGGTCAAGTGGCCTGGCTCGACACGACTGAGTTGTATGATAGAGCAATGCAAAGAGCGATGGGGCAGAGCAAGGCTTTAAGTCAGCCGCCAGAGTAATCTCTTGTCGAAAATGCAAGCCAAACTTGTACCCAAAAAAAAACTCGCTCAACGTTCACATAAAGCCAGCGGGGGATGCCATGATAGCCCACATACGGTGTGGCATTGAATGTGCTCGCGTTCTCCTCCTCCTTCATCCTTTGCTCCTCTTGGTTTGCTGAATCGACTCGTCTCCGCCTTATTTGGCAAGGACAACGCGTCACACGCCCCCCCTTCTGCCCTGCACAGGCACTTTCACTGATTCCTGAGCTCCGCTGAGCTCTGCTGCGGCGGATTTGGCAGGGGAAGAGCTTCGGTGGGGGGGTCCCTGGGCTGGGCCAGGCCTGCCATTGTTGCCAGAGTGCTGCGCAAACATAGTTTCTTTTCCTCTATTTTTTTTCGGTGTTTTATTTCTACGTTTTTTACGTAGTTTCTGCAACAACAGCCTGCCGCGCCGTGCGCCGCGTTGAGGCGCATGTAAACACGGCAAAGAGCGAATTCCGTCACCAAGTAGGAAATGTTCTCCAGCGGCCATTTCAGCCGCCGCCGTGAAGCAGCCTGCTGCGACTCATGGTCGCGCGCGATGCTATAGATGCTCTTTCAATTTGCACAAAACCGTTGGGAACGCAGACCGAGACCGAGACCCAGACGGGGACAGGACCCTGAACGAAAGTCTTCAGTCAGCTCAAATATTTATTCTTAATACCATAGAGATAATAAGAGGAGAGGAAGAGGTACAGAGCCGCTTTAAGTCCCACTCGAACATCTTTTCGCGACTCTTTGTAAAAAAGCCAAATAGCAAAACAAAACAGAAGGGAGGGCCGTAGGGATAAGCTCTGGGCCAACCTTGTTTATGGCCCATCTCTCGATTCCATTTATGCAAATTATTGCAATTCTATGAATTTCCTGCTTTTATTGTTTTCAAGATCAGATTTCACTTTTTCCTGGCATAACCGATTTTATTCTGAATCAAATAAAATTATTCATATTTTATTCATATTGTTGTTAACGGTATTGAGGGGAATCGATTCGATTTACTTTCATGGATTTTATATGTTTGTTTTATGTACTTTATGTATGTAAAGATGTAGATGCTTTTATTACTGTCCATTTCCTGGTTTTTTTAGTGTAACAACAAAGGCCGAAAAAAGTGCGACTGATTTTTTCGATTGAATATTCTGTAATTATTACTCATAGATCGAGCTAAAGTTTTCCGGATTCTGGCAAAAAAATTCTTCAATGTCCTATCCTTTTTTAACACTTTATATTTAATTTCTTGGGGATATGGCTGTTGCTGTCATATAACACTTTAGCATAAAATTGTTTATATTAATGTTTTCTAATCAAGGTCAACTCCTAGCAATTAGATGTACTTACACTTACCGATATCTTGCCTGCGTTTCATGCAAATAAAGATGTGAAAGAGCAAAATTGATTCAGTTCAATTGTCCACATATGCATACGTACATGTGTATGTATGTATGTATGTATTGTCTCGCCCTCCTCCAAATCTGACAATGGTCTGTGTAGGCATGACAATAGATTTCACCTTAGGGTGGCAGTAGTGTTCCCACTGCACCTCTGCCCACTGCCTTTGACTTGTGTCCTGTCCTGTCCTGTCTCATTCATGGCTGTGACGGAACAAAAAGTTTTGTGTATTGTTGGCGAGGCCTGGTGCAATAACTGATACTCGCTTTGTTTGTTTTGTGTTGAAATAAAAACAATTGGAATAATACTGAACAAGCAGTATTTAATTTTATTATATTTCGATCTGCAACTAAGGAACCACAGATAAGCCGTAAGAGGATCAATTTATTGAGGAATTTTTCATATGGCCCAAATGCAAGATAAATTATTCAAACATTTCGTTGCTGGATAGTTAAAGTATGGAAAATTCACTGAAATGATTTCGCATGAAAAAGTGCTTTCGGTGGGCCAATTTATTTACCGGACTGTGAAATGTCACTTGGCCTTAAATACGCCAAACTGCCACTAAAACCGATTTATAGCAGGCCAAACAATATCGTAAACAAAAAAAAAACACGAGATGGAACGTTTGAGTCGCTTCTGTAGACGCGACTCTACTTTTATACCTGGACTCAGTCAGTATATAAATTTTTAAGCTTATGATTTATGTAGAATTTGAAAATATTTTACATTTTACATTTTTTTTGGCTACATCAGTTATCTACATCTTCTCTGCGAAAGGTCGCGCATTGCACAGGGCAGAGTGTGTGCGAGCGAGAAAGAGAATGAATAGCGTCAACAGCGCAGGAGGAGGGGGGAGAAGCTACTGAAAATTACTTTCTTTATTCTGGCTATAATAATGATCTGATTCTGACTCGGCAATCTGGTAGATATGGTCATTCTCTCCGATACTGTGTTTTTAGTTTTCTAGTATCTTCAAAATTGTGGCTGCCACTTTTACCACAAATCTAATATACCCCTTAACTCGTTGAGTACGGGTATAAATGTAGTAAGAATGGTACAATCTAGTGTGAGGGCAGTCAGATACTCCCTATCCACCCTAGTCACTTTAATTTTTAAAGTAGGTTAGTCACAGGTTTTGGTTAGTCTCTAAACTAAGTCTGCTTTATCCTCCAGATAAAAAAAACTCAAACGAATACGCTCAAATTATAAGAGCATTTAGCACTGAATATGTTCCTACAAATTCTAGCAAAATCCAGCAGGAATCATCACATCCCTTGACACCCAGTGTTAAAAAAAAATTAAGAAAAAAATTTCAAAAATTGCATAGCTCAACTTTGTGCATGGCGTGTGGAAAAAAGCGGTGCTGTTACAGCAGGATCCCGGACTCGGGCACGACCTAGAGCCCGGCGTGTGCATCCGCGACATAGCGCCACAAAACTTTGACGAAAACAAAAACAGAACAGCAACACACGAGGAAGCGGAAGTAGTAGCAGGGAGAACGGTGGCAAAAGTTCGAATATGCAGCTCCGTATAAATCAATCTCACAGCTCCACCGTAAATAAAACATAGTAGAGATAGAGTAGGGGGTAGGGGGATTATAACGGGAGTGGTGCTGGTTCTGGGTCAGGGACTGTGCTAGGGGCTGGTAGAGAAAGTGAAAGTCCGGAAGGCAGCCAGAAATAGTAGCGGAATCCAAAGCAGAATCGGAAGCGGAAAAAGATTCCGTTTTGAGCGACTTGTACAGTGGGCACTCCATTCATTTCCAGCTGGGCGTGGCAATTGGCTTTGTACTGCCACCGATGCTGGTACCGAACTCCGAGGATCTGGAAACGGTGGGCAAGGATCTGCAGATGATGTTTTACATGGTGGCCGGACTCACCAGCGTGCTGCTCGTCCTGATGGTGCTATGTAAGAGAAACCCTTGAACGGATGGAGGATTGGTAATGGAGGTGAATCCTTTTGTGCTCTTGCAGTCTTCCAGGACAAGCCACCGACCCCGCCGTCGGCGGCCCAGGAGGCTGCCCAGCGGCTAGAGGGTATCGAAGCCGAGCAGGTCAGCTTTATGCAGTCGCTAAAGAATCTGATTACCAATCGCAACTTCATCCTACTGCTGCTCTCCTACGGCATCAATGTGGGTGTCTTCTATGCCATCTCAACGCTGCTCAATCCGGTATGAGTTGCCTTTCAAAGCCTTCAATCACATTCTAACCCCTGCTCTTCAGGTGGTGCTCAAGTATTATCCCAACCATGAGATCGACGCTGGCCGCATTGGCCTCAGCATTGTTCTGGCAGGCATGCTGGGCTCTGTGGTCTCTGGCATTGTGCTGGACAAGACGCACAAGTTCAAGTAAGTACAGCAGCAGGGAACAAAAGGCAAAGAACTTTTCAAAACGATGAAAACTCATTACGCATACGCCATGTGGTCTGGTAAAGTTTCAACAGGCGGGAAGCGAAAATTCAAATTAATTTCTCCCTTTTCCACTTAATTTCTAAAGAGTCCCACTCAATGCTGTTGTTCCCCCTCTCCCTCTCTCTCTCTCTCTCTCTCTCTCTAGGGAGACGACGCTGGCGGTGTACGCACTCTCCATGGTGGGCATGTGGATATTCACATTCACCCTGGACACAGGACACATAGCGGTGGTTTACCTAACAGCGTCGCTGCTGGGGTAAGTCACAGATATTCACACCCAAGGGGGCGCACGAGACTAGTAAGTTAACTGCCTTCTGTGATTCTCCTCTGCAGCTTCTTCATGACCGGATACTTGCCGGTGGGCTTTGAGTTTGGCGCCGAGCTAACGTTCCCCGAACCGGAGGGCACATCTTCCGGGCTGCTGAATGCCTCGGCCCAGACCTTTGGCATTTGCTTCACACTCTTCTACTCGGAGCTCTTCACAGCGTTCGGAGACATTGCCGCCAACACTACTATGGCGGTGATGCTGATTGTGGGCACGATTATAACGGCCGCCACCCGGTCTGATCTGCGGCGCCAGAACGCGCAAGCTGGCAGTGCGGCTGGCAACCCCTAAATTCCCTCTCTACCCTCTTCCCCAGAAACACCACCCACACCCACACCCACACCACACACCCAACTATCCTCAACCACACCAGCTCAGTGACAGGACCTGTCGACTGTTTTTATGTATAGTACGAGTATTCTACGCATATCAATTGTTTAACATTTTTTAATTTATTTTATTGTTTATTGTTTACTGTATGTACACTTCCTTTTTAGCCTTAAGTGTTGAATTATGAAATGTTCATTAAAAATGCACACAAACAACACACACAACACACACACACACATATGAGTAAGCTTAGACAATTATTTTTAAAATTTTATATTGGCCAAGGCGTTTAAGGTTTAGTAAGTAATACAATGACTTGCATCGAAATTCAACTTTATCCATTCTGTTGCAACAGTACCGACCATGCCCCACCACCACACACTCAACAGAGGATTCCACACAGAGATACAATGTTATACATATAGATATATTTATCCCTCAGTATTATAGCCACCAAATAATGTAGAGAATTACTTGTATTGTATTCCAATCGGTCCAGGCAATCCAAAGCAGGTACCTAAGCGACCCAAGCCAAGACAAAACTATAACCAAACATTAGCGGACTCGGGACTTCAATTACTCCCCCCGCCATCCCAAAATATATGTACTTCTATGCATATATGTATGTACATATGTATGTATGTAAGCATATTTTGAGACACCAACCCGATCCAGAAGAGCACACTCGCTATTGTTGTACAAAGCACGAGAATATCCTGCGTATATCTGGCATATCTGGCAAGCTGTAATCATTTTGGAGAATTTACAACCACCAAGCGCCTGCGACGAGCAGACGGCTGATTAAAGTCAAACACAAACACACAATATACTGCATACAATATACCAACATATACATATATCCAATATATACGTACCTATATATAATATACATACGATATCGTTGTGAACTAGAGGAAAACATACGAGCGAAAAATGTGTATTCAAATTTTGTAGACAGCCTTTAGGCCAATGGTCAGTCGCCAATAAAGCTAGCGTCAATTGAAATGGCAGAGGCAGAGACAGAGACAGAAGAGCCCCCATACTATAAACTACCTGACATGAGCTGCTACCAGCAGAACAACCAACAACCACCTACACACGAAACATATGAGAGGCCTGAGTAAAGTGCAGCCAGAGCCGAGATCGTGATGCGTGCGCAAGCTTCAACTCTCACTGGATGTTAGATCGCGGATGGTAACAGATAGTAGCCACAACTTCATAGCCAAGAGTTATTATGTGTATATGTGTATGTGTATATTAAAAGTAACCAATAAAGTTATCAGTGTGTAACAGAGATTTTACTGGGATTTACAAAAATATATATATTTTGGGACACATCCTAAAGGCAATATGTATAAAGAAATACGTTCTACATGGGGTCTAGTCGTACGTACATGTAAAAGGTATTTGAACAATACTTTATAGATATATAACTCGGACACAAACATGTGCCAGTAGAATACGAAGGATTTTCAAATGGAAACAGAACATGGAAACGCAAAAACAAAAAAAAAGCCAAACGCAATGCAAATTAGAACATTAAAAAAACTTAAAAAGAGAAAACTTTAAAGAGGCCACCCTGTCTGCGTCAGGGGTCAGGGGGCAGTGGTGGCAGCAATTGCAAATGTTGGCGGTGGTCCATGTCAAATGTGGTCCCGTTCCCCTATCAGTGGGTGGGCCCCCAGGCTCGCAGCAGAGTCAGGGCCTTGTTGAAGTAAGCGGACCACTCCTCGCGCTCCTCCTTGGTATCGGCGGAGAGGAGGTGGCGGACTGTGGTGGTGCGTCCGTTGGGCACTATTACCAGCGACTCTTCGTCCGTGTCCTTGGCCGGGCGCTCGCACTCCAGCAGCATGGTGTTAAGGCGGGCGCAGATGTCGCGCGGCGCGGTGGTGACCTTCTGTGAGCTGCACGCATGCAAATCTATGCTGCCCATGGGCGTCTTCTTCTTCTCATCGTCCGGGTACTTCCAGAAGTTGACCACGGAGCCATTTAGATAGCACCAGCGGCGATGCCAGGCCCCAAAGCCGGATATGTCCTCGAACATGGTGAGGAATCCCTTGTACTCCACGCTCACGGACAGCTCACAGTTGACCTTCATGTGGACGACACCCTCCAGAGGGCTGACGCCCAGCACTTGGGTCAGCGTCCAGCTGGTGCGCTGTATCTCTCGCAGCGAGAAAATGGCGAACCCATATTGCACCAGCTGAGGCGTTCGCACCACATGCGGCCCGGCCGGACTCTGCACTGGCGGCATAACCAAGCGATTCTCGCCTCCCTTCTTCTTTGGCGTCTTCACGCCGCCCTTCTTGTTCAGATTTATGTGGTACTTGAGGTCGTGTGGCAGCTGATCCCGTTGGGCCAGCATTCCATAGATTTCCAGCGTGATCTGCAAGGGAAATCCATCAATTAATGGCACTCGATGCCTGAGGAAATACTTTCAACTAACCCGAAAGTCTGCGTAGACATTGTTTAGCTGGAGAACATCGGGAAACTTAACGGACACCAGTCCGGGCATGGTCGGCACCGTCTTGGTGGCCAGCACGTGTTCGTTGTACTTGAGGAGACAAACGAGATGATGGCCATTGATGCTGCCCGAGGCCATTTTGCGCAGGTACTCATGCCGCAACGGAATGGTAATGTCCTTGACAGTCAGCAATCCCTTTTCCTTTGGTGCACCCACGGGTCGGACGCTGTTTTCCACACGCAAACGCTGTACCTCATCCAGACAGGTCTGTCGGCGATGGGCTGCAAGAATATCGGGTTTTAGTTGCGTATATAAGTGTGGAGAAGGTATAGGCGCGACGAGACTCACTTGCCAGCAACAGATACCGCTCTCCCTCTACCGACTCTGTGGAGCCGGAGAACTCCACGGTAGCTGCGCACAGATTCAGAGCCTGACTGGCCTGGCCAATGACCTGCTGCTGCTTGCACACCTCGCTCAACAACTTTTTGATCTTGTCCTGCGCCTGGGTGGCATCATTGGAATCGCGCACATTCTGCAGCTCCTCGTCATCGTCATCGGTGTGTTCGTCCATAATGGCTCCCGCGACTGCATCCACCATGTCTCCATGCTGAGGTGAGTCATATTCCAGCTTGTGCTTGGCATGGCAGTCGCCAGCCAAAGCCGATCGCATCACCTGCTGTTCGCGACATATCTTGCGCACTGGTGTAGAGCTGGAGCTCTGAAGAAGAACCAAAGATTAGGGACACGCTGAAGCGGAGGTTTAGGGGTAGGTCACATACATTTGCACTCTGCTGTCGCCGATAGAAGCTCACTGTGTGGACCAGGGTGACCAGATTGTCGTTATCCTGGTTCACGCTCAGCTCCGACCTGACCGGTTGGGCCCCGCTCAGAAGCGGCGTCTGCACGTCCATGAGCTCCTGATGCTCGCCAATAGGCTGGCAAGCCGGGGTCTTTCGGAAGGAGAAGCTGTTCGAGGCAGTTGTGCCCTTGCTCTGTAAAACGGACTATAAGTAAGTGGGAAAAAATATTAAAATTTTGGGGAAAAACTTACGCCCAGCGACAGGTGGCTGGAGTTGTGCCCGTCCCCGCCATCGCTGTCATCATCCTGAGTGCTTCCATAGTCTTCGACAAGCGCCTCATCCAGATAGTCATCAATTCCCGCTGAGACCTGCGACGAGTTAATCGAACTGTCCTCCTGACCCTCGTGGTTGTAGTAGAAATCCTGATCGGCATAGCGCACAGTCTGCAAAGGACAATGAGATTAGTTGCGACCACCCGCTGGGCCATTATTTTTCTACCTGTACTCACCTTCTTGCCTTGCTGCTGCTGCTGGATCTCCGCCTCATTGCGCTGCACTGCGTTCATTATCTCGCGACCCAGGCTGCCATTGCACATGCCGGTGCTGCTGTCCTCAGTCTGCGACTGGTCCTCCGACTCATCCATGCAACTGCACGAATCAAAGATAAGCGGTTAGTTAAGCAAGATTTTTATTGTTGGCCTTGTCTACGGGGAATTAAAGCTATGAGAGGGCTAGATGAGGGCTACGGCGCCACATCAGTCAATCAGTCAAAAGTTAGGTGGTTGTTATTCAATGCAGAGAAAGAAAAGCAAGCAGGAGTAGCATTTGTCAGCGCACCTTTCAGTTTCGTCTTCCTCCTGTCGATCACTGTCGTCGGTGGCTGTGGCTGTTTCCGTCGCACAGCAGTTGTCCCCACTAGAGTCGAGGTCGGAGAGTGCAGGATAGAGACGCTCAGAGTTCGATTTGCGAGCGCGTTTCGACTCCTCGTCAATAATTGGCGCATCACCAGCTGAAATTACAGAAGTGTCAGCTAGTTCATTGGACGGACGCCTGCCGTTAATCGTGGCTTACGTGAGCGCCTCTTGCTGCTGGCTGGGGCAGGAGAGAGCCCAGACATGGGGGGCGGTGGCGGCGGCGGCATGGGCCGTGCCACCTTACTGGGAACTGTCACTGGTACTGACGCTGACGCTGGTGTCGCTGTCGCCCTTGCCGCTGGCTGCGGAACAAAGAGTTCCTTCTGTTTGTTGAAGCGATTCGCAATGATTTGCATGTCTTCCTGACGCTGCCGATCAATATCCTTGATGCGGCTCTCCGCACTGGACTGGGCATTGGCTACAAGCGCGGCCACCTTGTCGCGCAACTTGCTCTCTGGCTTGGGCTTGTGAGACGCCACAGCGCTCACAGTGGAAGAGACAGCAGCCGCTGTTACAGGATGCACAGCAGCAACATAGGCTATGGGATCAGGAAAAGTAGCAATGGAAGTTGAACGTATCATTCGAGCGAATGCGCACTCACCCTTGGACTCCTCGGGCCTGATCTGGCTGATACTGGGTGCAGATCCTATTGGAGCCTTCGGCAGCATGGCTTTGTTGTTGCCAGTTTCGAACAGCTTCATGCGCTCCTTCAGCGACAGCTCGCATGGATCTTTTTGGAAGCGTCCTCCTTGCGTCTGCCCTCCAGCACTCGTCCTATTTTCAAAGATGGCTGCACGCCCGGAGACCAACCCGGACTTGACACTCGCCCCAGTTTTCGTGGATACCGTCGCCGCAGCGGTGGACCCGAATGTCTTGGCCACTTTGCTGACCGTCGTCGATTTATCGGGAACTGGTGGCTTGGCGGTGGCAGTGGCAGTTGGTGCCGCCTCTCCCTGTTTGGCATAATCATAGGTATGTTTAATGGTGGACGAATCACGGCGCTGAAAACCTTGGGCCTCCAATGAGCTCAGTACCTTGGGATCCCATTTCAGTTGCTTTGTTTTGCCGCCTTCGTCGACCTCTTCTCGCTTAGGCGGTTGTGGGGCAGGTCCTTTCTCTCCACGCCGGCTGGGCAAATCGGGTTTGGGTGGGGCCATTGCCACTGCTTCAATTGGTCTGTGCACATCATGATGCGCTGTGTCGTCCTCCCACTGGTTAATGGTGTCGGCCAGTGCAGCCAGTTTTCCCAATCGCTGTTTGCCCTGACGGGGACAGCGATTCGAGTCGTAGTCGTCGTCACCTGCATGGAACTGCGCCTCCGTACGATGGATGGGGGAGGACAGGTCAGTAGTGTTGGAGTACAAGTCACCCATGCGCTTCAATTGACTCCTCGAGGTGTCCCGCAATCGTGCCAACGGTTGATTGATGGCCTGAACTGGGTTGTCGACAGCATCGCCAATCGTGTCCTCGTCATCCGTCACATCTTGCTCTTGAATTTCAACTTGCACCTAGTGGAAAGTACATATGCGTGAAACAACGAAGCAGCAAGAGGAAAATCATAGACCAAGGACGCCACCAAAAGGGATAGCAGCGAGACAAAGACGTGCCCACGGAAGTGAAGACGCGGAAATGAGGACTGAGGACATGAAAAACTTACCCCAATTGCCTTGGCTGATGTAATGTTTATCTCGATGCCCATTTCCATGTTTTCTTTGTTGACGGCCGTATAGTGACGGGCCGGCTTGGTCGGCGATGCCTCCAACATTGCCTTGTCCAGGATCACAACTTTTCCGCTGCTGCTGCTGACACTTTGGCCTGCTGGTGAGTGACTCCTGTTGGGCGTGGGCTTCGTGGGTCCCAAATTTGTGGCCGCCGACGATGACGCTACGCTGCACTCGGTCAAGGGAAATTTGCTGGCGTTGCTGATGCCGAGCGCGCGACTGCGCTGTTCCGCCTTTTCGAGCATGTGCTGGAAAATTGCAACACAAACGCAAATGCAAATGCAGTTAGACAAAGGGCTTCATTGTGTGCGGCGGCCAAAACCTTGTACCTGAGTGAAGGGGTCCATTTTTGTTGCTGCTGATGATGATGCCGCTGCTAATGGTGCTGTGAATGCGAAGATTTATTGCGCGCACTCTAATTATTGTATTTTTTACTAGCACTGTACAATTTTTTTTGCTGTCTGTATTGTGTTATTTTTTTTCTTCTTGTTTTCTGACTCTGTACGCGTCCGTTGTTGTTCGAAATTATGCGCGTCGCTTTTTTTTCGGCGGTAGAATAGGGATGAGGTAGCAATATATCGATATATTATATTTGTTGATAATATATTTGCAAGTGATATATATTGGACTGGCGAAAATAGGGTGTTTTTATGGGAGATTTATAATCCAATTACTTTAATTTTCTGAATTTAAATTTTTTTTCAGTTGTTTCACATATTTCAGATCAGATATACCGACTTTTGATTCTACTTATCGTTGCACAGGGTTAGTTACGCAAAATATCGGTATTTTTGTGCGATAAGAGTAACTTATCGCCGTTATATTTTGAAAACTACTACTATGGCTAAAATCTTCCTAATGTAATTTAACGACTTGTTCTCCTGTTACATATCTATTTTCTAATAATGGAATATATTAAGGTATTTTTGTTACAAACGTCCCCAATTTAAATATGCGCGTCCGTTCGATGGTACGATGGTCCTATCGTTGGAGTTTGTTTGTCTGGTATTAGGTCAAGTTGGCAGCCCTCAGTTTGGTGTTGAGCGTGCAATATTTTTATCAGCTAGTTTGTTAAATATATGTTCCATTTGTATGTTAATTAATTAAGGAGAATAAAAGACAAGTAGGTAACGTAACGTTTTTGCTATTAAGTTTATTAAGTTGCTAAAAGCTAAGAAAGTAAGCCTAATTCGATGTAAGCAATCCAACATGACCCCAGTCAGTGTTGTCTATTTTGGCTTGGAATATAGCGGAGAGAATAGCTAACATGGTAAATTTATTAATTAGTGTATATTTCTTATAGGAAGCCATTCGAAATATGGCCGAACAAAAGACAGTTGACTTTCTGTGGAACTGCGCAAATAAACTGACTGGACAATCCCACGCCGAACGGTTGATAAAATCCCATTACATGTGAGTAGCACACGAAGATCTCATGTCGAATTCTGAACCTAATCCGCTTCGGTTGCAGCACCACCTGTCGAAAGTTCGCCAGACACAACGTGCAACTGCCCGAAGACAGCTTTGGAGCGGCCCGGCTATGCGCCCGCTGTGGAAACCAGTGGACGGATGGAAACTACCAGCTGCACCTGCAGCCCCAGCGCCTGGCGGACACTGCCAAGAGAAGAAGACTCATCGCAAAGCTGGAAACGGCCAAGGCGAGTCAGCAGAAAGGCTTGCTGAGCACTGCGGCGAGAAATCGGGCCAAGTGGCTGAGGAAGCACATGGCCAGCAACGTTGTGAGTGGCAAAAACTTCGAATTTATGGAGCTCTGTTTAAACCTAAATGCATTTTCAGGTTGTGGACTGCGCCGTTTGTCAGCATAAGACAATGCTGCCGCTGGAGAAGCGGAAGGGCAAGAAACGGGGCAAAGGCAATGATGAAACAATAGCAAACCCTACGTCGACGGCGCTTGGCGAGGCTGCAGCCACAAACCAACATAAAGGGAAAAATAAGAAGATCCAGAGTAAAGAAATTAAAGCAGTCCCGAAGATACCACAGCAGGTAAAAGCAAAGGCGACCACATCTCCTGCACACCCCACGAAATCGATCCATCCTGCCGCTGCCAAACACCAAACCCCAAAGCAGAAGAAGAAAACGAAAACAGCGCAGTCAGCGCCGAGTACGCAATCGAAGACACAGAAACAAAACGCGCTGTTACAACTGGCGGCTCAGCTGAAGTCGCACGCGTTTAAAGACGCGAGCAAGTCGCAGCAGAACCGCCTGCAAGCGTTCCTCAAGTAGCGTGCCAGGCAAAACCGAATAGCGCTTGCCAATGGACTTAAGTACACAAGATTGTTGTTTAGTTGAATGAAAATACTTGTTATTGCACATAATTAAGCGTTAGCACAATACTAAACCCATTGGGGCATGAATCAGAGTCTTTGTGGTGCTGAACGGGCAGAGATCGAATGAATGGTTGCCACTGCCGGTCCCATTATTGAACCAGAGTAGAGCCTGAGCTTGCGAGCGACTGGCTGGCTGGCCTCTTGATAAAAATAAGCCCAATGTGGGAACCTGTTATCCAGCCCGGCCTGGGTCGAGTCACGCAACGGCAATGGAGTTATCACTGCTGCAGTTGGAGCAACATTGCTGCTGCTGGTGCTGCCACTCCCGTCCAGACTCAAGGTTGCCAAGGTATAGCGCAGCGAACAGGGCCAGAATATTTAATTTATTTCTCGGAGGGAAACATTTAATTAAAATTGAGTTGTTTGCTATAGCCATGTCTCCTCGTCCACGTCCTTCATGGTGCTTCCAAAAAAGGAAACAGACGCGGCTCCGCCACGAATCTTTATCTGCCGCCAAATGCACAAAGAGCACACGCACAGACAGCCGCAGATTGGCTTGGCTTCCCTGCTTCTTCGAAGAAGGCTCTCGGATTTCTTCATGGCCACAGAAGAAGCAGCAGCTGCGACTGCGACAGCAACATCTGCCTGCTACCGCTTTCTTGTTGGCTGCGCACATTAGAAGATTTCTGGTTATTTTTATTTAAGTTGCTTTTGGCATGGGGAAGGGAGCCTGTTTTGGCCGCACCGATTTGGTCATGATGGGCTCTAAAATATGATATCAAAGGCGTGCTCTGCAAAGCAGATCTTTTGGGTAGGGTAGCCAGTTGTTGGCTTGGCACTAGGACGGGCCCAAACTAAGCTTCGGCATCCACTAACATGCCGGCCGGCTTTCCATCTGTGTGTCTCCAGCGTTTCCCCAAAAACGAAACAAAACGTAATAAAATGATTTGCACACACACACATTCACTCTCGCAGTGAAGAAAGCCAGACCCGATTGGGCTCCACTCGTCGTGCACTCGGTTCCTGCCCGAGCGTTGGGGCTGCTCCAACTGCGAGCAGACAAGAGCCGAGTGGAGCGGCAGCCGTCAGTTGATTCTCGCGCACCGAACAAGCCGCGCTTGGTTCTTTACTCAGTCTCGTCGCGGTCAGAGCGGGCAGATGATGGCCGACGCTCGTTCTTAGGCGAGTGCAGAAACAGAAACGGAGGACGGCAAAGAAAAGGTGTCAACGTTGTCAGTGCAAACAAGCGCAAAGTGTAATCGTGTGCTTAAAAGCCAAAAAGAACTGAAAACCGGATGCAAAACTAAATTCTGTGCGTGGATACCAATACATATCGTAATTGACTGTCCGGGGCGGCAGGAAGGCGAGCCGTCATTTGAAAATGACCGGAAATGCACACGGAGCTATGGATTGAGAGAGAGAGAGAGAGAGAAAGAGAGAGACAGCCAGACCAACAGACAGACACGCCTGCGCACAGGCCATTACCCCGTTTCAATGCCGGAAAAGCCTCCAAGAATACGAATACAACTTTATGGGGATAATATTCGTCGGAAAGCCACAGCCTAGCCCAACCAATTTCATAGAATCTCTGGCAAAAACAAACAGAAGTTTAGGGTTTCGTTTCAAATGTGTGTTCAATCAATAAAAAAAAAATGTTTATGGCGGCGATAAATTGCGATTCCATCGCGCAACTACAACAATTAACGGCCGCCAAGTGCAAATAATATTACAATTTCTGTTTAACGGTGGTAGTATTAAAAGTAAGAAGTCAAAGCGAGTGCTGGGAGAGGAAAGAAATGGTCAGTAGCACTTGGCACGTCATTCATTTTCATGGAGCTGGCGAAACTCTTTGTTGCTTTCCGGCGACGACACGCGTCGCCATTCAGATGAGTCACAATCAAAAGGCTTGGCCGGAGGAGGTGGAGGAGGCCCAGGCCAAGAGACACTGTCCCCAGTGTGTGTGTGTGTGTGTCAGATGTACATACATATAAATAACTGTGTTTAATTTTTAGCCACAAAACAGTGGAAACCGCAAGTGACAGAGGAGGTAGAAATAGGGACAGATATAGAGATTCACTTGGCTACACCCAGCCAAGTGCACAGTGGCTTTGGGCGCCCGAAACAGATTTTCGTAATAGCGTTTAATGGCAGATACAGTGCTCGTATACGAATACACAATCGAGTCTGAACATTTAGAGAGTATATACATATGTACAAATATACTCTCGATCCCCCTGATACATACTGTGTGGTATAGTGGGGATGAAAAACGAAAAGCATAACGTCATCAGCCTCTGATTTTCCATGAGGCGCCAAACGAAGCGTGCAACCAAAAATATAATAGAAAATGAAAATGACAACAAAAAGGCAAAGAGACTACAAAAAAAGGCAATTCAAGCTCATTACAAATTGTATTGTGCTTCGACGCGTAGCAGTTAGATGATAGAATCAAGTGGTGCTCCCGAGTCTCCGATAGTTCAGCTATTAATATACCAGGCAGACAATGCAGTCAAGGACCACAGCGGGTTGCGTTGCTCGTCGGCGCCCTGGGGGAGATGTAATCTCAACGGGGAGGGCGGTGGCGCACATCCAGCACCTTCAGTTGCTTGTCGGTTCTGTCTCTGCTAGTGCGTGTGTGTGTCGTGTGTCTCCAAAAATACTCGTAGTATTATTACACTCTATCCCATCAGCTAGTGCAGAATACTACTGTGTTTCCCCCCTATTCCCCAGCATTGTCCCATAATAAACGGTGCATGTGATCTTATAAAATGTGTTATCTACTTTTGACAGCAAACTGTTAATTTCTAACGCAAAAAGGCAAAACTGTGTGCATTCGATGAACATGCCAGATCCGAATCCAAAAAAACAAACAACCGCCAGAGAAGCCACAATAAAACCCGAGCGAGAAATCAAACGATCTACAGAACAATCATTCAACGCACATTAACGCAAAACGCTTCAAATTAACACTAAAAAAAAACAAACAGAAAATATAAAAAAATATATACAATGGCAACAACTAAACGGCCCGAAATGGAACAGTTTTTGTTGGGTAAGTGGTGTGGTTACTGGCAGATTCATCATTAAATCTTTGTTACATTTGCATAGTCAAAAAATTACACGAAAATCTTGTGTATGTTGAAGAGAAAAATTCGTGCCTTGAGCCTGCCCGCCCGGGGCGTACACCCCAGATAGAGCAGAGCAGAGCGGGGCAGACGAGACTCCAACTGAAACTTCAATACACAAACATTAATAATAACCCAATATATTATTGACTCATTCCACTTCGCCGCAGCAGCGTTGGATGGGGCCCAGCGCTCAAATACGCTTTTGTTCTGGCTCATGATCATGCTCTTGTTTTTTGTTGTTTTTTTTTTTTCTTTCCCTTTCGGTATACGTATACGAGTATGGTGTACACTTTGTCGAAGGCGTTTGGCCGCTGTTCCATCGAAACATACATATGTACAAGCCCGCAAGGTATACCAATAAAAAGAGGATAAACTAAGTTCAAAGCGCTTGTTTAAGCCTCCGTCTCTGGGCTTAATTTGAACAAGTTTTGTGCTCTGGCGCTGGGCAAGATGAAGGACACAGTATGGGGAACCATATCAAAAAAATTCGAGCAGAGCAAGGACAGCAATCAAAAGAGTTTTTTTGTTTTTTTTTTGTATTTATCTTAGCATACGGAAGTCTCAACTGCAAAAGGGATAAACTGAACTTTTTTTGGATTAATGATATCGAATGAAGTCGAAGGGAAATTATGCATGAGTAAATTCACTGACTTGTCGAAGCCTAAGGAGCTCATGTGAAAAACCACTTCAATTCATGTACTTTGTTCTGTAAATTTCATTTATTATTGTTAAAAGAGTATCTATCTCTTGTTCGGGTTTTCAACACACAAAACTTCACTCTGTTGCTGGTGCTTTATTCCCATCAACAGACATATTACTATTACCGCCGACTTATCCAGAGCTTGCGTGTTAAAATTTTAACAAGATTTCTTGCAAATTTCTTTGCTTTTTGGTTTACAGTTAAATAATTTATATATGTATGTACCACAAAAAAAACTGCTTAGCAAAGAAGGAGTAGGAGGCGGAGAGAAGAACAAAATAAAAAACGCAGACGTAGAGTTAACTTTCTTGGTCAGTGAAATTATTTTTAATTGCCGCGGTCAATTCGCAGTTGACTCTTGAGCGAGAGCTTATGAGGTCATTCATGTGTAGTCTTGGGGCTGGGCATGGGTATGGGTATGGGTCTGGGTCTGGGTCTGGTACTGATACTGGGCCAGAGCCAGAGCCAGCCCAGAGCAATTAACTGAAGCATGGCCTGTTGTCCGCTTCCTGCTCTGCTCTGAGTCACTGCAAAAGACACTGCTTCCAGCTAATTGCCCTCCGCAGACAGCAGCAGTGTCTATGGAAATGTCTTGGCTCTTGCTCAACTTCTGAACGGCTGGCGGGGCTGAGGCATAGACAGAGGCAGGCTATTAAGGCCAATGATGCGTTTCGAAATTAATGGCTAATAGGCCGCCACCATATTTAGCAAGAACAGAGCAGAACCAAACCGAACATTAGAACTCATGGCGGTGATCTTTTCGTTGCAGATGTGCGCGCCCACTTTCGTGCCTCGCTGGAGACATCCGAGTACGAGAACACCTCGAATCTCTTCCACATGACGGCCGCCGAACAGACGGCGGAGCTGCTGGAGCGCTGCGAGCTGCTGCTGGCGGGCTACACAGATGGAGACGCAGGCGCAGACGACCAGGTGCCAGCCCCAAACATCAAGTCAAATGGGAATGGGAATGGAATGGGCGACTGTGTCGATAGCAAAGTGGGCGCGGAGACCGGTCCCAGTTGCTATCTGGAGATGTTGTCCTCGCCATCGTCGTCCAAGAACTCGCGTGAGTGAAGAACGAGCCCAGTTATTTGCCTGGAACCTCCAGTAATTGGTAATTACCCCTAATTGCAGTGTCCGCTTCGCGGGAGTATGTCGATCTGAGCAGCAGTGGCTCCTTGGACAGCGACAAGACATTTCGCTTCTCCGCCAACCAACCGGGCGCAGGATCAGCGTCTCAGGATGAAAGGGAGCAGCAGCTGTATGAGACCTGCCAGAGCCAGAGCCAGGAACAGGGCCACGAACAGGGCCAGGAACAGGGCCAGGACCAGGGCGAGGATGAGGCGCAAAAAGTCATAACCTTCACCCACGAGCTGATCCTTGACTGTCCTTACGCGGACCTTCCCGCTGGACACCTGGCCCTGCAGCGATCCACTAAATACGGACAGCTTCAGCGGATCGTGCCGAAGCGGTTGTTTTTTGACCAGACCAGAAAGTGCTACTGCGGCATCCTCAACGAGTGGATGCTGTGCTACGCGGACGGCCCGACTGCCTGCCGGCCCAGCAGCAGTCTCTACCTAAAGAGCTCCGCCATTGAGATCGAGCACTTTGGCGAGGGGAAGCGGCGCGACATCTGCTTCCAGATAACCACCGACGATCCCAACAAGAAGTACGTCTACCAGGCCAACAACGAGGTCGATGCCAAAGAGTGGATTCACGCCATTGAGGCGGCCATACGTGGCGATGCCACCACCACTGTACACCAGTCCCTGAAGAGCCCGCTCCCACGCAAGCTGCCCACACCGCCAGTCACGAAGAGGACAAACTACCCAAACACGCCCACGGCAACGGACAGCATTTACGAGGAGCCTTCGCCCATTTACAACCTTACCGTGGATTTCTCGGCGACGCCACCCAGGCTGCCCGAAAAGAACCACAGTCCCAGCGCCCTGGCCAGGCGCTTCGAGTATGATGTGCCAAAGTGCCCACCGCAGCCGCTGCTGGAGGCAACATCGTCTGTCGGGGAGGTGGAAACGATGGTGCTACTAAACGAGGGCGACGCCAAGGTACATCCACAGCCGCAACCATCCAGTCTGCACGGCCGTCTGGCAATGGACTTCCAGGCCAAGGTAAAGACCGTCCACAGTGAGCTGTCCACTCAGCTGTCGCAGGGCGGGTCCAGTCCGGAGCGCCTGAAGAAGGCGGTGAAGAAGAGCTACTCATGCGCAAGCAACAGCAGTGATTCGGAAATGCTGTCGCTGTCGCTGACGAGTCCTGCCCAGAGCCCTAATAACAAGGAGCAGAAGAAGCAACGCAAATCTCAGACATCCGCACAGACGAGTCCGCAGAAGACGACGACGACGACCACGCCCGTTAAGGACTCTGATAAACTGGGGAAGAATTGGTTTCTCAGTCGTCTCAATAAGACCCCAGGACAGAAGACAACGAGCACGGCCGGCACTGCGCCCGGAAATACAAAGTGCAAGCAGAGCGAGAAGGAGAATCTGCTGACAGATCTGGATCTCGGGGAGGGTTACGGCTACGATGGGGGGATTTCAGGCGAACGCGACCCGAGTCTGTCGAACAGCAAACCCACCGCCCCCAGCCTGAAGGCCGAGGCCAAGAGCAAAGTGAACATGATCATCAATCAGTTCGAGAGCAGCGGCCATCTGTCCACCATGTTCAGCGTGGAGGCGCTGGCAGCGAATGCGCTTGCCTCGCTCACCTCCTTCTGCGACGGCGACAGCTGCAACAACTACGAGCCCATCATGCCACTCTCCACGCCGCCCAGCAGCTTCCTCAAGAAGGTGTAGTCCAAATCCAAGGGCTCCAAAGGTTCGTCTCTGCGCTCGCTTTAACCCATACCCACACAGATGTATTCTAGATTTAGTCCCTAAGCTAGTGGAAACCGCTCTCTGGATGTCACATTTTTATATTGGCATACAATTTTAATATAAAAAATATTTGTTAGCATACGATACGTAAAAGCATTCATTATTTTATGTGGATTTGTGTGTGGATTTATTTGCATTTACTCCCAGAGGAGTAGCTTCTACGAAGAGGAAGCCGAAAGGTGGATCGAGGTAGTAGCTGCCACTAGCGCCACCGTGGGGTTCTGTTGGATTATAATACAGTTGGGAGATAAATTCAAATTTAGTTATTGTGCTGATCAGGGTATAACGATGTGCCTGAGCCTCTGGACAAGCTGTCATTTAAGTGAGATTCGATAATATCCTTGAGGGCGCGCCGCTTGCGTTCATCTCCCAGCAGCACCAACTTGCGGGGCGATTCCTTGGTGCTGAAAAAGCCGAGCACCTTCTTGCTCTCCACTTTCACAGTGAGTTGTACACCGACAGACGTTGCCTCAACGGCGCTAATGTCATTCCATAGGTACGACCAGAGCGACTGAAATGCAGACCAGACTCATCAATTCATTGATGCTCAATGGGTTCGGAAATATAACGTACCGTCCAGATGCCGAACATCTCGTTACGTTGGATGTACACCAGGCGGTAGTTGGTTACCAGAAGATACTCGGACTTCTGGATGATCTCTTCGCAATGCACGAAGCTGTCGGTGCCGGCATATTTTCCCTTGTCGAGTTCCCTGCAAAGCGAAACAGTCAATTAGTCAAATCAGCTGATCTACCTACGGGCAGGGCACCACTTACTTTAGCATTTTGTTGCCCATGGCCTCGTTGTAGCAGTAGGGTCTCAGCACATGATCATAGTGCTGGAAGCGAGTGGGGCGCAGCCGCTTGACGTCTTCGTTGGCCTCCGTAGCGCGTTTTACTGCCTCAAAGCTGCCACTGGCAAAGTCAACCACACCAGCGGTGGGGCGAGCGACCAGACCAATAGCTCCCTTGCCCAATCCCTTGAAGAAACCCTCAACGCCGTGGTCGCGAGCTCCACTCACGGGTTTGGTTACAACACCAGTGACACCGTCCACAAAGCCCTACGTGAAGAAGTGGAAGAAATAGCATTCCAAATTGTTCAAATGGATCATTGTATGGAGCCGTACCATCACCAAGCCCTTGCTGCTTCGCGCTAATCCTTCGTGGAAGTTCTTCGGCTTGTTGTTCATGCCCTGGCGCCGTTTCCTTTGGTAATCCTCGTCAAAGGTAAGCGCTGCCAGTCCCTTGCCCATGGCGCCAGTAATCCTAATGGATGATTATATCACATTCGATGGGGGTAATCCATTAACTAACTAAATGCTCAACTCACTTGGACATGGCACCAGCGGCACCGCCTACAGTGTGACCGAAGAGGGACTTGACGCCCAGGACCAGACCCTCAGCAAATTCGCCAGGCCCTTGTATAGCCCCCTAAAGAAAGGAACAAATTTGAAGTTGTATATGTAATAAATAGAGTATGCTAGGGAAGGTGTACCTGGAATGGCTCGTAGAACAAGTCCTCTACGCCCTTTTTGAGTCCAATCACCAAGCCATAGGGATTGCCAAGGACATCCAGGCCGAGGACGAGGACATAGAGCTGCTTCAGTGCCTGACCCGTGTAGTGCGAGGTAATCTCATTGATCAGTTGCTGCTGCGTGAAGAACTGATATTCGCGCTCGAAGAAGGCCAGTCGGAACACGACATCGTTCACGTCGGTGAGGGTCACGCCTACGCCTTGCACCAGTGTGCCCAGGAAGCCTGGCAGTGCAGTGGTATCCGATCCAGCCATCGAGAAGCTGACGTGTATCTTGAGTGGCCCCAAGTGGAGACTGTCGTAGAAGTTCTTCTGCTCCTGCTGCGAGTGAAGTTCGAAGAAGGCGGACAGGGGCTGCTCAATGGAGTCGACGTCTTGGCGGAACTGCTTGGCTGCCACCTCGTCGGACACCTCCTTGGCAAACATCTCAGCAATGGCCGTGAGGAACAGTATGTCCACCTTGAAGTGGAACTCCTGAATCAGTATCTTGGCGTACTTAAACTGTTTGACCGTCGAGTTTTGCATGACACGCTGCACCATGCTGCACTCAATGAACGGCTTCAGGGTTGTGGTGGTGGCCACGCTCTTGGGCGGCGGTATCGGGGCTAGCACCACCGGGAATATGGGATCGATGAACTGGTTGTCCATCTGGACGCGATTTATTTTGATATGGAGCTGATTCTGGAATGGCGATGACTTGTTCGACACCCAAATGGCCGGGTAGAAGCTGCGTCTCAGCTCCCGATCAGTGGACTTCCTTAGCACCATACCGTCGAAATCGATCTGAAAAAATGACCAAAATTAAGTCGTAGTCCATAGGGTTTAGAGTGGAGCCAGTGCGTGGCAATTATTACCGGAAATTTATTGTCCAGCCTGTAGCTCTGGACATCGTTGACACTTTTGTGTACCAGATAACGCTGGTACTCGGCCTCGATTAGGTCTGTGTCGTGTATGGTCATCTCCTTGAAGCGCTTCTTGTTCGGTTTTTTCGACTCCCAAATGATGCCAGAGCTGGTGACACCCAGGTACAGTATGTCCAGGCCGGTCTGATTGTTTATCACTGACAGGCCGATGCCATGGATGCGCAGATCGATGCTCTGCGTAATCGTCTGCAGGGAGGCGGTGCTTTCCGTGCGTTTGGCTATCGACTCGATTTCGGTGAAGAGCAACACACGCTGCAGGCCGTCCAGGAAGGAGACCCAGAAGACCTTGGTACCGTCTTGCATGCTGTCCAGTTAAATTTCCATTAACAGAGACCAACGAAACACGGATACGATGTGATACTTACATGACCTCACCAATGTCGTCACGTCGCAGGTCGGTTTCCTGTTTGTTTTTGCCGAACACAAGAATTTTGGGACCCGTGGGATCACTCCACGCGAACATAATATTATTTTTGGCAAACAGAATATTCTGATCGTTGGTGTTCTTCTCGTAGTAGGCGATTTCCCTTCTGGTGTGATTGATGAGTAGCCCCGGTGCATCGGATTTCTGGTACTGTGTGAAGGTTATGTATACGCCGCCCTCCGTTGTCTGCACGTCCACGTTGACGCCTCCATGTATGCTCTTCTCCAGCTTGAGCAGGGTACAGATCACCTCCGTGTAGTCGAAGGCAGGCGTCACCTTGCCGTCCACCCGAACCATGAGCTTGTGCTGGTGGTCGTTTTTCGGCCACAATGGCTCGAACTGGTTCGGATCAAGAGTCATCCACGGATCGCCCGGGCGGCTCTGCTCCTGGAGCTCAATTTTGTAGGGGCATCTGTTGCACACGATATAGAAAGGTATGAAGGTGATCTGCTTGGTCAGCGAGTCCTGTGTCAAGTGATTGTGGACGCCGATGTGATAGTTCCGATCGTTGGCATAGCAGGTGACCTCGCCCAGCGAACCGGCCACGTCGAGGGGAATCTTCTCGCTCCAGTCCCCATTGTCGCAGCGAATCGAAGCCTTCTTCTTGTCGAAGAACATCTTATCGCGGAAGGTAAGCAGTATGGGTCCACTGTACTCCGGTGGATGGTAGAGCACCTCCACGGTTGTGGACTCCGTTTTATAGGTGAGCATCTCTCCCGTTTTGTTGATCATCCAGAAGGGGCTGAACAACGTCAGCAACATGCTGCCGTGTCGATTCTCTGGTCTGCGGAGTAAATGCGGGGCAAATCAGAAAATCGGATAGAACAGAGAACTGAACTCAGTTTGCTTACCGCACATTCAGTTCCATATCCACCTTCATCTCAGAGTCGTATGAGGAAAACGTCCAGGTCGAGAGTCCGCCGCTGCACTCGGAAATTTCGGTGGCACAGGACCAGTCCTTCTCTAGGTATTGCAGCAGCTAGAAGGGATATAGGCTCATCAAATGGCTCTTGAAAGAGGGATTCACAGTCTGAATGCAGATATACTTACGCGCACGACCAGAAAGCTTTTGCCGTCCTTTCCCTTCTCCGACAGGCGGACTGTAGGCAAATGCAGCACATCGCCGGGGTTCACTTGCTTCTCGCCATAGTCCAGGAAGTCCTCTTTGATGTGCTTCCTAACCAAATCGGTGGAGTCAGTGGCGTCGATCGAGTCCCTTCGCACAGAGCAACCAGCCACCGAAACCATTATGTTGATGGGCAGGGCATTGCGTAGGTACAGCGGCGGGCGCAAGTGAATGGTGTAGAAGGCGCTCAGCAGCTTGAATTTGTTGGTATTCTCGTGGTATACCTCATCCTTCTGCCTCGTCGCGTTTATGTACAACGGTTCGAATGTGTCGACGGGATCGCACTGCAGCTGATGCGAGTAGTTAAGGTCCGAGGGACTGGCGGTCCAGGAAATACCCTGCACCGAGGTTTTGTAGCCCGGCAACGAGAAGAATAACTCCTTGGAGTCCGCGTAGATGGCGTGCAGGGGCACATGGAACACTTCGCCGGGACCAGCACTGCCCACAAAAATATCACTTCTGTCCGTCGCCTTGCGTCGATACACGCTGATGGTGGTGGTAAAGTGGTTAAAGACCTGCAAAGATTCTCCAATAAGCAGCCGAATTAAGCAGACAAGAATGGTTTTTTTTAGCATACGCTGACGACTCCATGAATGTTCACTTTGGTGGTGCCATATTCCTGCTTCACTTCGGAAATGATGCCCCAGGGATCATGAGATATGCCCCGCATCAGGGGAAAGTATCGCGTATCGGACTTGGACACAGGCACCACGACTCCCTTCTCAATGGAACCAATCTAAAGCAGAAAACATGTAGAACAAACAGACTATTAGAGGCTATGGCCATCAGACAATGCGAGTCTATGCGATCCTACCTGCAAGTAGAGATTGTAGTCCTCTCCCTGCTCATCGGATAATGTGCTCAGATCCTTGGTCTGCAGGTAGGCTCGTCCGCCGGCTGAAATGGTGCATATTTGTATGTCATTGGGATCCACTTCGGACGACAGCTCGCTGGAGGACATAAGCAATGAACTGTTGACCGAATGAGCGCCCCCGCGATGCACCTCGTGTAGGGTGAAGATGCCGCTGCGCAGATCAAGGGTGAGCTCAAAGCCCGTGTCGTTCTCCACGACATAGGG